CAATAATCTCACCTATGAATTTCACATATTAACAACAATACATAATTATGAGACATTTTGCATGATCAAATGCAACCATCTTATTTCTCTCTATATATTTTGACTAAATCCATAGGCTATTAACTTATAAAAAACCAACCTATGAGACTGGGTTAGCCCTGATCTCCAATTATAAAAGGCAACTTGGCCAAATATTTCCATACTTACTCTCGGATTATAGATTCTCACTTCTCAAATTATAAGGTGTTATAAGTGTCTAACCCATACTATCCCTTCCAAAAATCGATGATATTGAGCATCGCGCCTAACCCATACCATACCTGTAAGAGGATGACAATACTAAGCATATATAATCAATAATAATGCCAACTATTATGCGAAAACTTAATAGAGGCTATATTACGTGGATTTCCAATAACGCCCTTTTGCTAACTCTCACATGAACTACCACCTATTCGTAATCATGCAAGTTCATACATGGATAATGGCATAACTATGTTCATATTCAATTCCATTAATAAAAATTTAAATTTACACAAATCATTTATCACATGCTCGTATTCAAATCCAATCCTATCAATCCATACTAATGATAATTAAGCAACATGTACATTACACTGGCCACAACTTCAATTCAATATGAACAAGTATCGCCACTCAAGTTATTAATTCATCAAGATAATTAATCATGCTCATATTAACACATGCCTCATGCGATAATATACAAGACGTAATTTGCTAACACAATCATACACAAAAATTAAATCCCTAGTTCCCTCAACTCTTAAGTTTACTACCTCCAAGAGTATAATTTGGATTTCTTTCTCAAGGGAGCTTCCTATCTTGCAAGCTCCATAAACAATCAATTTGCAGATTAAGATTAACAAGCGTCATTAATATCTAACCATCATTAATTAATCCTTGATCATGATCATGGCCTATTACTCTCATTAAGCGTGATTAACTGAATCAACCTCATTTCTCATTTTCATTAACTTATTTAACTTTCATTAATTTAAATAAACACGGCTAATAAGTTTCATTAACTTGGTCTAGCTTACTTAGCATTAGGGTTAGCTTAAACCCATAATCAGTAGTACTAATAACTACCATTAGCTTAAACCCAAGATTAGAAAGGTAGAAAACTGTCATTAAACTTCAAATGAGCCATATGAATAGCTAGAACTTAACAAGAATTCTTACCCAAGCTTCCTGTCTTAAAAAAATTAAGAAAGATGCCTAGAAGGAGAAGAAAAGAGAGAATGAAAGCCTACCCAAGAGATTAGAAGGCCAAAAATACTTCAAATGGACGCTAATTAAAACAGAACCCTAGTAGAGCCTCCCTCATCTCCTTTCATCCACCCTCTTAAACTCTCTCTCTCTCTCTATTGTTTCGAATTGGAGACTCAACATTTAAAATCTCATTGCGTCTGCCACAACATAAAGCATCATTCATCATAATGGATGACAAAACACAAACAATCTTACTTAAGCCTAATATCCAAGACTCAAGGTGGCCCATAAACTTCCCAACTCCTACTTTAAATCCAATATAAAGCTTAATAGACCCAAATGGCCATCCAAACTATCCAATTAACTTCCAATCATCTCAATTAACTAATTAAACTTCTCATTCAATGAAACTAACCTTTAGATTAAATTTTTGGATGTTACATTATGCACACCATTACAGCTCAATGATGATACTTTAGACATTTACCTTTTCAAAACAAAACTATACACTTTAAAAAATGCTCATACACACTTAATAATTACACTATAATATCATTTTAATTATCTCTTTGCTGAAAGAATAATATTAGAAAAGTATTATTAATGAAACCTTATTGTTTTCAAGTTATCTTATATTTTGAGACATCAAAATACTTTTAAAGTTCTCTTATAATTTGAGATGGAAAGAGTATATTATTTTACCTATTGCTAATTTTTCCTCCACTTTTTTTTATCCTTTAAACTTCATTTTTATGGAGATTTTCTATTAAAGCTCTTAGAATGAAGAAATCTACAAACTTAAATTTTAGGGAGAATTTTAGTTAAAGCTCTTAAAATGAAGAAATCTACAAAGTAATCTCAAAGGAGTCTAAATTTACTTCGCAAGCCTAAAGACTTAATTGTAATTAAATTGTTTGTTAAAATGATGCACATGTCCTTTCATATATATATATATATATATATATTTTAAAAAGTGTCACTGTTGCTAGCCACTGGAACCACAAGATCGCAGTAAAGCTCCCTAGCAATGATAGGGGACTTTTTTTGGAAAAAAAGAAAGAGAGAGACAAAAGCAGTGTTTTTAAAATCAAATCGGACTGGATGGTTGGACCGATTCAATCGTCGATTGATCTGATTTTTGGTCTGATTCATATGAAAAAATTATTTTAGGGTTTAAACCGTTTCGAACCTGCGATCAGATCGAGAATCGAAATCAAGCTGAGAAACGGATCCGGTTTTCAAAAATCAGATTGTTCAAAATTTTTTTATTTTTATCAAATTTTTTTAAAAAAATGACTAATTTTTTTAATCATTTGATATTATGTTGTATCATGTGGCTTATTAAATCATGATAAACTTAAAATATTTGATTTTTTTAAGTTAAATAATAATTTCATATGTATTTCTTATATTTAGATTATAATATATATAATTTTTTTAATTTAATTATTACATCATCGGTTTAACTATTGGTCCAATTCGATTGAACCATACGAACCGTGAACCTCTGACTTTTTCGGTTCAATATCCGGTCTAGTTCTGAAAATATTGGACAAAAGTATTTGCATTATTTCAACAAAAAATTCACTTACAATTAGAGCCTTTGAACTTGGAGAGAAATTTTAAATTGTTTTTCATCTTCTTTGCAGATTTTTTCATTCCGAGAGCCTGATTGAAATTCTTCCTTAAGTTTTACTCCATTTCTCTTCCCATTTAAAAAGCTTTTCTCTTTTAAAAATCATTTTATTTTATATTAAAAAATGTTAAATTATCTTGATTTTGATTTTAGAATAAACTTTCTTCATTGATACTTAGTGCTATAAAAATACTAAATCTGCTTTTTATATATTAATAACTTCACTATTATGAAGGTATTTTTAATTCTAAATATTCGCGCCATATTCATGTTCATTACCCCTGTTGAAAAATTATAAGAAAATGAGTTTTACTTTATATCTGCATTTACTGTAAATGTTCTAAAACTATTTTAGCCTATTCTAGTTCTTAATGTCAATCCAATTTTAAAAGTCAAAGCTCTTTTTTATAAAATTAATATACGTCTGACATGACATTAAGGGGAAAAAAAAAAAAGTTGCTTGTAACTCATGTATAATGGGGATTGGAGGTGAATTTTTTTTTTAGTAAATTTAAATTATATATATAACCTTCACCATTTGTTAGAGGATGGTTTAGGCTTCAGTTAAAAGAAGTTAAAATTTTATTTAAATTTCACTTAAGTATTATTAATTATAATTAATTATATTACGATGTAATCTATTTGAATACTGAAATTAATTTTATCTGCATAAATTATTATAAAGAATATTATTTTTTAAAATTAAATTATTAATAAAATTATATTTAATATTATTAAATTCATTAAACTTTATTTAAAAAGTAATATATATTATTTAATAGTAAAATTAAATTTATAAACAATCTCTCATAATTTATTTTAAAATGTGATTCTAATTCAATAATTAATTATTAAATAAATTTACTGTTTAAATAATTTTTTTTATAATAAATTATTTTGGTTTAAATAATTCATTATTATGCTATCCAAACATGTACTAAGTTAGCAGGGTTGCCTAGGTTTAGAATAGAAGGACCTTTGGCCCCCCTGGCCTTCCAGTAGATGCGGAAGGTGGCAACTGGCAAGGCATCCTTTTAGCGGCTTTGGTTTCCCTCCAATCTCCGTAGTCCATATCAGGGTTTTAAGCTGTTCACCTCACTCGTCTTCTATGCCACTTCGTTTTCTCCGCTCTACTACTTTCCCGTTTTTACTGTGATCACTGGCTGCTTCCATTCTTCCCAGCTCTGTCAGCCTCTCTGTTCTGCTGACTGTAATGAATGCCTGCGTTCGTTGGATCTTCTTTTCTTTTACTGTTCCGAGCTCTGCAACGCTGCCTTTTTGTTTATAGTTGTTCCGGCTTGCGATAGGGTTAGTATTGTATGTCTGAAATTGTGTTCTTTTGTAACTGATTTTTGTGCTAAGTGAGCATTGTTCGGGTGCTTTTTAGCACATTACAACTTATGCTAGGGATAATTTTTTGTGGGAACTTTCGCTGGCCTATAAATCTTATGCTTATGTTGATTTTGCTCCCTTACCTTACTACTGAAAGGCCAGAGTGTCATCTTCTAGAAAGATTTCAATAGAAAGAACCAGACATTATAGTCAGTCCATTCTGAATTAATCTCTTTATTCATTTGGTGTTGTGATGCAGTGCTGCTGCTAGAGTTGCCCGGGTCTGTCTTTGATTATTCATGCAATATGCCTAGGAAATATCAAATCCGATAGATTATTGATTTTGACGAACTTCAAGCAAATGAAGTTCCTTACTACAGTGGGACGGACAAGGCCGTCCATACATGGCCCATTTGGTATGATATAATTGAGAGGGTGGAAATGGAATTGAAAAACTCAGTTCTGCAATACCAAGATGCTTTTTCATTTTTTACTCCTAATCCTTTCAACCACTCAACCTTCCCGTCGAACTAGGCTTCGTGAGGACCGACCTCCGACCTCTGGCGTTCGATCTCCGACCTCCGTTGCTCAGCCACCGTCTCTCACGCTGTTCGTCTAGATTCGTCCAAGTCCAGATTCGTCGTTTGCCCAATCATCCTTGCAGAAGGCGTGATAGAGGCTTCCAGTGGCATCTTCATGCAATCTCGAAGTCATTATTCGGCGAACCAGACAGCGGCGTACCCGCACAGGCACCGCGATCATCGGATCCCTCTATCGCCAGGCACCTCTCACTCTCTCTCTCTCTCTCTCTCTCTCTCTCTCTCTCTCTCTCTCTCTCTCTCTCACCGTGTATTGGATGATGAACGGAGAAGAGTAATTGGGCCAAACCCCAATCTTCTTAGATCTCAAACCATCTGATTTCTGATCGATCTGAGTCGCCATTTTTGTATATGGCATTTGATTTCTGGTTCGATTAGGTTACAGGGGTGGTCCCTTTTTTTATCATTTGGGTTGGGGAAAATTTTTTTTGGGATGAAGGCATTTTAGTCTTTTTATATTTTTAACATTAATATTGAATAAAAATAATCAGTCACTTCCATGAGCATATCAAACACATTTTTAAACACCATGTTCATCTCTACATCCATATCTATCTCTATTTTCATATCCATCTCCGCATAGTTATAAATTTGGAGCCTCGAGTGAAGAGTAGAGAGCCATTAGCTTACTCTTCTCATAGTGCTTCATAAATCAATTGCCTTATTGAACAGGAATGGAAATGGTTCCATTCAATGTTAATAATGAAAGGCATAAATTTTTTTGTATCAAAAGTGCTTGAAATCAAAGTGCCTACTATTCTCATCTGCACGCATGTTAGGTTTTATTGAACCTTCTTGTCTAAGGGCCTGTTTGGTACTTAGTGGTAATAAGAATGGGAGTAGGAATAGGAAAGCTCTCTTGCATAAATATAAGAAGTTTGTGGATCCAAGAGAGTTGATTTGCCATCTGCTAGACACAACTAAAAATACTTTCTCTCACCTTTTCTCTTTACTCAAATCTTTTTTCCATGTACCAAACTCAGCTTAAATGCCTCTCATTTGCACTGTTATAGGGCTTTAACGGGGGGAGATAATAGGTGGTAGTTTTAATGGATTTGGACCCTTCAAAAACAGGAAATGTGTCATTAGACATGCACATCTCTTCAGATTGCATACGGATTTCTGTTCTTGTTGTGTTAGTGGAGAAACTTTAAAGTTGCTGTTTATTTAACCTGTTCCTGTGTAATAATATACTGGCTACCATGTTGTAAGACATCATAGAATAAATTATATGAAATATTTGACACTCACCAAATGCATGCTTCGCTACGCATATATGATACTATCAGTAATTTTTTCTCTCTCTCATGGTTAAAGAAGGAGAATGTTGAATTGTTGGCTGAACTTCTGTGTCTTGCAAAATTATTCTGAAAGTACTTCACCCTCACCCTAATCTTAACTTCACTTTCCAGGATTGAGTCTGAACTCATGCTCATTGTATACCAATTAGTATTCTTAGTTAGACTTTCTTTTGCCCCCCTTTCTGGTGATGTATTGTTAGATATTGGTTGGTTCTTATAATTGATCAAATTAGTGCTATTGATTCAATTTCCGATCCCCCATATCACTTGTTAAGGTTTTCTCTCACTGCTTGCTTCAAACTAGTCAGGAGCCACGATCAATTGACAGGTGTACGTCCTGGTGAAATACCTTGCTATCTTGGATATGTGTAGCGTGTTTTTAGTACTTTTTGTTTGAAATCAACCTCCTTTATTTAGAGCATCTGCAATGGCCTCATACAAGATTAAGCTGATTGGTCCAGATGGGAAAGAGAATGAGCTTCCTCGACGTCGACGATAGTTGCGTCCTCGATTCTGCAGAGTGCTGGAATTGAAATCCCCTATTCATGCTTTACCCGTGCTGGCAAAATATTGTCTTTCTAGTTCAGTGGATCGATCGGATGGCTCATTCCTCCACGGTATGAGACGGGAAGCATCTGAGTTTGCCAGGAAGTGAGATGTTTCTTTTTGATGACTTGTGTCATTACTCATGTAGCCAACTTCACTTATTGAGATAAAGGTTTGTTGTTGTTGTTGTTGTTGTTGTTTTCTGTGTCATTACTCTTGTGTCATTACAAACTAAATTATTACATTTGTACTGAGATCGCTTGGCTTCAATTTGATTTGGATTTATGCCTTGTAAAGGTTATTTTGAGGTAGATGTCACGGCTTGTCAAAGGGTGCAGTGTGCTTGATGGTATGTTTATTTATTGGCCAAGCGCCCAAGATGGTATGTTTAATTCAACCAATAAAGAATGAATCCTTCAACTGTTTAGATACTAATGTCATAAGTAAGACCTGGCCAGACTATAATAAAAACCAAATCGTAGAACTGCCCCTAGAAACCCGAATTTGTGATTCTTTCCACTCCAGAGTGAAGAGAGTGAATTTGAATAAATTTTAGGAAAATTGACAATTAGGGATCTTATAAAAATATTAATCGTAATTATAAATTCTTAATTATTGAAATTTTAATAAAGATTACGGTTTTTAATTGCAATTGAAAAAATGTGAATATTTATTTAAAAGATTTACTAAATATACTTGAAATTATAATGTTAGTTAGGAATTTACAAGAGTTGATTGTGAATTTTATTTTTTTATCGTCAATATATGAATAAATTACTTAAAAAATTAAGTAAATTTATGATTATCATTTGTGAATTGTAAGACAATCATTTACAATTTTTTTACTATCAATATATAAATAAATCATTTATAAATTTTACTAAATATAATTGAAATTATTTGTAATACTTTTTCTATCTTAAATTATAAGACACTTTTAAATAAAATTTTACACACTAATAAACTTAATTAAATACAACTAACAACCTTTCTTTTCAAAATAAAAATATAAATTTTTAAAAATATCCATCATTTAATATATTAAAAAGAGAAGGGACGAAAATTAATTATAGAGAGAGAAAAGATAATATTAAAATTGACATATTTAATGAAACTTTAATTTACCTAAAGTGTCTTATATTTCAAGACAGAGAAACTCTTTTAAAAGTATCTTATAATTTAGGATGGAGGTAGTATCAATTAAGAATTCATGAAAGTTAGTTATGAATTATAAATCAATCACTTGTAATTTTTTGTTATTGCCTGAAAAATCAACAAAAATTAGTTGAGAATCTTTGTAGCATTAGTTGGGAATTTACTAAAATTTATTGTGAATCTCAAGCCAATCAATAAAAAATAATTCATTACAAAGACCATGGCTTGTTATTGAAATTTTAATAATTTAAGGTTTGTAATTGTCATCAATATTTTTATAGGGACCCTAATTGTTATTTTTCCTAAATTTTATTATTCCCTTGGTATTATTTATAAAACTAGTTTTTTTATTTTACTTATAAGTTACATCACTGAATTTTTATAATAAGTTTTTCTTTTTTATACTCTTCATTAAATGTTGATGAAAAATATTACTAAAATATAGATATTTAATTAGGATAAAGTTAATAATTTATTAAATTTTTAAATAGAGTTAATAAATTTTAAAATTGATTATAATAAAATATGTTAAAACTAATTTATAAATAAGATGTATATGGGTAAATTTGAATATATATATATATATATATATAGAGAGAGAGAGAGAGAGAGAGAGAGAATTCTTTTTTTAATTAAATGAAAGTAAGATGATAAAAAAATGGAACTAAATTTTTGTTGGGGGGCGACTAGCTTTCCTCAATTTTATGTATCCAATCCAACCGGTTACCAAATCAGTTGCAGGCTCCGTCAAAAGGCTACAACCATGCAGGGGAGGATGGTCTCATCGTTTCGCGCGACTTGGGTTCTCGTGACTGTATAAACAAGGTGCAGAACAGGCAGTGATAAAAATAATAATCTCTTGTATCAATAATAATAATAATAGTAATAATAATAATCTCAACATGATATAAAACTTGATATCAAGTATGAACTTCATAACAAATCATATTATTTGTAAATGACAAAATGGTAAAATTCATTTCTCAGATTCGATGCCCATCCCGGCGTAGTTGAATCATAACCGTCATTTGCTAAAGCCAGAGTGGGAGTTTGGCAGGGTTATTCTTAATTTCTTATTAGTCATTAACTTAATATACCACTCTTCAGAAGCAGCAAGTGGACGTTGATAGCAGTACTTGCCTTTTATTATAGCCTAAGCAAGATCTTTGAAAAGATCTTACTTCTACAAAAGACTCCACTATGGTTACTTTTACCAATAGTTTGACTACGTGCCCAGGTTCACGTTGAAATGGGGAGTGTGTTATAATTTTTATCCAAATTATAAATAGAAATTAAAAATTAGAAAAATCAATTGTGAATTTTATATCAAACTCTTGCAAGTGTCAAAAGGCAGTGATGAGGTGTGAAATATGAATGGTAGGCTAAGGAATAGTGTCGAAAATAAAGGTCCAACTTAAAGGACTAAATTTGAAGATCATATTTAAATAAAAATTTAAATTTTAAAAATAATTTTTTTAAATAATTGGGTTTGAGGGCCTAATCCTGATAAATTTTATAAAAAATAATCTGAGCTCGGCAACCCTTCAAGTCTTATTATATTATTATTAATTTTTTTTTGTTTGGTGAGACATGCGTTCAAAACTAAAGACTTGCTCGCCTGAAGCCTTAATCTTACACACATTATATTATTATTATTTTTAATTTATTTTAAAATTAATTTAATATAATTTAATAAATATCAGTATACAGTATAAATTTTTTGATATTTTTTATTTTTTATAATAATTATTTTTTTGTATTTATAAAAAATAAAATTTTGTAACTAAGATTTAAATTTTATTACCAGACTTCTAATATGTGTTATTTAATTTCTAAAAGATTATAAAGATTTTAATTTTTTTAAATTTTAAAATATTTTAATTAATTTATAGTGCTTAATTTTATTTTATTTTTTTAAATTTTTTCAGAAGAGGACTTGCGGGGTCAACCCTAAGCCTTTCAAATAAATAAGGACCAAATCTCATAAAAAGGGCAAAAAATGAAAGACTAGATTTAAAGGCATAGGCCTTTACGAGTCGAGCCTATAAGGGCTAGATTCATAAGAGCCGATCCTGCTCCTTTCACAACTCTATGAGTAAGGAATGCATTGTTATTGTTAATATGCCTAAATAAAAATATTACAAAATGAAAGGAAGAAAGTGGGCTAATCTAAGGGCCTATTTGGTTTTCTTACGTATTATATTCAAAAAGCAAAATTTCACTTTCATAATATTAAAAGTTATTTGGGTAGAATATTTTATAAAAAAGTACATCTTAAAAACACATTTAAATAGTGACTAAAAGTAAATTTTTGAAATGTAACTATTTGAGCTTTTGAAAAGTGACTTTAAAAAGTAGGATGTTATTTGATCATACTACTCCAAGTTTAATATCTTATTCTTTTATTTAAAAAATAATTAATTCATTAAAAATATAATTATCATTTCAATAATAATAATTAGGTATCAAATTTTTATCCTTATAAATTAAATAATTAATCATATTAACTTTTAACATTAAGGTATAATAAAAACTACAAATATTTATTACATTTTCTAAAATTACAAATTAAAAAAGTACAAATAACTAAAGATTAAATTTTTAACATTATAAATCAAATTTTGCGTTGTTTAAAATTTTTATCACATTTTTTAAATAATTTAAATATATTATATTTGTATAATAAAAATTATAAATTATTATAAATTAATGTCTTTTTTGATAATTGTATATTTAAAAGCACATTTCACTATCACAAATTAAATAAATTTTAATATATCAAATTCATTTTTAAAAAATATATTTAAATATAAATTTTATTATAATAACTTATTTTTATTAAACTAAATTTTATTAAATAAATTTTTATCAAATTAAAAATCAAACACACTAAATCTGTCTAGGATTTCAAGGTTGTCCTCCTAGACGAGACCTGTTTATCAATGCGATCAAGATTGCATGTTGTCAGGTTCGACAATGACAGCGCTCGGAGCTTAACTGGAAAGCGGATTGCTTGCTTTCAGCTGAAGCCACGTTTCAATTAGACTAGTGATTCTCGTTGGCAGCCGCAGGTAAAGTGGCAGTATGTGTCTAAAGATATTGTTTTTAGAAACTATTTCATCGTATAAAAGTTAAACAGACTTCTTACAAAATAAATAAGGATCCGAGACAACAACAATTTATAAAATAAATTCAAGCAACAATATAAATAAAATAATATTTTTTTATTTTAAATTATAACATATTTTTAAATAAAATTTTATATATTAATAAATCTCATTAAATATATTTGACAATTTTATCTTTTTTAAAAAATATAAACTTCTAAAAATACTTCTTATTTAATATATTAAAAAGAGAAGGGATAAAAATTAATTATAAAATAAAAAAATAAAATTAAAATTAATACATTTAATAAAACCTTCATTTATTTAAAATATTTTATTTTTTAAAATAAAAAAATTTTAAAAATACTATATAATTTGAGACAGGGGTAACAATATAGTAATATAAGAGAAGAGTGAACTTAAAAGTACAAAAGCTGGGGCACAACCCATGACAACCACCGTTTTTTATAGACAAAAATTTTAAAATACTAGGCAATAAACACATCTTAACCATTGTCAGAAATGGTTTCAAATAATGGTGGTGTTTAAATTATATGTTATAAAACAAATTTAAATAATAATTAATATTATTAATTTATAACAATTTTTTTTGAAATATCCCAAATATTTTATAATCTCCAACGACTCTCTTGTTATAATTCAATCATGTTAATTAATCACTCCCTTTTGTCCCATTATATGACATCTTTACAAACTAGGAAATAATGGTTAATTCATTAAATATGTTTTAAAATAATTTTTTTAATTTTATCCCTATTAAAATTAGAAAGATAAGTCACGGAATTAAATGTATAATAGGAATAAAATGAAAAAGTGATAATGAATAAGCCTCTATGTGTCTTATATTAAATGCAAATTCTTTTTAGAAAATGTTTTATAATAAAGACAGGTGCAAATATTTTATTTGATTCTCTCATTATAATTAAAAAAGAGTTACTATTAACGGGAATAATGCATAATAAAAATTTAATTCATCATGGCACCACCATTATCATTCATGGTGCATTATTAATTATATGGACCTCGCAATGATGCAAATTTGCAGCCAATGGAGGAGTGTAGCAGTCACCAAGCTGGTGCAATTTTGTCGTCCATGGGATATTATACGTATTACATTTTCTGCTATCAAAATGGAGAATGAAGATGTCAAGAAAACCCTTCGAAGGAAGTTTCTGATGTCTCTTTAATTCCCATGCATTCATCGAATCGAACTGTAGCGTAATAACTGGCGTTGATGGAATCGAAGACAGAACTAACTCAAAAATGATTTTTTTTTTTTTGCCAAAGACTAATTAAAAAATGATACTACTAGTATCCGTAGAATATTTTATTCCTCCCGTGACTTTTAATAATCTCATTAAAATTAATAAGAAATAGTTAAATTATTGATATTATTTTCTTAGAAAAATTTTATTGATATCTTTAACAACAAAATATTTCAGGTTACTCTACTTATAGAAAATTATAAAAAAATGGAAATATAATAATATTTTTTATACAAAATTACTTATAATAAGAGTATCAAATGATATTCCTTTCATTTTCATTAATAAAAGAAATTATCACTTTTAATTTTTTTATAAAAATAAAATTATAGGCATTTATTGTAAAGTTTTTAAATTATCCTTTATAATTTTATCATTCATAATTATCAAAAAAATTAATAAAAGATTGATTAATACAATTAATAAAGAGCATTATAGGTAATTTTTTTTATTTTTAAATATAATTAATATAATTAAATAATTTTTTTAAAGTATGTGATATAATTTTTTTAACAAATAAAAATGGAGGGAGTGTATATTAAGAGCTGATTGCTTGCATCCGAATAACTGATGAAGAGGTCCTCATTCCGTAAACTGATAATTCCAAGACACGTGCCATCACTCCGGTGTCAGCCGACCTTCAGAAAGGGCGGTGCTCAACACGTGGGCTCTACTCAGATCCGCCTCCATGCCCTTTTATTTTATTACAATCAAAATTATATTTGCACACTTTTTGGGGGCAACTGTAATGAAAATATTTGCGATAATATATCTCCACTCCCTCTTTAATTGCATATGGAAAATTAAATTAAAACGTTTAAGCAAGTGATATTTATTTTGAATAATTTTTCAATTTCTAAATAAAAAATTTAAAATTGAACTGGCTAAAATTTCAAATAAAAAACTTTTTCTTTCTGTTTTACCCTAAAGTTCAAATGGGACCATTTACCGGTTCGGGAGTTGGTTGTCTCCAGCCTGGCATGTATTCCTCAATTTTTTAAAACAAAATAAATAATATGAAGATATTTTGTTACAATTATTAAAAATAAAAATCACAACAATTTGAATTAATATCAAAAAATATAAAATATAAGATTTATACTAAGTAGTAAGTACCGTAGCAAAAGAAATGTTATACTGAGTAATACAATTTGCACGCATTTCTTAATCATATATATTATTGAAATAAGGGGTTATGTAATTTTTGAAATGCATAAATTTTTTGGAAATATATTAACGAATGTGAATGTCAAGCTCAAATAAAGTAGCATTATTTGTAAGTTACAAAGAATGTAGCTGATTTTTTAGATTTCGTGCCCATATCTCGTTAATATTTATTTTTTTGCTCGAGTTGTGACGTTTTAGAAGTTTTATTTTCCAGACATTTCCGCTCTGTCATTAAATTTTAATGATGCCCATAAATTTGGAAACTGTGAAATCTAACTTAAACCTTCAATATATATTGTATATTCCCTTCATTTAAAAATAAATAAGGCATTTTTTTAAAAGATTGGTTTTTTTAAAATTATAAGACATTGTTAACATTTTAAAGTGTAGCTAATATATTTTATTCAAAAATATTTTTATTAAATGATTTATTTTATATTTATTTTTAAGTAAAATATCTGATTAAATAAAAAATAAATATAAAATAATAATATTAATTTGAGTACATAAAACTAGTTTATCATAGATGAGTTGAACATTCCTTGATTTTTTGAGGGAGGGAGTGTAAACGTTTCAACGATCTCTCCAGTGGACATCTAGGTGTTCGAGGAGGTGAATTAAATATCTCCGGCTTTGCAGAGATACTAATTCGCAATTTAAGGTCTAAAAGGGACAGCTAACCTAAATGATAAATGAAGCCAAAAATAATCGTACATTAAATTAATCAACGAAAAGTGTGAAGCTCTGTAATGAATATTGAAAACGGAACTCTCTCTGGGTACATATATCAGTTTGTTTGCGGAGAAGCTCTGCTAGCGGACTGATCTCACATTGCCTCGGTTTCTCTGCTTGCAAGCGTGGCCCTTTTGATTGGCTGCCATGGCCAAGATCAGATCAGCGATCACCAGCCTTTCTCTCTTTCTCAGATTTCTATTACTGCTTCTCTCTGTTTCGGGTTCGTTATTCTTCGCTTGTCTCCTTCTGCATGATTCTGTTTGATTCCCGGAAAAGTGCAGGAAATAGACAACGCAGCCTTTATTCTATTCTTTGTTTCCTCATGATCGCACATTCGAGCCTTCAGCCTTGTTGAGTTAGTGATAAGAATGCAGTTCCATTCAAAGTGTTTGAAACGTGTGCTTTGAAGAATAAACAATCAAATTAGATTTTCTATTCTGTTCCTTATTATATGCTATATCTTGTTCGTATACTAGTCCGATCTAATAGCGGGATTTTCTGTTATCACATTTGTTTCCCAATGAACCTGTAATAATCACCTACTCACACCATTTTCCATTGGATATTTTTGTTATTGTGCTTTAGAATGCCTCATTTTAAGTAGAGTGAGTGTTGCAGCTGCAGTGATTTCTTTTACTGCAAATTCTGGATTTTCGGGGGTTAATTTTTAATCATTTGTCCAATGTATGCTCGTGTGTGTATGTATTTATTTAAAGAGGGCTGTTTCAAACGTCTTAGATGTTTCTCAACACTCAAACTCTGTTTTCAGACTCTCTGGTACAAATCCAAGGCGTTGGGTTTGGAATTAACTACGGACAGATAGCTAACAATCTACCTTCTCCCTCTCGCGTTGCCGTTCTTATAAAATCTATGAACGTAAGCAGAATCAAACTCTACGACGCTGATCCCAATGTTCTACTAGCCTTCGCCGATTCGAACGTAGAATTCGTCGTAGGGCTTGGAAACGAGTATCTCCAGAGCATGAGAGATCCAGTCAAAGCTCAAACATGGATTCAACAGCATCTTCAACCCTACCTCTCTCGCACCAAAATCACCTGCATTACTGTGGGAAACGAAGTCTTCAACAGCAACAACACCCAGTTAATCTCAAACCTTCTCCCAGCAATGCAAAGCGTTCATAATGCCCTATTAAATCTTGGCCTGGAGCGACAAGTCACTGTCACTAGTGCTCATTCTTTTAACATTTTATCCAATTCCTACCCTCCATCTTCTGGAGCTTTCAGGCAAGATCTGGTACAAAATATTCAACCCCTTCTAAGCTTTCTAGCTCAGATCAAATCACCCTTTCTCATCAACGCTTATCCTTTTTTTGCATACAAGGATAACCCGAATGAGGTTCCTTTAAATTTTGTGCTGTTTCAGCCAAATCAAGGGATGAATGATCCGAATACGAAATTGCATTATGATAATATGCTCTTTGCTCAAATTGATGCCGTGTACTCTGCGATTAAAGCTCTGGGTTATACTGATATTGAAGTCAGGATTTCAGAGACAGGTTGGCCTTCTAAGGGTGATCCTGAGGAATTAGGTGCTACCCCAGAGAATGCAGGAATATATAATGCTAATTTGGTGAAAATAATGGAGCAGAAGCAAGGCACTCCCGCCAATCCGTCAGTTCCGATTGATATCTACGTCTTTGCGCTTTTTAATGAGAATTTAAAACCTGGTCCCGCGTCAGAGAGAAACTACGGCCTCTACCATCCCGATGGTACTCCAGTTTATAACATAGGATTGCAGGGTTATCTCCCAGAAATGATTGTATCCAAGTCCAACGTAAGTAGAGAGACATGATTAGATTCACCAGCTTTGCTGTTCAATTTTTATTTATTTCATTTGCTAACTCCAATGCTTAATACTCCATCGCAGATTTTGTCCGCCAATTTTCTCGTCTATTTAATTTTAGGATTAGTTTATGTCGGAGATATTTCCAGATCATGACAAGAGGGGACTCTCAAGGTAGATCAAAGGAAAATGTGGGTTTTGGTATATCATTCTTTTGCACAAGGAAGATGGTGAAGGTGAGGGGAGTCGTCTCTGTATCATTATCTGAAAGGTGGTTGTTACTTTCTTCATTTAGATTTCGTTGATCCTAAATGCTAACTTGTCCCACCTCTATTCTTTGTGCTAGTTGATTCTGCCGTGGCATATCTAATAAACAATGATCATGGACAAAAAAGACATGAAGTATGTGAGAAAGTCCAGTATCAGGTGCAAAAGGGAAAGAATTTTTTAAAGCTGATGTGCTTTAGTTGAATTTCTGACACACAGAATTAGATGTATTTGATTCATTAAATATAGATAAAATCAAGTGATTTATACATAAATATCCATTCAAAATTAGCATCCAACTGAACAATGACAAATCAGATTCTTCGCCTAGAATGCTTTTTAGCTAATAGTATTATACAAATTAGAAGTCGTGTATCTGATGGGAAGATTTTTGGAACTATACTGTGGACTGTGGAGTCATTTTGATTGGTCTATCAATTTTCCGTCTAAATTTAATTTTATGAATGTGCCAATTAGATTTTGTGAGCTGTGACTCATAAGTCGTACTCATAATCACACCCAGAGTCTGCAAAAAAGCCTTGCTTTGCATTATTTATTAAAAAGTATGTGGTGGCAAACTGGCAATGATTCATTATCTCTGTCTTATATCTTCCCCTGGCAACATGAATACGAATGTGGGAATAAGTTCTACTTGTCTTCAGCTGTACGAAAAGGTTCAAAAGAATTAGGTTGAATTACAGAATTGCATATCAAACGCGACCTAGCTCGGAAATTGAACCCTGTTTTTTGGACTAAAAGTTACGTAGAAAACTCTATACAGAACACGAGTGACAAAAAGAGGTGCAGATGAGTCGATGGCTCCACATGGTGGACAATGGACCTTTTTGTGCCTGGTCCAAACAAGATTGCCGGATGGATTTCAACACGAAATGTGATAGCCAGCCAGCCAGCCTAGCTGCTTCTTTTTTCACTTTTTTTCTGAATCGGCCCTACTGCTGTACGACTCCAAAAACGTACTGTTATGCCATGTTTTGCACGAGCTCGTCCCTGTGATACAACTTGTTCTTCCCTTTTGCTTATATTTAGCGGATCCCAAAAGTTATTTTGATATTAGTTTGGGAAAAAAACTTCATGCCTAACTGTTTGAAGATTTATGACTTCATGATATTGCTGCATTATTGCAGGGTACAAAAGCAGCACAGATTTTACTTGTCGGCAAATTTTGCACTCCCATAACTAGACGCGGCCGCAATAAGGCTGGACATTGGAAGTGGAGTATAGTGATTTTATCAAAGGTTAATAATACCGTGTGAAGTACTACTGATCGGGTAGGTGGGCTCTGTTGTATGTGTAGAGCTGTGGAATATATTATAGTGGCTTGTAAGCCACACAATTTGTTTTATGCTTTCTCTTCCCAGAAAGATTTACTAGCTAGGTGCAATGATTTGTGCTGATTCAATTTATGGTTATTTATTAATAAATTGGCTTGAGCAAAATTTTTTAGGGAAAGCAATTTAAATATATAATTAAAGTAAAAAGTAAACATACTACGAAGTGGAAGACTTAAAAAAAAAATTAAACATTATTGAGCAACCATGGCAAGAAACTAAATATCGAAAAGAAAAAGTCTTTCTGTAGGATAGCAAAGTGAATACTCTTGAAGGTGACAATCAAAGCAGAAATATCCACGTAGACATCATTTGAATGACAACTGGAAAGAAATATTTTTGAGAGAAATTTCTTCCTAACAGTTAACCTCCAAATGAGTGGTAGAAAGACCATGTTTGGGTCTTAAATTGTAAATCCATCAAAGAACTGGTCGAAAACAAAGGAGATAGGGGGGAAAAAAGGGAGTCTCTCAAGCTTGCTTTTTCATGACAAAACTAGTGAAAATTTGAGACTTCCAACATATAAGAATCAAACAAAAAATTTGTCTGCCCTTCAAAACTTTCTTGAACTAGATATATCCCCATCATTGGATGATGTCCAAGAAATCTAAGATAAAGACTAGTTATTTTCCTGAGCATTTTTATTCCAATCACATATTTGATCCAAAAGGAAACATCGGCTTTTGAATTCCCTTAGAAGTTGAGTATATGGTTTAAAATGAATAAGAATGTTTTTCCTACCCTTTTTTTTTCCTACTTTTTAAAATAACTAGATATGGGTTTAATGGATTGCATGAAGTCAAATGGCCTGTATTGTCTGCGACCATGGATTTTGTGGCTAGTTATATTTATTTATTTATTTTGTTATATTGATTAGTTCTCCATAAAATGTATTTCGTGTAAAACCTAACATCCAATTTAGTAATTTACAAACTTAGACATTAATCATCAATACAGAATAAAATAATTCTACTAAATTACATTATTTATTAAACGTGAACAATGCAGGATTTTTTTTTTTAGATTTCATACAATGCATGAATTATGTATGATTTCAATTTATGAGAAGAGATATTCATATTTAGCATCTGATCATATCTCAAATAAGATTATTTTTAATAAGAAAATACTTATACATAATTAAACAAAAAACTCTCTCTTATGTAGATTTAATGTTTCAATCGACATAATCTTTAACATGACTTTAAATCGTACATATTGGCATAAATGTATATCAACATAGTTGCGTTACATTTATTTATTTATTAACAGGTGTCTAAATAAAACTCACATGCAAGCTCGTCGCTTTGACAGTGCTAAAGCCAGGTCACATCGAAAGCATAAGGATACAAACAACAGAAACTTGGTCCAAAGTTAGAGTATAAAACGGGGAGAGAAATCATGAAAGATCTTGTTACCGAAAGAAGTAAACTGGGCATTAGACATTAGGCCCAAAAGCTGGCCTTAAACACTTACGGATGAAAGCCCTAATTGAAGCCCAAAGGGTCAGTCTTGTCTTGTCTTGTCTTAGGGCTGATAATGGCGGGAAAGACAACTAGGAATTGGTAATCTAGGAATTGGTAATCCGGATTTCGGATATATATATATATATATATATATATAGAGCGTCGAGATAACTTCGCCAATTTTTTCGCAGAGGATGGGAGAGACAGAAAAGGTGGTGCCGGAGGCGGAGGAGCTACCCAAAGCTATTGTGCGCCGGGTGGTGAAAGACGAGCTCTCACGGTGCTCCAATGACGGAGATATTTCCATTCACAAAGATGCCCTTCTCGCTTTCTCGGAAAGCGCGCGGATCTTTATCCACTATCTCTCTGCAACGTCAGTACTATCTTCCAACTCTAATTTTTATCTTCTCTGAAGTCTGAACTCGGTTTACTTTCATCTATAGCGGGCCTATAGGGTTTTGGGTTGAAATTTTCTCTCGCGTTCATATCTTTCTGGAACTTATTAGCCCTTTGTCTTTTGTTCAGTCATTTTTTTGCAAAGAACGATTGTTTTATCGCAGTTAATCAATCTAGTGAACTTATAATTTAAGACTAGTTCAGCTATTTAAAATTGAACACTTTTTTCCGGGGAATTTGATTATTGATGGATAACTGCAAAGGGATTGATAATGGGAAGTGCCAATGTCGATTCGGTAATTCACTCATTTAACTGAGCAATATGTGACATGAGAATCAATATATGCTTTCGTTGATGGGGTTGTAAATATTCCATATTTTACCTTGCTTAGTGTTTTAAACAACTAATAATAATATGGTTCAATACAATGAGCAGGGCCAACGACATATGCAAGGAAGCAAAGAGGCAGATAATAAGCGCCGATGATGTATTTAAAGCTCTTGAAGAGACCGAGTATTCCGAGTTTGTCGGGCCACTAAAAGCTTCTCTTGAAGGTAAATCAACAAACTTGATTTCCTGTCCGCGGTTATGTTGATCAAGATATTTCATGCGACAATGGTGATGTCTTACTCTATTCCTTGCTGTGAGAATGTGTCTATACATGCATGTCGTGGACGAAGAAAATATAGTATTTTTCTATTTTCTTCAAGATTTGGTGTGATGTATTCTGGTCAATTATTTCAAGAAGATGATGGGTTTCCATTGAAATAAAGGAAGTAGTTTTATTTTCAGTTATTTGGCTCCAGTTGAGGTTGCTTTGCCTTGATGTGTGCTCTCAACCTGATCATGACTTGCTGTTGATGAAAATTGGGCTCAGGGCTTAATTGTAGTGGGATTGGAAAATGTATTATCTGCTGTAGGTAGTAGAAGGAGAGGGACTGGGGGATACACGAACATTGATGTTTCAAATTAGTGATCTTATTCGCAAATCGCAATGACTTGCTTTGTCAGCGGGGTATTTTTGGGGAAAATTCTTACTTCGGCCTACCTTACAATTTTTCTTCATTGCTTACCAGAGTTTAGGAAGAAGAGTGCTGGAAAGAAAGCGGGTGCATCAAAAGAAAAGGACGTGAAAAAGAAAAGGAAGTTAGAAGGTGAGTCATCTGATAAAGACGAGGAAGTTGACAACAAATAAGAAGTTGGGAGGGCAGGATCGAAGAGAAGTTGAAGTTTTCATGACTGCCTGTGTTATTTGTGGTTTAAAATTTGGATAACACGCACGAAATATTGTCGCATTTTATGCTGCGCACAACGTAAAAAATATGGCTTTCAGTAATGCTCGTGCCTCACCACTCCTCCCCCTCGGCTCTAGGCAGATTGAAGAAAATGACTGGCTTCCCTCTTGGCTCTACTCCAATTTTTACTAGCAAGTTTTTTATTAGCTCAAAATCTGCGGGGGATCGTATCCTTTCACAAAAGCATGTCGGTTAAATTTGTGTTTCAGTACTATTTATAAGCTCACCCTCTTTGGGTCAGTCATTCATAAGCTCACCTTTAATTTCATAAACTTCACACAAGTCCTAACATCTTAGGCACCAATTGGGAAAAACTACTTTTCACATCCCAAAAGTGTTTTTTTTTTTTTTAACTTTTGGGATGTGAAAGGTTATTTGGGATAATTTTATTAGATGAGATGTGCTTTCAAAAAAGACTTCTTGATTGGGTTCAAACGTAAAAAATTGGAAGTAGCATTTTATAGCGTTTCAAATGTAAATGTGGGCATGTAATGGTTGGTACCTGATATTGTAATTGATCATGATATTCTCCTTTATTTTTTCCTTCTTCTCATGCAACTGAGGCTCTAGCTCCTCATCTGGTGATTCTTTACTCGCTCCTTTTTCGTTCCTCTTTCACTCCTTTACCATCTAGTCACAGATTGGAGTCCCTCCATTTCTTCCTTCCTTGCTATTCTAGTGCCCCATTTCTTCATTCCTACCTTGAATCTTTCATGAATCAAGTCATTTTTTAGATTTGAACAACATTTCAAAATTGAGAGAAGTCAAAACACTTGGGTTTAGAACTTGTAGAGTGCAACCACCAATGTTTAGACCAGCTCATCAAACTCTGACCTCCTCTTCCAATCTGCTCTTCAATCTGATAACCTCCAACCATTTTTTGTTAAATTTGAAAATGGTGGTCCTTTGTTTTCCATTAATATATGAAAAAGAAGCATATGTATGTTCGATTTGACCTCGCTGGTTCTCTGATTTGATCTCGCTGGTCCTTTGTTTAGTTTTGATTCTGCTTGTGTTGGCCTTTTGTTTCTTTTCTTTACCTTTTTCAATCGAGCTTTTGTCTTGATTCTGCATTCGTATCTATTATGTTTGAAAACTTTTATCTTTTTTATCATGTCTAGACTATAGTATAAATATTTGTAGTTCTTTACCAACATGGTCTCTAACCAAATTGCATGGCCATAATTGTGGGAGAACTTGGACAAAAGAAGATATCCAATAAGACAGGGAAAGCCTATGACTGGGTCTAGTTTGAAGTTGTTAGTGTGTTGAGTTGATTCAAAAGAGAAATTGAATATAAAATGACCATTGGAGTAGATTGATGTGTTCCTTTTGCTTTGACATCTTCCTATTATGTGGTGGCAGGTAGTCCTAGCATTGTTTTGTATCAACTTCCAAATCCTTTATTTCTCTCACTCTATGAAGCTTGCCTGTGTGAAATATTTAGATATGGTTATAAATTATTAACAAAATAAAACTTTCCATAATTTAAGTTATAGATCAAAGTGGGTTGGTTATGCGAATGGAGAAATCAATCATAATCTAAGTTATACTTGCACATGATTGACATCTCTTTTTGGCAAAAGGAGAGGTCTCAATGGAAAAAAGTGGGACGCGGTGTATATTATGTGCAAATATTTTAACTCTTTTAATTTGATTTTTGAAAATATGATATTTCGATAGTAAATATGAGTAAAGAGAAGGCACTGTAGACAACTAAAGAGATCGAACTGTTCATCAAATTAGCTCTCTAGCAAGTTAAAAAAAAAAGAAGCATAAAGATTTTACCTTATTAAAGGAGGGTTGGGGGTACTAATGTAACAGTTCAATGGATTTAGCTTTTAAAAGTTATGATAAAAAGCAATTGAAAAACAAATGGGACAATTTGAGAAAAGATTGAAATATATAGGACAAACTATTGTTCAAAGATTGGTTTAGAATGGGATAGTGAAAAGAATAATGTATTAACATTAGAGGAGTGGTGGAATTAAAAGATTAAGATGTACAATTATACATGTCATGTTGTATATTTGATTTTTTATTTTGTAAATATACTGGACTCAGTTCTTGTAAATGTGTAAGAGAATCTTAAGTACAAAAAATTTAGATATAGACCACTTCCATATGTACATGAATTGACAGAGTTATTCCAGCTAGTTGTAGCACAAGGCACTTATACGTGGACACTTATTGCTGATGATCCACAAGATGTATATAGGCCTAAATTGGATTTAACTAAAAGATCAAGAGACAGTGATACGTAAGAAATAATAGTGGAGTTCTCCCAAAAATTGGACAGGTTAACTTGAATAATGCATATAATGATGGTACTAATTCAGGAAGCAGGCAAACGAGAGGTGAAAATGGTCAAAACAAAAAGGGAAAATATCTTGCATCTATAATGATTGATTCAGTGAATTGTTTGCTTTCAACACAAGAGGATAGGGTTACAACACTAAAGTCAATTCTTAATTTAATGGAGAGTGGAACAAAACCAGTTGATCAACATGTAATAGATATTAAGAAGGAATTTTATGGAATCAAAGAGATTGTTAGTGATGAGGCACTTCCTGAACAATGTGTTGTGGCCTTGCTAGATAAGACTACAAGGGACATGTATATTAGGCTTAAAGACAATAGAAGAGCATCAGTGGCCCATTTAAAGTGCTTGGGTAAGAAAGCAGATTAGATCAATTCTTGCTTACTTTCTCAATGTTTTAAACATAGCTAGTGTCGTTTATATTGTTAACTTTGTTTTTAAATTGATTGTGTTATTTAGCTCTTGTTTTATGTGTTTTTATTTTAAGTTATGAATAATGGTATAATGGTTGTTAAATTATGTTTTGCAATTTTTATAGATGAAAGTACATAGTCTCGCTTATTACAATTACTTATACATAAGAAAGACAATGAGATTAAAGCTATTACTACAATAGTATCTAATTACTCAACATATGTATAAAAAGAGCCTTGTAGATTTAGTTTACAATCAGGTCATGCATGGGTGCAAAAAATTTTACAAGGGCATCCTTAACGTTGTTATGACATGTTTCACATGGAAAAGGATGTTTTTTTTTAACTTTGTGATGAACTGGTGCAACATGGTGTACGTCCAACCAGAAGAACAAGGATTCATGAAATGGTCAGTATGTTCTTAAATATTATTGAGCATTGGGTAGGGAATAAGATGGCACAAGAATGGTTTTAACATTCAGCAAAGACTACCCACAAACATTTTAAAAATGTATTGTATGCTTGTGAGAAGCTAGCAAAAAAAAATATTCAACCAAGAGATCGCACTTTTTAAGATATACATCCAAAAATTTTAGGTGACTCACAATATTGGCCATTATTTAAAGATGCCTTAAGAGCGATTGATGGAACACATATCTTATGCGTGGTTAGTGTTGAAGAGCAAGAGAAATATATTGGAAGGAAAGGTATTTCAACACAAAATATAATGACCGCATGTAATTGGGATATATACTTCACTTATATCATAACTAGATGGGAAGGGATTGCCCATGATGCTCGTTTATTTGACTATACACTTACAAGCTCGAGCATAAATTTTTCACATCCACCCCAAAATATATTTTATATTTATCTAATTTAAAATAATTTTTTTAATATTTTATGAGATCTTACAATTTTTATTTTTTATTGGTAGGTAAATATTATTTGTTGGATACTGACTATCCAACATCACGTGGATAATTGAGTCCTTATAAATTTCATAGGTATCACCTCTCAAATTTTAGGTGTTCATTCAAATTTGCAAACAATATTGAGGTTTTCAATTATTATCATTCAAATTCAAGGGCGACGATTGAAGGAATTTTTGAGGTTTGAAAAAACAGATTTATAATCTTACGACACATGCCTAGTTATCCACTTGTGACGTAATTTTGTATAGTTGGTGTAACAATGGCTATACATAATTTTATTAGAAGAAAATTTATAATTGATTCTGACTTTAGGCATTTTGAGGATAAAAATATGGTTAATACTAATGATGATTATGGTGAGCATGTATTTTCATCATCAATTCCAAGTGCAATTTCAAGCATGGCTTTTGATGGAAAGAAGAATAGGGTTCGAGATTCTTCTAGTGATCAGATTATATATTATAGATCGAATCATCAATCATATAACTATTTAATATTCATGAATGTTTAACTATTTATTACATAATTTTTTTCAATATTAAATTTTATTTTTTATTCTTATTATGTAACATTTTAAATTTTATGTTATTTTAAATTTGTTTGACATTTTTTAAACATTTCTAATATATTATATTTGTATAATAAAAATTATAAATTATTATAAATAAATATTCTTTTTTATCATTGCATATTTAAAAGTACATTTCAAAAGCATAATTTTTTATTAATCTAAACAACTTTTAATTTGCCAAACTAATCTTTAAAAAATATATCTAAACATAAATTTTATTACGACAACCGACTTTTTTCAAATGAATTTTCACCAAACTAACTTTTGACAAACTAAAATCCAAACATACACTTAATATTAACATAAATAATTAAGTATTAACAATATGCAATACTTTGAAAATCACATGGCATAACCCGTCATTTCGAATTGACTATTCCCTCCGTTAAAAAATGTAAGACATTTTTTTAAGAGTTAAATGTTTAAAAATATAAAGCATTTTTAATCTTTTATAGTGTAATCATTATTTTTTTTTTAAAATGCCTCTATCAATAATGACTTTATATTTATTGTAAGGCATTTAATAAAGATAAATATAAAAAAATAGAGTAAGTTGAAAAGTAATTAACTATTTTATTGAGAAAAAAATTTAATTAAAAATACTTTATATTTTTAAATGGAAGGAGCATATTTTTACTTGTAAGGGATCATCTAAATGAATATCAATCCCTTGAGGGGAAAAGAAATGCAGAATTAGACTTGCCTTTGGTTTCTATCTATGTAGATTTAATTTGTATCATTTATATTTAAAAAAAATCAAAATCTTCTAATTGGCACTTCGTAAGAAAAATGTTTCAAAGCAAAGAACTAAAAAAAAAAAGTGAAGTTTAAAATGTTCACATGGATCTAAACGAATCTCACCATATGAATAAGTATACCATCTACTCATTCTTGCGATTAACAAGAATCCGATAATTTAAACAGTTCTCTACTTCTGCTCTCTCCATCAAAACATCTGTACTAGTAGAGGGAACCCAAAGTATATTATTATCTAAATGAACATTCTATATAGAATTAAATAGCTGGTTCAGGCCTTCTAGGGAGAAAACAGAAGAGAAGTACGAATTTATGGGATTAACTATCAACATAGAAAGAGCAGAGCTCAAATAAAAGTAAATCCTTACATCCTATGTAATCAATACAGAGACTATCAAAATTGTATAGTTAATAAAAACAATGTTATAGCACACTTAGATAAATTTTGATGATGTCAAGACACCAAGCAAGCTTGAAATTCAGGGACCATCTAATATGGACGGTATCTGCGCCCTTGGCCACTAGCATTGTTGTGCCTTCCCTTGCTTGAACTGCCGAAGTTCCTGTTGCCACTCCCTCCATTCCTGCCGCCTCTCTGATGTGACGGTGGGGTCTGTGGCTGCATTCCTGGTTGTTGCCTACGTAAGATAAATGCTCAGAATGTCAGACAAACCAGTATTTTGCATGCAACTCCCCGTGCTGGATAATTCGATTTTACATTAGACTTTGAATTTGTGGTTTTTCTCTCTATTTGTTATTTAAAAAAGTGATAGAACAAGAAAGAGACTAAAAGTATCGGATAGAGCAAAACAATGTATAATCCACTTACAGGACATATCCAATTCGCCCGTCTGGCAAAAGCATGGGCATCATGGCCATTCCACTTGGAGCAGGACCCCTTCCATGTATCATGGGCTGCAAGGGATTCGACTATTTGGCTTCAGATTAAATCATTATAAATGTCACCTTAAAAATGGCTCATTACACATGCACCCTCTTGCATGTAATATTCAACTCAAGCAGATGCAAGATGTTTATTCAAATTTGAATGATACTGCACTTGTGGTCTAAAAGTAAAAGGAGGAATGAGACTTGCAGAGATTTAGATTTATAATCTCATCTTCACTGTTTAACATAAAAGGGATGGCTTTAAGTAAAACATCAAAATACAATTAAACGAATGTTCTCCAAGGTCCAAACAAGCAGAAAAAAGGATATCAAAAAGAAAGAAAAAGCAAACGCACATGTGCCACCTGTGCAAGACCTGCTGCACCATATCCAGCGCCTAGCCCACCATAGGCACCTCCAATCAAATTATAACCAACATGGGGAGGGTAGCCTGGAAGCAATCCTGACTTCTGTGTATTTGATCCTCCCGACTTGTCAACCTGTGGCTTTGCTAGAGAGCACTCCAAAACTTGACCTAAATTAGAGTAAACATAATCAACAATATTGAAGAATATGCTTCTAATTATAAACATGCATATAGAGATAAAAAGCAGTTCAAAATTTACCATTTAATTCGTATCTTTCAGTGTTTTTAAGTGCTTTCATAGCACTTGACTTCTCCACAAAATGTACAAAGCCAATTCTGTTCCTTTCCTGCCCAGACTTTGCTGGCGGCAGAACCACCTTTGAAATCTTTCCATGGTGTTCGAAAAGCTTCTTTAGTTGATCTCCAGTTACATCCTTAGGTAAGTTCTTAACATATACTGCCCTCACCTGCTAATACATGCTTCAGAACTCACAAAATTTATGCAGAGAGAAATCCCCACCAGGTATAAATTTTAATGAAGCAGTCAAGTGCCAAATGCCAAAATAAATCAACTAAAAACAAATGAGAACACACTGTACATAATCAACAAAGTCCCTTACCATGATAATGGCCAAATCAGATTCACGACTGTAGGAGGGATGACAGATTCAACAAGATTCATCTTTCAAAAAGATTAACATGGAGGGAAGAGACGATTCCCATAAAAAAAAAAAAAAATGTTCTTGGCAAAAAGTATGTTCATATTTCATACAAGAGCAGTGTCTAGTCAGCAATGTGCATATGAAGAAAGCTATCAAAATTCTGAGACAGGAAACAATATTGGCAAATAGCCAACCAATAAATACTAGCTACTCTAGCAGAAACTAGGTAGCAGGCAAAGGGAGGAATTAAAGAGTGATAATTTGGCAGCTAAAATACGTCAGAAGTAATATTTTACCTGAGAGGGGTTTAGTTTCCATTAATAATGGAAGTACTTGATATTGAAGAACGAACAATGTGAAAGGAAAACAAGAAACATCAAACAGTCATTTTCAAAGAACAAACAGAGCCTAAAAGGTGATAGTTTGAGGAGAACAAATTATAATCTGCTTCATCTTTTATTAAAATAAGCAGAGTTTTGAAAGGAGGCTTATAACATCTTAAAAAAAAAAATTACACTGATATCTGATATGGACAATATCAATGGCTCCATCAATGTTCCAACTTTTTATTATGTTGCTTAGTATCCCATTACATTAATCACAGTTAAAAATTATCAAATATGCTTAAAATAAATAATAAATATGAAGCGAGAGATTTAAAACCTGAGATGCAGCAGAGGAATCAGAATTTTTAGGGTCAGCCCAGCTCACTGTTGGAGCATTGTCACCTAGCTTGAATTTTGGATTCATCATCTTTTTCCTTGAATATTCAGCACATGCATGATTATAATAGTCGACAAAAGCAAAACCACGATTGTTTGTTGGGTGCTTCATATCCTGAAATGAAGAATTGGCATCTAAACAATAAAAACCAAATACTGCCACTGTCTGCCAGCATATGAGCATGTGCCTCTGGTAAATCAGTGAATGCTATTTTGGAATGATTTTAGCAAGGAAATTATTTTGATTCGTTGTGACTGTAACCTTAAATTCCTACATCTTCCTTGAAATATATAATAAAGAAGCAAAGCAGCAAGGTATGTTATACCTTAACTAGTTCCACAGTTGTAACTCCAGGCCCAATCTCAGCTACAACCTTCCTTAGATCCTCATCTCCCCAGCTTCTAGGAACATTACCAATGAAAAGTCGGTGTTTTGCTTGAGATGATGAACATTTTATCTTTTTACCCTGAGAAGATTGATAGTTGACAAAATCAGGAGACAAAGAAAAAGGATCATTTTACACATTATGAATCTGAAATGTTAGAAAGACTTAAGTTGCACCATGCTTTCCCTTTACAAGGAAGGATTAGCTTCGATGACATTGTATTACCATAAATTGTTTATTATTCAGTTCTTCAATGGCTTTAGAAGCCAATTCCACACTTTTGAAGGTCACAAAACCAAAACCCTTGTTTTCAGCAGAATCTTTTCCTTTCATAACCCTAACCTGTTTCCATCAAACTTTCATGTTAAAGGGTGTTTTTCATAGACGATATACCAAGGAAAATAACAATTAATAAGCTTACCTCCATAACTTCCCCAATAGACTCACAAAAAGCCTTCAAATCCTCACCTGAGGCATCATGAGGAATGCTACCAATGTAAACTTCAGACCCATGAGGAGGAAGAGAGAGAAGTTCTGCATGCTTTTTCTTCTCATCATCATCTTCCACCTTTGCCTCATCACCACTAATGTTTTGCATGGTGTCAGTGTCATCAACATGATCGGCATCATCATCATCATCTTCTTCTTCTTCTTCAACTTCTTCATCTTCCTCCTCTTCTTCCACCTCCTCTTCTATCTCTTCCACCTCCTCTTCCTCTTCTTCTACTTCTTCATATTCAATTTCTTCCATCGTTTCCTCAGGATCATTTTCTTCATCAAGATCAACCTTCTCATCAGACTCAGTTGGCTTTTCAGGTTCAGAAGGCTTAGCAACTGATGAAGAATTTGCCTTTCCTCGTGGCATCTTATAGAACTAAGTAAACAAGCTAGTGAGGCAACTGTGAAGAAGGCACAGAGGCCAGAAGAATTCCTGGGAAGAATTATACACATATCGAAAGGAGGAAACTAAAGAAAGGCCAAAAAAGGACTTGCAGCGAAATGAATTCAGTGGAACCCGTGCAATGAGATGAGACTTAAGGGTCACACTGTGAAAGAACTTTACTAAAGGGGCATTGATAACATAACTAGCTGCAGTGAAGGGCAAGTAAAAGAGATTTGCAGCACTAGATAATGAAGGTGGTGCAAAGACATGAATCTCTTGTAATCCAAAGCATGTTTTTGAGTACAAGTCTTAATTATCAGAAAGTCAAAGGGAGGCAAATGCTGGCCCTCAAGAAAATCTAGAATTGCAGGAGCATCATATGTAAATATGAAACTAGAGTTAACATTAGGAGATACATAATATGCAAGGTGAACAACCAAATTTATAAATAAGAGCCCCAGATTATTTTTAGAGTCAAGCCGAGTTTAGACATTAAGGGAATTTGATGGCAGAACAAAAAGGAGAATCATCAAGACACATAAGTGTCCAATCTCAAAAACAATAGCAGTTCCAAACTAAACGTACCAATCGGGGAACCTTCCTGCAATAAATTTACAGATGACTGAGATAAAAACTCTGGCTAGTTGCTAAGGCGCGCTTAAACAGTACATGGGAGTTTCAGAAAAGATAAGAACACAAAAGCAAGTCAGTTATTTCAACTTTTCCAAGAACAAGGCACCTAACAAACTGGCGGTTACGATACAGTATTTTTTGAGCATTTAAAGACGGGTGAGAGTTTAATTTATCGTTGTCTCCGTCAAAATAACATTAGATGGAAATTTGGTAGTTCCTAGACATAAGATATCCTCTCATCTACATAATCATGCACGATACACCATACGCACCAGAGCCGACTCGATAATACAGAGAAAGAAAAAATTGAACAACTCCAGCCCATTGATTCGGCCGACTAGATTTGGGATGTGGTAAATCCAAGAAATTACCACATTTGGGATGTGGCAAATCAATCTTAAAGCATGAAAATCGCAAATTTGCTCAACAAAACTAGTAACTCTATTTTTCACATAGGAATTTCCAGTCCTTCATCAATTTTACTCCAACATACTAGTTATCAAATATATGAGGATAGCAGCCTCGTGCGACGAAGTGAAAAATGCATATGTGCGTCAGCGTTAGGGGAGGGGGGAGATAGTACCTGAAGAAGTAGTACGCGATAGGAAGGAAATGTGGGTAGGGTGCGAAGAGCTGAACTGGAAGCAAAACCGAAAAAAGTCGGAGATAATCAGATGGGGAAAGGAACCAATCGAAAAAAATTCGTGAGATACGATTTTACATTGAACCTTGGAGAGCTCAAGGGAAGTAACGTGCGAATGAAACGAACCCTAGAAGCCCTCTTTCTTCGTCCTTTGAAGTTTTCTTTTACAAATTTTGATGCCGCGGAAGCTGATAATGGTAAAAACGGCGACTAACCGACTAACCAAGATTACGGTTAGATTTATTTTATGGATTTACAGCATGCCATCTGTACAATAATAAACTGAATAATAATATGTGGTATTTTTTTTTCCTTTTAGAAGATTTTTCTTTAATGTAAGATTTTTTTTTACAAAATTCAGTAAAATATTAATGCATGATTTTCTGTTTTTTTTTTTAAAAAAAAAACATTCATTCCATCAGCTCGTAGAAAGGGTTTTTTAAATCACATTACCTTGCCCAACTCTAAAAAAATATTCTCACTAATCTTATATATAAGTTCTGACAATTTCACATGAGTCAACAAGAGATATAAAATTTACTGATATTTTCTAAAAATAATACATTTTTAATTTATTTTATTAAATACTCCTTTCGTTAAAAATGTAAAGCATTTTTTGAGAAGTTAGATGTTAAAAAATGTAAGGCATTTTTAATCTTTTAATGTGTAATCATTTCTTTTTTTTTTAATACCCTTATTGATAGTGACTTTATATTTATTATAAAGTGTTTAATAGAAATAAATATAAAAAGATAAGGTTAGTTTGAAAGTAAGTAATCACTTTATTAAGAATAAAATTATATTAAAAATACCTTACATTTTTGAACGGAAAGAGTATATCATTTTAAAAAATATTTCATTCTTCATATACAACATTATTTTCTATTTATAAAAAAATATTATTTAAGAATTACTAAGAGGCAATTTAATATGAATAAAAATTAAAATATTTTAAAATATTATTACAAGATAAGGAACCTAGTTTTAAAATATTTTTAAACCCCTTACTAATTGTAATATGTGTTTGTTGGTTTTAGGACGTAATTTTTACATGTACGTAACATAACAGGAAGGAGTAAAAGTCGTGAGTCATGACTTTTCATTGGTGTTTTGAATAATTTTCTCTTCGACTTTTGTAAATGATCCTCCTAGCTCTCTTCTCTCTCTAACATTGACCAGCTATCGTTGATGAACAGAAGGATAGGTTTCAGAACATTAAATTAAGGTACAATGATAAATAAGGGCTTTATAAAAATATTAATATTAAATTAAAAATTTTAATATTAAAAAATAATAAAAGTAGTATTAAAATTTAAAAATATCAGTGTTGAAAAGTCTTAATATACTATTAATGTTCTTATGAGATTTTTATTTTTCATTCTTCCTTAAATTAATGATAATTAAATTCTTACTAGTTTTTTTCAAAAAATAAGTTAAAATGCCAATTAAGACAATTATAAATATCAAAATTTTAATTGTAAATAAATATTTAAATATTAAACATAACTATTAAATTATAACAATAATTTTTACTTGTAACTATTTAAATTAATATTTACAATTTATTTTTTAAAACTTTTTGTTAAGATCTAACTGTCATTAATTCAATCTTTTGAAACTTAGTTGTCATTTTCCCTTATTTATATGGTGCCTCACCTCTTGTACCTTCCTTAACTCGCTCATATTTCGATGCACCATTTTCTTGCACACGGTACAATTAATTCTCTCTTTCTAGCTTTTAGTGATAATACTTTTGAAATGTTACGATAACTCATGATGAAATACCAATCATTGACCATGTGTATGTTTGGATTACCCTCTGATTGAGGGTTGGAAAATCCAAAACCTTAGTTGAGGACAAAAACACTCATTATAAGATTTAAAATCTTATTTGAATAAAAGAAATTTCAAGCCAGCGTTGAAAACAAAATGAGCATTGATGTTAAAGCCAAATGGGAGAACTTTTTGAATTATGTTGGCAACTTTGGTTCAACATTTATTATCATATTCCTCTCTCCTTATGTTCTTACCTCACCCAATCTTCACTACAACAAGCACCAGTCATTGCTTTCAACATCGCCATTTCTGATTATACTTGTGCTCATCATCATAGCTATACGTGGAGGTTGATGGCCACCGTGTTTCCTTTTTCTTGGTTGCTTTTCTTCATTTGTTGAGGCAGAGAGAGAGAGAGAGAGGGAGGGAGGGAGGGATGAAGGATGCACTATTAACAGGAGGGAAGGATAAAAAAGATTATTTGGTGGTGAAGAGAGAGAAATGACGAGGTGTATGAACAAGAACAAATAGCTTCATTTTTCTTTGAATTTAGCAAAGTTCAGTCAAAAAAATAAATTGAGAAAAAGAGAGGAGGCTAACATGATGTGGAAAGGGGTGTAATTGTGAAAGGGAAGATGGTAGTTTGTTATTATTTCATATTTAAGTATAATTATTAATATTAATTATACATATTAATAAAATTTATTAAATATACTCTACAATTTTATTCTCTTAAAAAAAATACTTTCCATTTAATATAACCTTGCTTATTTTTAAAACACTAAAAAGAGAGAAAAAAAATATAATAAGAAGAGAAGGTTAATTAAAACAAGCATAACTGATAAAAATTTATTAAAATAAGATTGAAATGAACTAATATTAAATTGTAAATCATATCAATTGAATATTTTATAATTTATGAATTCATTGTAACTTTTCGTAGTTAAATATTTTAAATTTTATCATTTAATTCTACTGTTTTAAAGATTAAGATTTTTTACTTATCAATGTATTTTATATTTATAATCTACTTTTTAAAAAAATTGTAATTTTAAGTTTAATATTTTTTTAAAATATTAAATTAATCACAAAAATATAACCCATGTCCATTTTTGTCATTATATATTTTAACTAATTTTTGAATTAAATCATTCAAATAAATTTCAGCTTGTCTAACTAACTTTAAAAAAAATATATCCAAACATAAATCACATTATAATAACACATTTTTTTTATAACTTCAATTTACTAACTTTAATTAATTTTTAACCTCAATTGCAGAATTTTTAATTCAAACACACACCATAAGTTTAATTTCACGCCTTAGTTCGCTAGATTTGTTTATAAGATTTTTATAAAAGTGCGAAGGGACTACACCATCAAATGTTTAGAGTTGTGAATTTTCCCAACAAATAGTTGTTGCCCGTGAGTTGAATTTTTAGGTACAAGATGATTACTACTTTTATCACCGGTTGTTTTTCGACTGCCAGTGTGAGTTTTATCTAACCAACTTTTTAGATTTCTAATTAAAATTTGAACTCCCTCAGTCCCAAACCAAACAAACACTGACACGTTTGGAGTTTTAACAAGAGAGAACATCAAACGAGGTAGCGTAACTATTCATCGTTGTGAAGGAATGTTCACTAAATTTTAACATCGCGCGTCGTGCATCCAACGATTTGGAGTCCTCCACATGATTTTTTTTTTTTGGGGGGTACCAAATGCCATGTTTTTAAATCAATTTTTTAGAACAATTTTTTTTTGCAATCCCTTCCTGATTCCCCAGCTTTATTTCTAAGCCAGAACCTTATGTATATATGGAACAATGACCCAAATCTTATGGAATTAATCCCTTTATTGAATGAAAGTACGAAACACAGCAAGCCCACTCATTTTCCCCTTTACATGCAACCACTTATGAAATACGAATGGCTGTCCCCCGGCCCCCATGCTAGGCTCATATTTTACCTGCACCAGTTTTGTTTCGCACTATGAGGAATTTTTAACTCTATCACATAGATCAAGGGAGAACTTAGTTCATATCTCTCTAAATTTCGTTAACTTCCTAAATATACCCTTCAATCAATTAATGTAGTAAATTCTCGTTATGATCTATTGATCTATATGTCCTGTTACTAATAAATACATTATGCATTTTAAGAATAATAATATTAATTATTAACCATATGATAAATAAGCAAATTAACCCCCTGAATTTTAGATCATTAGCATCATAAATTTTAATCTTTTTTACTATATATTTTTTTTAACTTTTGAAAATGACACAATTTAATCTCTCCCATCAGCAAAAATTAATTTTAACCATCATTTAACTAGAAATAACAAAAAAGGAACATCAAAAATTATAAAAAATGATTAAAAAAAATTTCTCATTGTTTTGGGGTTTTGCCTGTAATTTTTTGATTATTTTTAAATCATTTTCTATCATTTTATGGTTAGCTAACATTTAAAGTTATTTTTTTATTAATGACAGAAGTCATATTATATCATTTTCAAAAGTTGAAGGAATAATTTATATAATAAACAAGTTTAGAATTTATGAAATTATTAAACCTAAAGTATCTTGTAAAATTTATTTTTACTTGTGTCCCAACAAGATTATCCTATATATACGTGCCTCATAAAAAGGAAAAAAATGTTAATAGAGTACTGTAGAAGTAAAGAAAATAAAAATCTAATTTTTATTATAAAAAATCTATTTATTCATTACATGAATCATATGAATAATGAATCTTTTGCATTCAGAAAAAATAGAAACAATCAATTAAAACGGATAAAAAGATGTTCAGGCGAATGAAATTGAATTAATATAAGATATTCATAAGAATGTTGGCCCATCAAGCTTCGCGGACATGGTTGATGGTCTATCCTATGCCCAATTATGAGCATGAATTATGAACAGCGATTGAAGAGGCAATTACTAAATCCAAAGCATAAGAATGAATTATTAGATGTTGATGGATTGGCGTGTGAGGGCAATGAATCAGGGAGCACCGGAATTTTGACAAACTCTGTTATTTCTCTCACAAGTCTCAGCCACTGGTTTGCTATAAATTGATCACTGTTATCTCTCTTCCTTTCCCACCACTTTCTATCATCAGAGCCTCTTTCTGATCTTGCTTTTCTCACCCCACGCATTCAACCGTCGTTATTGCTTCTTCTCGGGGTATCATCGAGAAACAAACTTTGTTAATCATTCTCACCTTCCACTTTCTTCTAGCCCTTTTCTTCAATCTAACTCTACCAACAATCTTTTTCTTTTTTCCTCACTGTAAATTCCTATTTGTTGAGCCAATCTTCCCCTTTATTGATTCCTTAAGTCACATAGTATCGTATGACATTTTTATATTTCGTTTAGTTTATTTCAAGGAAAGGCTCATTTTATTGCCAGCCATGACCGAGGTCCTCCATTCCTCATCCCATTTCTCTTCCACCTCAACGAGAAGCTCTTCCTCTTCGTCTTCCCTGTCGCGTGCGCCCCTGTCTTCATTGTCTTGCGCAACCCCTCCCGGCGATGGCATTTTCATTATTGGTGACCAAGAACCTCCGTCGCCGTCTTCGCTAGCCGTGGAGGGTTGTTCAACGGCGACGGGCTGTGACACGGAGGAGCTGGAGGAGAGGGACAAGCGCCGGACGGAACAGCTTTCTGTTTTGACGCTTGTTGTGGCCCTTTTCAGGAAATCCTTGCTTGCCTGTAAGAGTGGGAGGAGGGAGCTGTGCGCGATGGAGATCGGACGGCCTTCCAATGTGCGACATGTTGCACATGTCACGTTCGATAGATTCAATGGTTTCTTGGGTTTGCCTGTCGAGTTCGAACCTGAAGTGTCCAGAAGGCCTCCTAGTGCCAGGTACCTTGTTTCTTTATTACTGTGTGCTGCTTTAATTCCTTCTCTTTTTGGGATTGTGGATCACTGACTATTAGTGGATACCTCTTCATTCATTAGATGCCACTGTTCATATTAGATGTACCCATTACTCATTTATTTGCCTACCGTTGTAAATTTAAAATTTTCTTCTGAGGTTTCTGTATCTATGGGAGTGTAAATTAGAAGTTGTGCAGCTGAATTCTGGTTAACCGCCCAATCGTTCTGTGCCATAAAAACAAAACATGCTGCCTTTATAGTAATGGCCATTTCTGGTTCAAATGACTTGTAATATTTTAAGTTAGCTTGATGTAATTTTTCGTTTCCCTTTGAATTTTCACTCGCAGTGCAACTGTTTTTGGAGTTTCGACGGAGTCCATGCAGTTATCGTATGACTCAAGAGGGAACATTGTGCCAACAATTCTGTTACGAATGCAGAAGCGTTTATATGCTCAAGGAGGGTTGCAGGTTGTTCATCTATATATCGCTCAGCTTTTCTTCTATTCTCTTTCTCATATTTTGCTCTTGAATTAGTGAACACACTTTGCATGAGCGAGTCAAAGAAGTTTCTCCTGTTTTTAGGTTCACGTTTCTTTAGGAACTTGCTTATCTATAGAATGCTACTTATGTGCTCTTGCTTGGTTTAACTGTTGAATTTGCGCATGCAGGCAGAAGGGATTTTCAGAATCAATGCAGAAAATAGTCAAGAGGAATATGTTAGGGACCAATTAAATAGTGGAGCGATGCCACAGGGCATTGATGTACATTGTTTGGCAGGGCTCATCAAGGTACATCATTACAAGATGACTGCATCTGGTTCTTTCTATGCAAGTTTCTCATAAGCTTCGGTGATTTGGCATAGGAGTTTAAAATTAGTCTAATGACCATATTGAAATAAAAGTGACAGTGATGTGACAACGGAGAATAATTTTGCTCATCGAATTTTTATTTTTTGAAATTTGTCAAGAGGTGGACCTTGACTCTTTAAAATTGTTGATATAGATTTTTTTTGCCAGAAAATTGTTAATATAGATTTTACAAGACCACCATCTGTTCAGACTTCAGTGCATAGATTTAATTCAGTAATATACTAAAGGAAGAGGCATCGGTTTCGAATTTCTTTTGGTCTAGTAGACAAAGGAACATCGGTTAAAAGCGCATTTGATTGACCAAAAGATCATTATTTTAATAAATACAGCAGATAGAGCATTTGTCTCGCCAGATTCAATCTTAATTCTTATATGACTGAACAGAGGAATACATCGAGTATCTCATTTGCTTTCATCAATGATACCACTCTTTCCACATGGATGCATATCTGGTCTTGCCAACTATGTTAGACCCTGGCTTCAAAGTTGATAGCTGTTTTAGAGCTCATGCTAATCCCTTGACCATCCTAAGATTTACCACTAGTCACTATGAGAACCTTTATGCCACTATCAGCCTCCAAGACATGTTCATAGGACCGTTACCACCAAATCTTTGATCAAATGCTGCCTTATAAACCCATGTTACTGCTTAGCCAGAAATGTCACCTTCGTTGTTGTTCCTCTGACTAAACTAGTAGCTAACACAGTCAATTCCCATTTTGATTATACACTTGTGAATAACAATGACAGAACCATCTTGTTTGTGAAATGACACAAGGTACGTGCCAGGAAATCCAGTTTGTGGGCCTGCAACTTGCAGCTTACTATATGTTTTTTATGTCTGTCTAGGCATGCAGGAGACGTGCATTGAGTTGATCTATGTAGATTGCATTCTCATTTTGCATAATAAATAATGACTTGGCTTGATATTCTTGATTTCTTGATTCTTGTATATTGAAAGGCTTGGTTTCGGGAGCTGCCCAGAGGCATTCTGGATTCTTTATCCCCCGAACGGGTGATGCAATGCCAGATTGAGGAGGAATGTGCTGAACTAGTGAGGCATCTACCTCCTACTGAAGCTGCCCTCTTGGACTGGGCCATCAATCTGATGGCTGATGTTGTACTACACGAACATATCAACAAGATGAATGCACGCAATATTGCCATGGTTTTTGCGCCAAACATGACTCAGGTGAGTTCCCAATCATAAAATTCTCTGTCAAAGTACTTGTCCTTGCCGTGTCATTGCATTTATTCCCTCAAGAGCTAAGGTGCTAATGTGATGGTAGGTTTACTTCTAGTTTCCTACTGCATTCTGACTTTGTGATTGCAGATGGCAGATCCTTTAACTGCATTAATGTACGCAGTCCAAGTGATGAATTTCTTAAAGACACTTGTAATAAGGACCCTCCGAGAAAGAAAGAATTTGTCGGTAGATTCTTCTCCTCAATTTCATTTTGAGCCTTCCGATGAGAATGGACACCATAGCCCTTTGCAGTCCTGCCAGCAAGATGCTAATGAAGAAAGTGAAGATGCACAGGAAAACTTCATTTTTAGAACTGTCCAAGAATGTTCCCCCAACTCTCCTCACCAAAGCATTAACTTAACTGGAGAAGAATCTGGCAGTTTGTTAGCCTCTTCTGAGCATCTAGTTTGTGATGGAGGTTTACGTTGTAAGTTTTCTCCCAAAGGAAATGCTGGAAAGAGCAAGACCGACCGACCAAGTTATCCAAATACTAGGAGGAAGCCCAAAAAGGCCACGGTCCAACAACCTACGATTCATGGAAAGGTGCCTGTTGAGAGGAGGGGGATTAGGAATCTGAGTCGGTTGGATTCAAGATCGGAGAGGATAGAAGCCTGGAGGTGAAAGAAGCAGAACTGTGCCGTATGGCTCTGTAATTTGAAAGTTGGATTGGGTTGGAAGTTGCAAAAGGAAATTTGTTTACTGGTTCACTTATGTTTTCTTTGTTTCTTGGGATCGCTGAACTTGTCTGATTTTAGGAATAGCTCTGTGATCACTCTAACCATGTAGTGAAGTCGCATCAGTTGTGTGTTTACATTTGCTCAAAGTTTATTCCTAAACGACCTTTTCTTCACTTGTGTTCAGGGTACATAACTCAGCATTGCAGGACGTAACAAGACAGTACACAGGCGTTCTGATTTTTTTTGGTGTGGTTAATTGACAATATTAACGTAACTCTTAACATAGATGGTGATTAAGATGAGACAGTGGTTAGTGTCACAAAAGAGTCATGCCACGCGGCTTGCAACTTTGAATGGTGAGAACCACATGAGCAGTTAGCAAGTGGTGATAATAGAGGGAGTGAGTGGAAATGTGCCCTGTACAGCACCTTCACACGATCGAAAAAACTACACTGAAAGCAGTGGTCCTTCTCCTTCCCCAAAGGAGCGGTGAATTACACCCTCATCTTCCTCCATGCCTCAATCTTTTCAGATACACGAACACATACACACGGAAGGTTAACAACTTTGTCTTGATCCAATTTGTGTGTCACACCCAAAACTGGCTATTTGTTATCCAATATCATGCCATCACAGTCATTATCTCAAAATAATAATCATTTAGTTAATGATTGAAGGGATAATTATGTATAAACAACGGAATATCTAAATATTATGAATAATCCTCGTCAAACACTAACAAGATTATCAGTTCCTGTATTCGAACATTTTTGTTGATAAATATGAACTAATGTTTCAATTATTTTTGAATAACTACTTATACAATAATAAATTATAAAAAAATAATGAAACAAAAAGATAAACTTCAATTTTTTCTCCCTCCCTCACCATGAGTTGAACAGGATTAGATGCTTTTCCGAAAGATGGAGGGGCGAGTGGGCCTAGAATTTGAAAGAGAGAATATATCTATCTCCTACACGTAATGGTATGAAGATAAAAGTTTTCCATACTTCTTGCTAAAAAACATTTTAGACATTTGTGGTCGCCAAATTCACACCAATCTCTGTAACCAGCCATTGATTTTCCAAAACTATCATGCACAAAAATTTTTCAAAAAGTAAACAAAAAATATATATATATAAAAATCAGAACCTCCTACTTAATAGCATCTTCCTCAGGACTTTTTTAGATCAAGCTATTCTCGTGACCATTTTATTTTTTTCGCCCCTTTTGTCTCCGCTTCTCAACCATCTTTCATGTCTTTGCTCCTCTTTTGAACACCGAAAACAGAGCGAAGGCCATGGCTTCCGGCATGAGCCTGCAACACATCTTTGAAAACCCATTGCCTGAAAAACCAACGCTTTTGCAGTCCCTCTCAGTGAACCAGATTAGACCCGTCAAACCCATTGACGATTCCTCCTTCACAGAATTATTCGGTGAACTCCATTTCAAGGAAAGTCCTCAATTGTCCCCTTCGTCTTCCCTTCTTCCCACTTCACCGTCATTAGACCTTGGTTCTGACATAAACCAAACCTCTGTTTCAAGCACCCCAGAGGGTCATGATTTCGAGAATCCATTGCTAGAAAGCCCAAGTCTGCTTGAATCCCTCTCGTTCAATAAAATTAAACCCGCCAGACCCGTTGACGAATCATCGATTAGTGAAATATTCGATGAACTCCATTTCAGCGAGAGTCCTACGCCATCTCCTCCTTCATCTGCCCCTGTTTCTGCTTTGCCGTCAACAGGCCTTCAAATGCTCGATCAAAAAGACGTGTTCGACTCAAGACAGAGCACCCCGGAATCAAACTATATCATCCGTCATAAAAGAAGCGACAGTTTTTCATCTTTGAATTCTGATAGTCTTCATTTTTGCACAGAGGGTCTTGGTTTCGAGAGCTCAGATGATATGGAGGACTTGAAGGCTGGAATGGATGAATATTGCTGGGAAACTCAAAGCGAGAAATCTGGTATTAAGAAGAAGAATTTGGCTTCGGAAGATTCATACGGAGAATGCAGAAGGTCAAAGATAAGGGGGTTAGAGTACCCTCCCCCTATTTCATGCATAGGGAGCACTGGGAAGCCTTGGGTTTGGTTCAAGTCTTACAGGGACAATGGAAGATTTGTTTTGAAAGAAATAAGAATACCCACACGGGAGTATCTTAATGCTTATAGAGAAGATGGAAGGCTGAAGCTGCACTTTGTTCTACCGGATGGTGAGTTTCTAGAAGAGCAGAATGAGGAAGAAGAGGATGATGATGCTGAGAGTAGAGACGGGGAAGAAGACGACGACGACGGTGTGGTAAGCATAGATGAGGGAGAAGAAAACACGGAAAAAGGAAACTATGATGGTACAAGAGATCAGGGTAACGAAGGAAAAGAGATTGATGTATAAGCCAATTCATGGAAGTTAGGAAGATTCAAATAAAATAGGATCTGCTATGCTTTTCGACTCTAATCCACATGCCACAGTTCTACGTTTCCCGATTCCTCTCTCCCTCCCTCTATCTTAAGACGATACCAGGCTTATCTAATTTCGTTTCGACTTTGAATTTAAGAGCGTGTGGTTTTGGTAATTTTAACGTGAACCTTCGAGACAACCCCCTCAATTCAAATGTTTATACAATCTAAGAACATAGCCATTTCCAATAAAATCATAAATCGTCATGTAGCTGACCACGTTTCCGTGCTTGAGAGGCAAGATTATGTTTTGCTAAGAAAAGGGAAGAGAAATATGTATACCGAGATTATGCACCACTGAAGCATGATTCACACGATGGCATTGAGCCTGTCGAGAAGGCAAAACAGCTTGGGGCATTCCGAGAATTGAACTCGGGACCTCTCGCACCCTAAGCGAGAATCATACCACTAGACCAAATGCCCAAGTTGAAAGCTACAACTAGATATTTCATTTTACCCTTGTCCAACTAGATAACTTGATCTACTTAAATTAACCTTGGCAGGGTCCTGCACTCTCAAAACACACACAGCCGTGGCCAAAAATGAAAGATCGAAATCGAGGAACTAAGAGCGGAGTAATCTAGAAATAAAATCTTAACCCAGGATCACAGTGATGACGATAAGATTGTGAAAGAGACGCCAATTCGCGGAGATAAGAGCATTTAATAGAGGATCTGACCTGGGACCAATACGCGCTGTTAACATATGCACTGATGCACATCGTCATGTGAATTGAGCACCGACCGTAATTTGGAATGGAGCAGCCGACTTTCTTCCGATGCTCAATCCATGGATGGATTATTATTTCATCGACACGATCTTCCTCGCCAGGATTCGGACGCGAGAGAAAGTGAGGGGTTCTTTTTTCCTCTAGTCTCTAGACTTACCAAATTAAATCAAAGACGTGATGATAACGACGACCCAGACCCTGCATTGTTGAGCAACCTTTTTGGGGGGTCATATATAATAACCTCTCAAAAAATTAAAAATTAAAAAATCTGTGCCCACATCCATCTTTCCTGCGTTTCTTTTCCTTTTCTTTTCCTTTATCACGTGTTTCTTTTCATCAAATGCCAACAGCGCCAGTGGACGACATATTATTTTCCGCAAGCCACGTAGCAAAACGTAGGTCCCAGTCCTAGATATTTGGAGGACAATAAAAGAATATTTTTTTCCCTAAATGTAAGCCCTGGAGTCCGGCTTTTATGCTCATTTATTTGGTTTGTACCGTTTCTCATAATCGCAATGACATGCTGCTGACTATCCAAAATCCCAATCAAATTTGGATTATATAGATTTAAATTTTAAATATTTCAGTTTTTTCCAATGATAAGTATTTTTTTAAAAAATAAAATTTAAAAATTATTTCTATTTTAAATTTTTCATACATTGGAATGAAAAATATCAAAAATATAATAATATTTAAATAGTTGAAATTTGAGATGAGCAGTATGTATATTTTTTTTAAAAAAAAATTGCACTAGTTATAATTTATAGAAGTTTTGGCTTGGACATTTATTATGATTGTGTAAAAATCCTCCAGTTCTATATAATTCGATCCAACTTGAATAAATCTAATCAAGTTTGGTTATGTAAAAAAATTGATCTAAAAGACCAAAAAGATCAGTGAGATTGAACTTTATCTTTAAGTCAGATTGGATAAAAGATCAAGTTTTCAGACCACTTGATCCGGTCTTGTTTTATAAAATTATTTTTAATATGATTATATTATAATTATAATGTGAAGCTTAAGTGTTGAGTTGAACACATCATTTTCTCACCTCCTATCCTAATTTCTCTAGCATTTTCTCATTCACTCTATCGCTTTGCCGCTCCATCATCATCCAAATAAGTTCTTATCTTCACTTATTCACATGGCTCGTGTTATGAATTTATTATAATTAACTTTTAATATTACATGATAAATTTATATGATTATTTTTGTTATTTTAATTAAGTTTATCAACTTAAAATGCATTATTGTTTCTCCTAGAGAAAAAAAGGGAGGGAACAAAGTGAGGTACTATATTTCGAGACCAATCTCTCAGTCTTATGAATCAAAACCAGTCCTATTTAACTTTCAAGTTTAAACCAAACTAGATTTCAGGTTAAGCCAAAATTCTTTCCAATCCTTCCCTTGTGTAGCCTAATATTTATAATTTATAGATGCACTTTCTGTAAGTTCATATTCTCATATTGATTCTAGATGTTTAAAATACTCTGAAGTCTGAATTTTTTTCTCTAGGTATCCAACCCACGCATAACTTCTATCACTATGACAAGAAAGAGGAACACAAATTATCAATCTCCATTATAACTATTTCAGTCAAAACAAATTCGATGTTCCTCAGTCCTCACGCAAAGTGCGTAGAATCTAGAAAATATAGATCATCTGCAAAAATATCAAAAACATAAAAGAAGCCAATCATATTGATAGCATGTTGGAACCAAGAACAAAGGTATTGTGTGGTTATTTATTTGTCTAGCTGCTGCTACCATTACCAAACTATGAGAACATGCACCAATGCAATCATCAAAGTGAGCCTCAATCCTGCGCTTCTGGCTTCTTCGCAGTGCCTTTAAGGTACCACCCCAGAGCACCAAGAATTGTAATGGTGCCAGCGACAACTGCATAGTTCCGGTACTTGTCAGTTGAAACTTTCTCAGCAGATGATGTTCCTGTTGAACCCAAGCCGGGTTTGGCATCAGTTACCGAACCCCCTGAGCCTGCCGCCGCCACATTGTCAGGTTGAGGACCCTAATTAACAATAAGCATCGACAGATAAGTTTGAAGTATATTATAATGCATACGCGCGCACAAAAACTATCAATCCAAAGGTGACTCGTTGACATAAAAAATAATCTGTTAGCAGAGTGACCTCCATAGGAATAGAGTAGGAAAATGTCAAGAAAAAACATCATAGAAGTAATTCATCCTATAGTTAGAATGGATGTGAAAAAGATCATGCATGGACTCATGATCAAGAGTCTGTAAGATTTAAGAGCCCAAGCATGAAAAATTGATATTTAAATAGTATAATTACACTACTAAAAGAAATTTAAAAGAAAAAGGTTCCCAGCCTCAGGTTTACAGTTAATTTCAGCCAAGTTATCTGACGAGAAGTCTGTTGCCGCTTCCCTCATGTTCCCTTGACTTACCACGTATACACCACTCAGTCCCTTTTCATCTTACCTGACTCACTGATCGTTTTTCTCATTTATCACTCCATGTCACCAAGCATTAACAAGAAATATTACCGAACTAGTTGACAAGGGACCTCAGATTAAATGCAACAATCTAAAAGTCAAGCAATCTCCATAGATAAAATTAAAGAACATTCAATTATCACATCATTTAAAGCAATGAAATACACAAGTAAAAATCAATAGCATAATATGAGAAGTGAGACAATACCTTGCGAGCAAGCTTCTCTAATTTCTCTTGCTCAATTTTCTGCAATATCACAAAACAATAAAAACATAAGGCAGGAGGAATTGACAAAGCAAAATCCTCTGCTGATGTACTTAACAGACAAATCTACTGGCAAAGAATCGTATCTCTATCTCAATATAGCTAAAATTCAAATTCAATTATTACTGTGCTAAGTTGCTAGTACGAACCACCAAGGCAGTTCTTCATTCCCAACGCATATTTAACAATAATTTTTCACAAGCATTGGTTTTGGGAGGGATTCTAGACTTATTTGAAAGATAGCAAATAAAAGCTTTATGGTGTTATACGCAAGCCAAACCGTCAAGGCCAGGCAGTTTTGCGCAGCTCGTTGGAAACCTTTCAACCTTTGGAATACCATGTCAAATCCTAACCATACAAAAATACTTGTGAATCTACATACGAAAATGACTTCTAAAATGCAAAAAAAAACACGGCAATACTGCAGCACATGTAAGAGACAAGCGCTAAGGATAGTATCAATAAAGATAAGTTCTGGATACAGTGTTATCTGTTAAAATTATTTCGATAACAGATTCAAAACTTGCAATAAAGATGCTACACTAAGACTCCGAATTTCCTCATACCAATATCATCAATTTGCAAAGGTTCATGTCAGGATAAAACGAACATACAGAACCGAGATTACGCTGGTAGATTTCAAGGTTACCTTAATGTAAACATTTTCCGCAGCTTTTTCCTCCTCACTAAGTATTCTGCCGCCACCGCCACCGCCACCGCTATACAGCCTTCTGGACACAAATCTCGCAGCCATCCGTGTCGCCATCACACTTAAATTTGTGCTCTGTAAATGAGATGATGAATGCTAAATATACTGGACATATCAAAAAGTTAATATACTTGAAGAACCAAACATAAGGAAGGCGAAATCCTCCATCTACTGCCGATTTAAATAAAAATGAAATCCTCCATCGATTGCCGATTCAATTAATGAAATTAGAAAGTTAATGTAGCGAAAGCATAGCAAATTCAAGGTGGTCCATAACGAAATGACACGATTTTTCGGAATGGAAGAAATAGATACCAGATTCAGTCCACGGAGAGAGGGGCTCAGAGAAAGAAATGTGAGAGTTCTTGTTGCGTAGGTGAAGAGGCGCTCCAGGGTTTAACTACGGCCCCGTTAGATCCGGTCGAGGGGGGCAGGTTGAAGCAACGAATGGCTTCGGTGGGAGGGGTAAGAGCCGATTCTTTATATTCTATATTTCCAGGCCTTTTCCAAAGCCGAATCGCATTAGAAGGTTGCCGATTTTTTCCCCCAAAAAAATACCAGGTTGCAGAATTTCCTTGCTATTTCTTCTAACAATGCCTCTCAAATTAAGAAAGCAAAATAACAATAAAAAATGAAAACAAAATTAATATAAGCTTCGTGAAATAAATATATTTATAAAAAAATTTTATAAAATTTAAAAATCAGAATTAGATCTCTTAAAATTTAAGTATAATATAAAATTGAGGTATAAAGATAATAACATCCTTATAAAAATACATTACATCAATTAAATAATTTATAATTATTTTATCAAAAATTTACAACTATTATTTTAATATGTTACGATTATAATTTCATATATTCGATAGTTAAATTAATCATATATCATAAGTTTAATACTAACTGTATGTAATTACCTTATCAGTAATTTATAAATATTATTTTAATATTTTACAACAATAACTTTATATATTTAATAATTAAATTGATCATGTGTTGTCAACAAAATTTAATACTACTCTTTTCATTTAAAAATGTAAGACATTTTTAATTAAATCTCACCCTCCAATAAAGTAGTTATCTATTTTTCAACTAACCATTTTTTTTTATATTTACACTTATTAAACACCCTATAATAAATATAAAGTCATTATCAATAGGAGCACTTTTGAAAAAAAGGTAATGATTACACCTCAAAAGATTAAAAATGTCTTATATTTTTAAATATTTAACTCTTTAAAAAATACTTTATATTTTTAAACGGAAGGATTAATTGTTTATAATTATCACATTAGTAATTTACAATTCATACTTCAATATTTTACAATTATAACTTCCTTATTTTTAATAGAAATAGTATTATTTTTGCATCTCAAATTTAAATTACACTTATATTTTAAAAGATTTAAATGTAATTTTTAAATTTGACGAGATTTGTTTATAAATAAGTATGCTTTATGAAATTTATATATAATTTATTTTAAAAAGATAAGGATTCCGTTTATTATGATATTCTTTTCCCAGGCGAGAGATTTTCCCCTCTTTAATTACATATACTTTTCCCTAAAAGTGACTGAGATATATTTATGTCCATTTGTCTTGTATCTTGTTTGTCGGATAATACATTTCTTGTGGTTGTTGGAATTTGGAAATATTCTAACCGGACAATGATTTGAAGAGTTCAAAAATTCACAAATAAGCACTGAGTTTTTTTTTTTTTTTACCAGCAATAAGCACTGAGTTTAACATCATATAATTACATCAACATTTAATTGATTAACTACATTTGTCTATTATAAATTTGTGTTACTTGCATATAGCAGTATGCATAATTATTAATAATTAATGGTCAGTAAGAGAATATTTTAAACTTTTTTTAATTTTATTTTAACTTACCGTTGAACTTATCTTCAGTGATTTTTTTTTTTTTGCTTTTTTTTAAAAGACTTCTCATCCGCAACTTGTTTTAACTATTAAAAATTGAATTTTCTTTGGCAATTTTTTTTTGGTATGACTATTCTGAATTCAAGCATTACAGGGCTCCACAAAGGGTGGCTAGCCCAAATAAATGTTCTCCATTTCTTTCACCTCAGAGATCAAATTCAAGAGTTGATAGTTGAGTAAACTCAAACCCTTTATCATTTGAGCTAATATTCATTGGTTAAAATTTGGTTTTTGATAATGAGGCCGACAGTGCATGAAATTTGGGCCTTACTAGTTACTCGCTAGGCTAGACCCAAGCTCCACAGTTGCACCTTTACTAGAATTATCTACTTCACAAAATCTTGTTATATTAAAAAAAAAAAACACACACACACACACACAAAATCAAACCTCGTTTGGCAGTTTAAAAAGACAGCAGAACACATTGGTAGAATTATCTACTTCACAAAATCTTCTTATATAAAAAAACACACACAAAATACAAAACCTCATTTGGTAGTTTAAAAAGACGACATAACACATGGCTCTCATTAGTTATTAGTTATCATGGCTTCCCATGCTTTGTCTTAAAATTTTTTGAAGCTGAATGGTAAGACCAAAATTCTGTGTAAACATAATTCTCTCAAGATTTTTGTTCATATTCTTAGATTCTTTACCACTTGCAAGCACCCAAGAAAGATAGTAAAGGTCCCCCTCTATCCTCAAAGCCTGCTAAGTCTGGAGGGAAGCAAAAGAAGGTAAGGTTCTTCAATCTTTTAATCATCTAATTGCTATGAATGTAATCCTTATGTGAGAATCCAATCATTGTTTTCTGATGGCATTTATGGCCTTTTGTAGTTTTCCTTGAACATGTCAACATTAATTGAATATGCATCTGATTGTTACCGCTCTGCAGAAGTAGAGCAAGAGAAAGCAAAACAAGAAGGTGAACAATATAGCCATTCTTAGATAATTTTCACTATTAACTCAAATACTTCTTCACTTCTAAGATTCAATCTCCTTTCATGTATGGGTACCTATAGTGTTTCTTGGCTCTCCTTAACTTCTATTAGCTTCATTAGGCTCTTAAATAACTATTAATAGAGCCATATTGTCCCAACTATTATATTTATGGTGGGATTTTCATTCATTTATGGCTTCCAACAACCAATAACATATTGAGCCATAAATGTTAGGTTTAAATAGTTCAAACAAATCACATTAACTCTGTGCAAGTCAATAAGTTCGGACTCATAATCTCTATGAACTGAAAATCATCATTCCTAACCAATCTCTGACTTCCAACATCAAGAAAGTGGAAGAGAAAGATAGATTCAAGCTTAAGAAATTTACTTTTAGTGTTTAAAAATTTCAAAATACTCTAAATGCTTTCAAATCTCAAGCCTTAGCAGAGCTCCTTGCATTTTTCTTCATTTACTCTTTTGTTTTTCTCATCTTCTACATTAGTTTGCGTTCTTATTTCTGTAAAAAAGTGGTCATGTACTATGACGAATGCATCATGCGCTATGGCAGATGGCACAGAGAAGTCTTGCCCAGGAACATTAGCTCACATATGCTGAGGCAAATTATCTACAAGCAGTGGCTTATGGTATAAAACCTCACCCTTCAGATTTTCTTCCTCTTTCATGGACATAACTTGACTTTACTTTGAACCTGTATTTAAAACTAAAATTATAATCAAACACATTTGTTAGACCTTTCTGGTTACACACCTCACTAATGAACTTAATTACTCTAATCAAGCTTAACATGTTTAAATTTTAAGGATGTTACAAAAGGAAATCTTGTTTCCTGTTCACTTGTAAAGTAATAGTAGATCTTTAGTATGTTGCTACCATTTAGACCCAGAAAATAATACAAAAAGTATTAAGGTTAAGAGTCATTTTTGTCTCTAAAGTGTATATAAAAGTTCACAAATAACTTTAAACTCAAATATAAATCATTCAAATTTCTCAACACATGAAATTTTGTTGTCTCTTCACCCTAACATTAAAATTTCCAAATGATCATCTATCAATCATAGGTACAGGTGAGAATTTAGGCGAGCTCGGGCTCAACTTAAATAAGCCTAACTTCTTGAAAAGCCAGAATGATCAAGCCCGAAGCCCAGCCCAAATTCCTTTGAGTTTTAGGTGGCTCAAATACCCAAATTTTAATTTTTAAAATTATTTTTAATTAAATTTTTTACTTTGAAATTAATATTTTATTTTATAAAAAATATAATTTTTTTTACACTTAAATGGTGTATAAGCTCAAATATATGGTATTTTAGTTTTTAATATAACATAACATAAAAATTAAAGCATTAATTAATATTTATTATATATATATATATATATTTTTTTTTTTAAATGTATAATTTTTTATTCGAGTCAAGCTTGATCATACTTTTAAAGGTATAATTTTTTTATTTAAGTATTCGGGCTAAGTCCAAACTTAATCGGACTTAGTCCACTCCAATGAGCCCAAACATAAAAAAACATCTTTTTTCTAGGTCACCCCACATTTTTTCAGGCAAGCTCGAATTACAAGCTCTAATCATAGGTCCCATAATTTTTTTAATATTTTTATAATAAAAATCATACTCTCTCCTTCACTTTCTCTCTCTCTCCCCCTCATCCCCTTCGAACCCTCTCACTCTTGATGAAGAAGGCTAAGTCACAAGTCATCCTCTCACCCATGTCTATATTCATTAGTGCTGAAAGCTTTAAAAGCAACCAGTACCCTTAAGTGTATTTTGGTAAGCTAACTATCATCCCTATATTAGCAATACTGCTCATCATCGTCATTAGGGTTGTATGGCTTCGTCGAAGAGCTTTTTAGGTATTCATAGCCACTATAAGGTTTGATCATTGTCTACCACCATCTTTGATTACGCAAATGTCAATTAGTGGCCCTTCCTTTAAATTTACCAACTTCTTCACCACACCCTTCACTCTTATCCCTGATATCCATTTCCTTACTTTATTGTCGTACACTCTTGCCCTCAAAGCTCCAAAGAAATATGCACCCGTGCTTATAGACATGGTGTCATGGGAATTAAGAGGGTACTATGCAGATAGACGATGTATGTATGTATGCATATTCCACCATCTTTGCATGTTTACTTTATCCCCTTCTCTTTCTCCTCCCTATGATGATATTTCACCATATGCATCTTCTACCATCTTTGCATGTCTATAAGTGGATCATGCTCTATTTCACGATCACAAAACAGAGCAAGCTTGCATTTATAGAAGAGATAGATAGATATATATATATATATATATATTAAATTAGGAAACCTCACGATGAGCATACATAATTTTGGACGAGTTGTGTACTTCTTATTGATCCACCTTTAGGATAGTGTCTCTGGAAATGTTGCAGACTTCACCATCGAATTCACCTTTGTCGTAACTTCTGGCAGTTCTCTCCTCCATAGTAACGACTTCACCTTCTTCATATCATTAGTTGAAACCGTCATTTATATCCCTACAAATTCATCCAACAGCTTCCTTGGATTTGTTCAATCTTAACACATCATTCGAACCCTCCCAAAATTGCATATTGGTCATTGAACAAGATAGCTTTGGGAACTATTGGGATTTGCAAGCATGTTCAATATTGTGAGATCAAACTTGGAGATAGATTAGGAGGAGAAAAGGAGAAAAATATTTAAAAAAAATGAATGATGGGACCCACCTAAAAATATTGTAGTTTGTCGCACAATACCCATATCTTATAGTTAACAACAAAAGATTGTTAATTTGATTTCCCCAGATTGTAGGAAGAAAAGGACATTGAATTAATATTCCATTCATGTCTTGTTTAGTGTCTTACTTCTTTATGTGATTCTGTAACAATCCCCTCAGGTAGTTGTAATTTGCTTTACTATACAAGTTTAGTGTTATAATGAGGAACAAAGCAATTCCTCTTGAGTAACTATGCTAATTGTTTCCTCAATGATAAAGAAGCTGCATTTTTGAATTGTTAAACTACTAGTCTACAGTGGCAGAGCCACGTTGGCTCACTTTAGGGAAATTACAAGTGGAATATATAAAATTTACAATTTTGCGCCCTCTATTTTTGATATTTTATACCCTCTGAATTAAATGAAAAATATTTAGGCTCAAAAACTTATTAGATATATAATATTTTAATAATCTAGATAAGATATGAAGAGCATATTTATAATAAAAGACCATATTAATTTGTTTAATATAATTTTTTAAATGAAAAATGATGATAAAATTATTTATGTTATTATAACGCTAGTCCTAGTATAATTATTATTTTTTACAAAATATTAATTTTTTGTTAAATTATTTCACACTCCCTGACTTCAGGTCCTGGTTTTGCCACTATCTACATCTTTATAGTTAATCAATTAGAGCTTATGGTCTCTTTATGTTTGTCACTTCTGTAACACCCTAACTTTACAAACTAAAAACTTAACCAAATATCATGATAATAAAAAGATTCAAACTAATAAAAATAATTACCATGATATAAAGATTTAAAGTCAATTTTTAAATTTATGTTTTGAAAAGATGATCATAGTACAAAAGATTTATTCTATATTTTAGAAAACTACTATGGTCACACAAAATTTTATCTACTAAATTAATATTTAAAATCTAGCCTTGGTAAAAATAATAGATCCATTAAGCAACTTCTATGACCTTAGTTCTCAATTAACAATACCCTTTCTAGGCATCAATAAATAATAAATAATTTCAAAACTCTACCTAAATGACAAATGAGTCCTATATTGACAAATAATTATTCTATAAACTAAATTGGGATTTAGAGCTTACCCAAGCTAAGCCCCGAGCTTTTAGACGCTTCTTCTTTGCTCTGTCAAGCTTACCTAAAATGTTAAAGAGAGGAGTGAGCACTAACGTCTCAATAACCCAAAGTTTAACCACATATACACAAACTACAACTACACAATTATACAACTAATATACAAGTGAGTTTATAAGAATCATTCAATTATAACATAAAAATTTTATAGGATATATCTCATAACATGTCAATATGTAATACCAATAATCTTCTTGTTACTCCATCCATCCTTATTCCGTTGACTGGAACCATAGACTTAAATACGACCTGACCCACATGCTGGATTGACCAAGCTTCTCCAATACTTGAGATATACCCGACCAAAGGTACAGAGCCAAGCCTAGACTATAGTTTCCCTCTCTAAAGAACCTAACTTGGAGGTGTCACTGTCCTATATTCCCCTTTTACAAACTTGGCCAGGTAAGTATTGAGGAACAGGGCTCTAAAAAGGCTAACCACTGTGCGCACAACGGAGGCAAACCACATGGTTACTGAATCATATATGCATCAACATCATCATGTCCTCATCAACCCATCCCTCGATACATTTTGCACATATACAATAATTACATTATGTACAAGCATACTTGAAAAGAAATAGAAATATCTCATTCGATCAACTCAATGTACAAGTATGCTTGAAAGAAATAAACCACTCTTAAATAATACATACTATTTCCATCAAATAAAATTTATTAATTTGCATTTACAAGCATGTTTGAAAAGAAACACTAACAATAATATATAGCCGAGCTACAAGCATGTTTGACAAGATTTAAGTAACATATAAATTGTCTATAATTAAATTTATGATTATATATATTCGTTATCAAACACAAAGCTTGCACACATATGAAAAAACTCTGAGTTACCTATTCTCCTTAAACTAACAAGCAGCCATACAGCAAAACCAATCAAAAAGAGCTCTCAGTGAGAGTCTATAGAAATCACATACATATAAAAATATTAATAAAAAAATTAAAGTGTTTAAGAATTACCATACAACTATCCTAAAGTTACTTTAATATTACTCTAGAATCTTAGTGCTACCCTTGAGGGTCCAAAATTTTCTTTTAAAATTTATATCACTTTATAATTTAAGTAATTATTTAGAGTAGTCAAGTTTCAAGCCAAAACCATTTATGCATGTTCCTCAATTTATAAGTTTCTATTTTTAATCTAAATTTCTATTTTATAACTACCCACACACACACACAAAAAATATTATATTGCATATATGCATATATTGGAAAAAGAACATAACAATGATATACCTACAAGAAGGCTACAAGGAGGACTATTATATTATTATTTTATATATATAAAGAGATGGAAGACATGAGGTTGCTGTGCTTGGCTATCAAGAAAAAAAAGCAATTAAAATACAATTATTATTATTATTATTATTATATCATTATTTTCTTAAGCATCACACTATGAGAGCAATAGGTTTGGTGAAGACTCACGATGAGGAAGAAGAAAAGATGGAAACTTTTCGAGGAAAAGGACAAATGTTTGACAGCTTTGGTGGTGTTCATACAACATGTATTGATATATATATCAGTAATGCATCGAGAAAAGAAAACGATAAAGAGGAAAAAGGAGAAACTAGAAAGAGTTACCTTTATAGAAAGAACTCAGCGGCTGCATGAAAGGAACGAAGAAAGCTAAATGAATATAAAAATAGGGTTTTCATTAGATTATATTTTAGACTTATAAATTTATAAACTTAAACTATTTTTTTTCATTAATTAATATTATCTTTATAATATCTTTAAAGATAATTTTAGAATGATTTGATATCTTTTAAAACTTAACAAGATTATCTGACTTGTAATATTATATATATATATATAAATTAGTTTCAAATATTTATTAAATTTAATCGCTTTATTTATTAATTTACACACACACGCACACATATTACTGTCTTATTATTTTAGGCCTAATACTTAATTCTATGCCCTCTCTAAGATGCCTATCAACAATCTAAGGCTCAATAAAATCTAGGATATTCTAATTCTCCCATCCTTAAAAAAAATTTTGTCCTCAAAATTTAGCACTTGATAAATCATATTATTACATTTTAACCTCCATATATACGCATTAATTTCCTCAAAATCTATAAGTTCCTGAACTCTCTCTCTAGTTGTTCTAGTTGTATTATCATAGGCTGTACTTACTTCACACTTATTTTATTGTTCTAGATATTATGAATATTGATTTTTAAATTATCCTTAAAAAGTTAGCTTGAATTCTGTGAAAAGTGTTGAAACTCAATCTAAAAAACACCTAGTGAGGTGGGATGAGAGCTGTTATAACTTCACTCTCTTTTGTTGTGGCCTTTTTTCTTTGACACAGCCAAAACTTTTTCCTTGCCTAATCATTGTCACACATGAGTTCGGATCTTCTACACTGCCTAACTCTTAGAGGCCCTTCATGGCTCGCTCTATCTCTCTCTTTTATTCTGCTCATCCCATTTCCACTTTTAAATGAGACAAGGAATGTCAAATTAATCTGAATGCCTATTGGATAGGACTATATCATTTATGGTAGCTTCACGTGCATTTTAGCATGCTTTTTCATATTTATTCAAGGTAATTATATATTTCTGGAATTGAACTTGAGATTATAAGATAAGCTGATTTAACTCTCTCAATCAGTTTAACCAAATGACCTTAGTAAAATAAACAAATAATTTTAAATGGTTAAAATTTAACCTATTCAATTTATAACTACAATAAAATAAATAAATAAAAATTTTAATTTATAAAAAAAATCAATAACACTATGTAACTATAAATTGGACAGGTCAAATTTTAACAGTTTAAATTTAATTATTTTTCATATGATAATTATTTTATAAAACAATTAAATTTTTTGCTAAAAGAACAATTAAATATGAACCATTAATCTTATTATTCAAGGGTGGAGATGAGACGAGGAGAAGAAAAGGAGAAAGAGGAGAGAGAGCGCATGAGGCCTTCCTTGGTCCAAAGGAATAGATGGTTGCCCTTTCTAGTAAATTATAAAAACTACCTCCAGCGAAACATTGTTTTAGATTAATAATGCAAGCGACACCATCACCATTTTGGCTTGTACCATAGCTGTTCACAATTTATCAATGCGAGTAATGGGAGGTGGAAAGCGGATTGCTTGCATATGATTTTCATTATAACTTACTTATCCCTTCACAGTTTTCAGATCAATGGATCTCTGGCTCGCCGGTCGATCAAGGACTTGACGACACGAGGATCAATTAGGCTAATAGCTGCGCATGCCAGCCAACAAATTTACACCACATCCACCAACAACTAAGCTTAAAGATACCTTTTGTCTCTCTTAGAGTAGCCTATATACAGTTGTTAGAGTACTGATATTCCTACCATCCCCTTGATGATAGCATTTTGCTAGATTGTGACCCTCAAAGTTCGGCTTCATCTTGATCATGGCTGGCATTCTTTTAATTTGGTCTTGGACAATTGTTATCTAATTCCCCCTCCCCAAAAAAAAAAAAAAACCCCAAAGTCAATGACAATTTTGCTGGCCCACGGGTAAAAATATTAGTCTTCTTTCCCTCTCATCTCCACGCGCAAATTACATGGCAACTACGCAAGAGGGGTTAAATGCTTGCAAAGGCCATTTGGCATCAACTTACAGCACGTTATGTCCAAAGCCATCCTCCATTCTTTGGGTACCAAAAACACCATGAATCGTTTAAAAAAAAAACAAGAAATTCAAAATCATTCTTTCACGAACATCGGGCATAGGAGACAATATGGTGGGTGGCAGTGGTTTGTTTTGTTGCAAATTTTTTTCACTGCCATATATTATTTACTAGAAAGAGATTTAAGAAATGGGAATATCTACATTTCACAACATACCGTGCGTGTTCTTGTGCTTTGAAACCAGAAGCGTTTGGGTTTTGCAGTCGACTGATTTACGATCATGAGACTTCTTTTCCCATCAAATAAATGATGGAAACGAACAATTGAAGAGTAGGCCTTGAACTGTCAAATTGCATCACAGCTCCTGCATATCGTGCGTTCGAGAGAGATTAGATTGGAAGGCCTATGAGGGAAACACCTCCAATTCAGAGCTGTTTTCCTGATCGATGACATCAAGGAATAACGGATCAACGGTGACATGGCTATCCACGTGCACCTTGAACCTATGGTCCCACCAAAGAACCTTGGCCGTGCCACTGATATCCACGGCGGCGTCGAGCACCATCTCACGCTTGGCGACATCAGCCACAAAGCGAGCGGCGTGGTGGGCCAGTTCCAGGCCGTGAAGCCGAGCCGGGAGGTGGAGCAGCTGGCAGGAGCGGGGAGGCTGCGAGCCGGCTTGCACCTCGGCTGATCCCAGAAGCGAGCCCTGATAATAGATGGACATGGAGGTAGAGGAGTAGTGGATGGGAGCGACGTTGGGGTTGGTGACGTGTACGGTGAGGATTAGCTCGGCGTCCAGGACTGGAAGGTTGAGCTTCAAAGAGGTGAAGCTGATTGATATCAGGTGGAAGGTTGGGTCCTTAGGCTTCGCAGATACTAACGCCGTTGCCGCCAGAACCGACGCGGCTCCGATCATCGCCGAGCTCCAGCTCCATTTTAACTCTTTGGCCATGCCTGCTCCGCTTCGCTTCCAGAAGCAAATCCCCAATCCGCAATATGCAGTCAAATTGGATTCGTGTAGATGACGGAAATGCCCTCAATTTTTAATCCTACGTTGTGGTCACCGGCCGCCCCAGCTTCAAGAATTCGGGGACGACGTGGACAGGTTCGTCGTTGAGGCAAAAGTAGAAACCCAAAGACCACATGGATTATGACGTAAGAAAAGCACACGGGCAAATATTATCTTATGAATTACGAAGCTCATCTAGTTCGATGGACATGTACACGGCTTTCAAACTCATTTTGATGTTTTTAATACTTTTTTTTTTACTTCGTAAAAAAAGTTATAGATAAGTTATTTGTTTCCCAACTATATCCTAAAAAACTTTCAAACTGCCTTTTTTTTTTTTTGAGCTCTCGCCTTTTCACATTATAAGAAAAATCCCAGTGAGTACTTGAAAATTTTCCAAACTAGCTTCGATTTTTCTTTTTTCAACGCCCTTTTCTTTCACTTGTAATTGTAATAAAACATTCTGAGTGGGTTGCTGTATCCAATTCAGTCTAGAAAAAATTTCCCTAACTACCTTTTTATTTGAGCATCATCTACAAAACAACTCTCGTGTTCTGTTGTGGAATCCTTCAATCGTATTTTCTTGGAATGCCGTTTTATTAAAGCCGTCTGGTTTGGTGCTGTCGGAATTCAAACTACAAGTATTCAGCATCAGGTCTTGGCTTCCTTGTATCCTGAATTCTCTAATTAAAAAAAAAAGGTAGATTTGATATGGTTGAGGGTATCATCATCATCATCAATTTGATTTGAAAGAAACGTAAGAAGGTTATGTCGTAATAAGGTTTACATAGGAAGAATATTATAAGTTGATCGAGATTTATAAACTTAAGAAGTTTTCTCATTTAATAAATTAATTTTTTAGAATAGGTTTTTTTTTTTTAATTTGTACTTGTTATATTAGCGCTTTTGTTAAAAGGCTGGTGCCACATAAAAAACTAATTACATAAGGTACTAATCACTAGGAGGTTGATTGAAGAATCATGATGACATTATTATAAGTTTTATATTAAGAAACTTTACAAGTTAAATGAATTTATAAATTTAAAGAGTTATTCCATCTAATAAATTAATTTTTGAAGACAGAGTTTTCTTTTTAAACTTATGCTGATTACATATGCACCACAGTTTCTCTCAAAACCCAGGAAATATCACTTCTGAACTTTTTGGAGTTGTTAAATTTTAATGTGTGAAATGCGCAATGTATTGATTAAATAGATACCCACATAGGAGGGCAAAGGTGTTGAAGTCACGCGCCCGGCACGCTACACCGGCCTCCACCCTGTAAGATGCGGAAACCTGCCCAGTCCCTACTGTCCAGCGTTCTGTGAGATTCCCAACTCAGGCTATTATCCAGCTACACTCCCAACTACTATGGATCTTTACGATCCCAATCGCTCCCGCCACCGCAAGCCCATCTCCACCGAGCGCTTCCTTGGCGTTTCAACCCATGCGCCGCTATTTGAAAACCCTAGCTCCTCCGCAAGGACCAATGGCGGTGACGAACTCAGTGAAGATGTCGTTGTTTTCATGAGCGAACACTGTACTGAACCTAATCATTCCTCCACCCCTTCATCTTCCTCCGCCTCATCCACCCCACGCAACCACTTTCAGCCCAACCACAGGGGTCTTGGCCCGCTCGACACGTTTGGCATTCTCGCTGCTTTGCCTGAAAATGAACCGTCCCCGAATGCTCGAAACACCTCGCACCTATTTCACAAGGCATCTGTGTCTTCCACCTCCTCCTCGTCCTCCCGTTCGATCCCTGCAATTCCGAAGCCGCCGCATGAACGTATTCCATCCTATACTTCATCATCCTCTGGGAAGTACCCCCAGTCTGCGCCGGTGAACGTTCCGGTTATGTCGCCAGCAATGATGATGGCGAGGAGTAGACGCCGGGAATTTGACGATGACGATGGTGACGAAGGCGATGAGGGAGAGGAAATGCTTCCCCCGCATCAGATTGTGGCAAGAAATTCTGCGCAGTCGCCTATGCTCGCTAGCTCGGTTCTTGAAGGAGCGGGGAGGACGTTGAAAGGGAGGGATTTGCGCCAGGTTAGGAATGCGGTTTGGCGGCAAACAGGTTTTCTTGATTGAAGTATTCGGGCACTCGTAATTCTGGGGATACATTTTCTTTGAATTTTCTTCGTTTGACTACACTTGACATTTCCAGTCTAAATTTGTTCTGAACTAGTGTATTTTAGTGTCCAATTGCCGCTCCATTACAAGCATGAAGCAGGACACTATTTTAAATTTTCTTTCTGGTGACTCTTTAGCCTCTAAAACTTGCTCTTCAAGAACTAGGCATGGCGCAGCGTTGAGTCAAAAAAGATTCGGTCATTTATGAGCTCATTAATGTTTTATTTCCCTGATTTTAAGAGGGTGATTTTGTATATCCTGTCGTTTTCACTGGACACGTTCTGGTTCTGATCATTTGAACAAGAACATACCTTTATAATGTGTTTTTCCAAAATTAAATCATCGGATGTGCTCTGAGATTACAGTGTACCTTCTATTCGAGTCAAAATAGAGGTGAATTTTGTTGGCGCGAACTAAGGCTTTGGGTGATATACAATGCACCTTACTGAGATCAGTTCATTTCTTTATTTGAAACACCTGAGATTCGATAACTTATATACGGATGCATAAAAAATTTGGTATAGCTCTCACCACTATATTGTACTCTATTGCGGTCTAATTACTTCTTTTTCCCTTCTCTTCTGGGATTAAAAATAATGAGTTTACAAAATGAGTCTGTTTACTCCCTTTTCCCGTGTCTGGCTTCTCTCCATTTTTTGCCAGCATCGTGCCATCATTTTGACTTTATCCTTCCATCCATTCCATTCACTTGTTACGTTGACAGCGTGCGTCCCTGAAAACTAGAATGTAGCGTGTCAGCTAATTTTAATGTTGCATTTTCGCATGATTTTGGACAATTAGGAATTTTCCAAAATCTTAGCTGTTTGTTGTTCCTTCTGGTGGGATCTTAACATGTGGCTCTTGCCTCCTGATATCAATGCTGCCTTATTGAAGCCATATTCAGTGGCACTATTTCAAATTCAATCACCTGCGTTTCTGAACCTTTGGCAGTGCGTTTCGAGGTTCTGAGTTGACTGAGATGCTGCTATCTGCATTTAAAAGGTCTGTGGATGATTGTTCCTAACCTGTTTTATTTTCCTTTCATGAACAATCTCGTGTTCTTGCCTTCCATTAATTGAAGTTGCTGCTATTTTGCTCCTTGTTTTTTCCGAAGTTTTCTGTAATTTTGCTTCCGGGGTTCTGTGGATGCTGCTGTAATTTGCTCTCGAGTTTGCTGTTAATTGAAGTTGTAGCTTGTTGCAGCCTGTGTTGGTTGCAAACTGCATCGGCAGACAATAAAGGCAGACTCAATAACTATGATTTTTGGCTGCCTGGAGTGGTACGCAAATAAAGAATTCAAGAAGCACAGCACTCAGTTGCCTCTGAAATTTCCAACTGGTTCGGTTGCAGTTTTCTGGACTGTTTCTTTGAAACACAGCTTTGATAATAGGAGCAGGAAGCCTGTGCCAAGATCTTACTGGAAGGAGCAACATAAAGATCAATTTGACTAAATTCAAGTCAAACTGCTGCAGTTATCTTTGTTGATATGGTGCATAATAGTTGCGAAAAAATGCATGCCATTGATGTAGTAGATGAAACGGAGAGATAGGATGACACCAAAATGATGTCATGATTTTGGTGCCAATAATGGAGAGAAGCTGCTCGCGTGCAGTGACTCCGTCAACTGACATTGGCTTATGGTGCTTTGCATGGTCTTGTTTTTAGTGAATTTATGATGATGCATTGTTGGTGAATGGTGATATGTTTTTGTTTCCAGACAGTGCACTTTTCTCTCAGAACCACAAAGCATTAGAAATAGAGCTCTTGTTTCTTTGATTGGCTATTGGATTCTTTTTCTTAAACCATTAGTCATTGGGTGCCTAGTGAAGTTATTAAATTATAAAGTAAAATGGTGAAGAAGTTTTCAAAATATATTTAATTATGAGAAAGCCCAATCTCTCACCCTTGAATGAATTAGGAATTAGGAATTAGGAATTAGGAAGTGGCAACAAATCCAAGCCTTTGGCCAATCAGGCATAGCTTGGTTGGAGGGAAATTTGGAGGAATGGGGAAAAACTGATAAAAGCAAGTACTTTGTAGGAAACTAGCAGTGTGCATTATGTTTAGGGATTATGATATATATATATATATGTATATATATATATCACTCACACACTGGAAATCATTCCACTTTTTGCTCTTCTCCCGTATTCTTTAAATCAGGTGATTGATGTTTTATTTTATATATTGATTCTACTTCAGTTATGTATCACCAATTCAGATGTTTGGCTATAATGGTGTCAGATTAGAAATAAATTCCAACTTGGGGAAGAAAATAACTGGATTCATCGTCCGATCCTGCATTAGTGTTTTTAATCTAATCCCCTCGTGGCATCAGACACTGGAGATGCGAAGACAGTAGCACTCACCAAAGGATTGCCGTTTTCAATGTGGTTGCTAGTTGTACATGTTTTTAGTTATGTGACGACCCACTGTACTTTTTTTTACTTGTTGCTGGCTTCCTTCTATATTGAAAAGTTATTTCTTTATTTTCGTTAGTTCGTATGTGATGATTTAGTTATATAAATCATCATCATCATCTATGATTCGTTTTTGAAAACTTCATTATGGATGAGAGCTAAAAAGGCTTAAGTTATATTTCCTCATGACTATCAACTTCCTGCATCAGGACCTTCCTGTGAACTTTGATGGCAGGCATAGTAACTGCCGTTATTGCTTTTGCTTCAAAAAGAAGTTGCAGGCATGACTGTGAATCACACTAGATTTTACCCCGAACACTGTTCGTATCAAATGTCACTCTCTCTTTTAGGAGTGTCCAGGCTTCTACCATAAAGGATGCCATCTTTAGGATGCTTCCTCCGACCTCCGTCTGTCTCTTATTTAATTACTTTTGCGGGGAGCAGGTTGTCATGTTGATTCTCGTAACTGCATCTTTACTTTGGAAGTCCTTTCCCAAAAAACGCAATCATGAGTTGGTAGAGGCTGTAAATGAATCCAATTGTTTGTTGCATACTTTAGAAGTATTGATTGGATGCGGTTTTCTCATTGAATGAATAAGTCTGTACAATATCTTAAATTTGGCGAGTTAAAGAGGCCAATTGGACTCATTAAACCTGCAAAATGACTTAATCATTACTTTAAGAAATGTTCATAGTCCGTGGATATTGATGCTGATATCAGTAATAAGAATGGTTGCTGTACGGTCTAACTCTAGATGGCTCCAACGGTTATAATTTTATGAGTCTCATTGGAAGCACCCAGGGAGAGCACCTCTATCATGTCGTTTCGTAAGAAAAGGTTGAATTTTCCCGGGAGAAGATTGAGATCCGGTGATTCAGGATGTTAAATGGAAAATTAAAAGGAACACCCTGACACTATTTTCATGGGCGAGAGTTCACAGACACAGTTTGAAAGTTGACGCAAGTGATGGGATCTTTGCTCTCAAATGAAAGCACGAAATGATTTCAACAAAATTGAAATTCGTGCGTTGCGTATTTATCAAGCCACCGGATAGAAAATGACCCTCGTGGCCTGTAGGCTTCTTCCTCGTAGGGCCAAGACTTGGACTTGAACTCCTTCTTAATCGGTGAGCCTCAGAATCGCATTGAAGTGAATTAGTTGATATGTCGGGCATCCTTGTTTCATCTATTAATCAGTCCACCGGTGGGAGACAGCAAAGATTTGCTTTTTATGACGAAATATTTAGACCTTGTAGATTTCCCGCCATCACACCAAAGAAATATTTGGTTGACTATTTCTTTAAATTTTCATTTTAGAATAGGACCACTCTATTAAGCTTGCTTCGCTGTAACTGTGTGACTTAACAAGAGCTAAATTAAGCTGAATTGAGTTAGGTAAGATTACAAGGGCGACAAAACTCTTCCTAACATACTGGTTATTAGAATTTAAGTTTGAAAACTTTGGTGAAGTTGTTAGAACACCGCCAATTAAACCAAGCTGTTGGCGGTTACAATTTTCTTTTTCTAATAACAAAACCCAATTCTATATTTTTAATTTCTTGATTTCAACATCCTATTCTTATTATTGAACAAAACATATTGATTAATTAATTTCATCCGCTATGCTTTTAGGTGATTTCGAAACTTCTCCGGGGGCGACATTCATGTAGCTGTAAAAGGTCCCAACAGGCCGCGGTTAATAGTGAAGTTTCATTGCCCAGAGTGAAATCCACGGGAGATGATAGACTATCAGACCAACCACGTTTATAAATCCCATGTTTTATGGTTTTGTCATTTGAGCTATACTACTATAGACGCCAACTTTATGACATGATTTCATATTAAATGTGGCATGCATATTTCGAAATATCTTTGTCATGTCTACCCATGTGTCGTGGCCTCAGGGGCTTGGGGGTTTAGCACAGTCATCATCATGATCTCCCACTTACGCTTCATTAATAGTCTCTCACAACTCGCTGCCAAAATCTCCACAAAATCATCATAGAATCTAGGCTTTGTTCTCATCATAAAAATCTGGTTCCTCTTACCCTCGTGCCTTGTTATGATTAAGAATTTTTCAGCTACTTGGTACAGCACCCCAAATCCGTATACTACATTTTGCACACAACATCCTATATTCTACTACTTCCAGGCTCATTTGTAAGAAATAAGCCATAATTATAAACAGGCACCGAGGTAGTATTTCGGCTACTTCATTCAACTCTTGTCTTCACTTTTGAATTTTTAACTAAAAAAGCTTTCCAATGATCTTTAGCGTGTTGTGTACACGACATGATTCAACTACGAACTGTAATAAGAAAAAGCAAGGCAGATGTGCTCAAGAATTCACGTTAATAAATCGCTGATCCGTAAACAAATAAAAAAATTGGTACTCTTCCCTGTAAATATTTATTTTTTGTGCTCAGATATAATTACTGATAACATCTTCTGTACTCGTTATCGTAACATGTTGATAAATAATTGAAGTTCACACCGTCAGTGTGCTCAACGTCCACATAAAACATAAAATTATTATTATTACAGTATAGAAATTTCCCATATATTTATGATATTTGACAAGTTTCCCTGAACAATACTTACTGCAATCTATGAAGACCAACCACTATTGTCAGCTTTAGGTCCCCTCATTTATTACTCTCACGTTATAAGCTGCAAACTTGTCCTTCTTCTCTTCAGACTCCAGACTTCAAATGTGGAACTCCTCTGTCAGCCATTGCCAGTTGCTTCCTTCTATGGCGTTTCCTCAGCTCACCACAGCTCTGCTCTTTGCATTAGCTCTAGCCACAATTGACCCCTCCACATGCCAAGAAGTAAAGGCCAAAGTCTCCTGCCTTGACTGCCCCAGCAATTTCGACCTCTCTGGTTTGTCTCATAACCATTCATATGAAACTCACTAGCTTTCACTCTATTCTTATGCTATGTGGTTTCAACTTTTCAGGAATCAAGGTTTCGGTGAAGTGTGAGAAAGTGAAGAAGTTGGGGGTGGCAACTACAGAACATGATGGGTCCTTCAAGGTTAAACTTCCCACAGACTCAGGGAGGTGTGTTGCACAACTTGTGGGAGGACCAGAACAACTTTACACTTCGAGGAAGAGCATGTTCTCTCGAATTGTGAAGGCCAGAGAGCCCAACACCTTCACCATATCTACTCCTCTGAGCTTCCACGCAAAATCTGAGCTAGGCTCCTCCAAAACCGTTGATCTCCCTCTGCCTCCAGAGTGGGGTTTGGCACCCTCTAGCTATTATGTCCCCTTCTTCCCCATCATTGGAATACCCTGATTGTGTGTTCCTGTAAGATCAAAGTGCTTGTGCACTGTTATTAATAAGTACACCCCTCATATATATATGTGACGTAAGTAAAAGTGGCAGTATTGTAAGATCTGTATCTATGCCCAACTCTTGTTAAGCGGCCCGGGAAGAAGGTTAGTTTTTCTCTGTTTAAAAGCAGGCATGTATATGGTGTTTGCTTCCTTGTCCATGTATGTCAATCTCATGTTAATCATAGTGCTAGTTCATGAAGCACTAGTTTTAGATTATACTCTTCTCGGGCTCGAATTTGTTGTGTTTAGTTATAATTCTCTGGTGGTTTAAATTTCAAGAGATATCTCATGAGATCGGATAAACATTTATGTACAGAGGATATTCAAGAAAATGAAAGGAATGATGCAACTTCTAATTATAACCAGCATGTGGGCTGCATAAACCAAGCAGTAGAAAGCAATAGGACCAAAGAAAACGAAAGTTAACACGTGGTGCTTTGACAAAGCCGGCGAGGCCAAACGATGTCACAAGAGGCAAAAAATAGAGAGAGAGAGAGAGAACTTATAGTGGGGCTAGTTAATGAGTATGATTTGGTTTAAGATCTTAATTTACTTTGTCTTATATTTATCATTTTTTTAATTAAACTACCATTAATGACTACATCAATTTATGCAATTAATAGAGGTAGTTTTTTTATGTAAATTAGGGGCATTTGAAGTCCTGTATCGTAGTTTTCCAAATACAGTAGTTTTATTCGAATGGGAGGGGACAATAAAGAGGTTGAGAAAGAGAAGATTCCCAAATTGTTCGTGGGAGCTGTTTTGTAATGCAACACTACCACTTCATTTGGACAGGGAGGAAACTAGGAGGAGAGAATTCCTCCTTTCTATTTTCCTTCCTATAATGAATATACAGAAGCAGTCAAAACTGCAAGTAAAAGTACTAAAACTTAAATGGTATAACGTTTCTAAGAGGGGAGAGCGATCCAAGAGCTCTGCTGCATTACTATGGGATGAGTGATGTGGCAGATATGGTAACTAACGTCTGATGTCTGATATCTTAATGTATGTATTTGGTAACATTATATTTACTTGTCAACTTTATATGTGAATCTCCTTGAGCAAACTTCAAATATAATGTGAAGAAGTAACAAGAAAATGGTAGGCACCATTTTTTTTATTTTTAAAGCGTGTGGCCTGCATCTCTGTCTCAGTCTCTCTTCTATATTTCACCTAAAGTGTCTTTAGGGATTCAAAGAATTTTTCGTTGTTATGCTCCTCTTATTGGGATGATGTGAAGTAAAAAGTAAAAGAAAGCTGCTAGTAGGCCTTACTCCGGTGACATTCATACATGCTGCTAGAGGGTAAAAAGAAATACAGTCAGAAAATTTTACTTTTGCAAGCAATCACAAGTGCTGTCACACAATATAAATATCTGCAAGTGTAAAATAAAACAGAGGACAGTCTGTAATATAAGTTCCTAAACTGCAAGAATCACTTTGCCCCAACTTTTATATATGATTTCCCCAGTCTCCTTGACTGAAACATATTTTGCTTTCCCCCCACTTAAAACCCAACAGAATAATGTAATTTGTTTGGAGATGAGTTTCATACGGCAGTCAAGGTCAAATACAGGAATAGCCGAAAAGGGATTGGTTTGATGGCACTGTACTGAGTTCAAAGAGAACACCTTTGGAAATGGGCCTACTTCGTCACTAGCCAGAACTTCGATTCAAATTAGTCGTGATGGCTAGTAGCTCTACGAATACCGAATGCGAAATAAAATTAAAAGTCAGGCATAGGAATAGTTTCAAAGGTAGATCGAATTTTGTCATTAATGGAGTAAAGGAGTGATAGAAGGCAAACTGATGAAGATTTTAAATGATGAGATAGTGTGCTATTATAACAGCAAGTTTCTTGAATTCAAATTATATGCCACCCCACTGTACAATTGGAGGAGTGATGAATCCCCCGTGCATTGAATTTGAAACCACAGGCCTCTTAGATCAAATTATTTTACAATTCTAGAACGATAATGTACGCCTGATTATTTGTTGTTCACGCACACACGAACATATAATAAGATTGAAAAAATGCAGATTCGGGGCATCAAGAAGATGACATCAGACAGAGTCCGCGTGTGAAGATTGAGATTTGACCTCTTTGCAAATTTTGTGATTTACAAGTCAATGCATAGAGGAGCAGAAGCCACAATAAGGGCATTTTCTGTCTCTGATTTGGATGGAGATTTCACTATCTGAAGTGCCATTATTACTGTCTATTCACTTGTTAGTCTTTATAACGCCGATGACTTCACAAAATGATGCTGAATGTTCGTCATGAATGCGGCAAGTTGAGATAAAAGGAGCAGGTTGGATGGCCCAGCAGAAACAAAGCGTCGGGCATTCTATAACTTGGAAGGCGCGTTATAAAAGTAAAGTAGTTGAATTTTGTGTCACAGCTCTCAACTGTCTCGCTGGATCACCGCCTCATGTTTCAAGATACATTCAACAATACATGCCTCCAATACCATCTCTCCAATGTCAAATTACGTCCCAAATTTATAGTGTGCGTGAAGACCATATAAACGAAGTCTTTGGTATTTTTAGACATTAAAATGGCATGGATGTATCTTTGGTTTTTGTAATTCTACAAATGTGGGGTTTATTAATGTGATTACAATTAACAATAAATTCAATATTTTAAAAAATTAATACAGATAAATAAATCATGCAAATTGCAACCCAAGACAAGTCACACGATATTGAATCCTGTTATTATTCATAAACCATTTATTTCCTGAAAAATTATATAATGATTGATTATTGATTATATAATACTACGCATTTTTTACGTATTAAAACTTAATTATTATTTTACACTGAATAATATATATATATATATATATATATATTTGTATAGGAAGGACGTGGTCCGGTGCACGATTTTGCACATGGTTTTGACTAATGGGTCATGCTGCCTTCCTCAATCTGTCATTTAGTTTTCGTTCAAAATAATTTTAGGTCACACTAAAATTTAAAGAATCTGTCAAATTTACTCTCTTTTATCTTGTTTATAAATCATTTTTAAATATTGTATCTGAATCAAGAAATTATAAATTTTATTAACTTTATCTTATAATTTAACATGTTTTTACCTTTACTTTTAAAAAATATTTTTAAATATCATTATTAATATTTTTATTAAAAATATTTAATAAGAGCAAAAAATTGTAAATAGGACAGAGGAGTAATCATCAATGCTTGGCCCAATAGCAACAGCACAGCCGGTAACGCGTAAGCCATATTGGAGCAAAATGAAATTGATTGTTAAAGTATAATAGAAGTAAAATTAGTAAATTTTTCAAGGCACAATTTTTTTTTTCTCGCTCATTTATTTAAGTCTCCGTCTTCCTCCACTCGCACTTCCTCAATAATCCACCAATGGCAGATTCAGGTACAAATATCACAATTTGTCATTACCAGCTATGGGTTAAGCGACAGTAGTTGGGTTGGGCTCGCACCACCGTTGGAACTCAGACGTGACTTGGTCGCTTGCCTTTTTAAATTTTAGTAGAAACCGAGTCCACCCCTCCTTTGTTGGCATCTATACGACTCCCCTTTTTCTTGCTCAAGTCCTTGAGACTTTGCCCAACACAAGCAGTTTCTTGATTTGAAATATAATTATCCCTCCATCCCCATTAAGTGTCACCCTAGCAGCATCTAATAATGGCCAACAAAAATATCTTCTTACCTCCTGTGTTTAGATTCATATCTTGCAATGATCATATGAGATAGTTGGTGTGGTTATGGCGCCTATTAACCAAAAAAAAAAAAAAAAGTAGAAAATTCTAACAGGTACACAGGAGACTGTTTGGAGGTATCAGGAAGAAGGATGAAAAAAATAATTTAAGTCTTATGAACAGGGATAAAAGAAGACAGAAAGACCCAATGAGTTATAGAAAGAGATTTTTTTTTAGTTCATATATCTAAATATTTAATTATTGATAGAATATAATGACATCATTTAATTGATGCAATTGTTCCCGCATAATAAGATAAGACTGCTGGTTATCCTTGTAATCATGCACAAAAAAGAAGTCAAATATCGATTATCAAGAAAATTGACTTGAGAAGTCTAATGTTATATGGTCCATCGTCTGTTCATTTTTCCACCTCTTTTCAAATAATTGACGCTTAATCATGTTTATCAAAGCGCAAGCAGATTAGCTTAGTTTTTTTTTTCTTTTTGAAAAAAAAAAATGCCAGCGCATAACGAAAACTAAGATTAAATTAAAGAGAGCAAGACCGATTCAAAGGCGGGATTTTGTTGGAGAATCATGATAAAGACAGAACAGTGAGGGGTATGAAGAGAAGACGCCTTCTTGCTCTCCAAACCGCGTGCGCGTGGAAGTTTCCCTCCAATCCAAACTCGCCATTTCTTCTTCTTCTTCTTCTTCTTCTCAATTTTTCTTCCAGCCACAGCCAACAGGCCAACCCCTTTATTTACTCGTTGCCTCTCTTCTCTGCTCATTGGTGATGCCCCCACACACACAAGCATCAATGGAAGATCTCCCTCCTGGTTTTCGCTTCTACCCAACAGAGGAAGAGCTAGTAGCTTTCTACCTCCATAACAGGCTTCAAGGTCGATTCGACCGCATCAACAGAGTCATCCCTGACATTGGCATTTATGATTTTGAGCCCTCCCAACTTCCCAGTACTTCTCTACTCTTAACTCTTCACCTTCTCATCGAATAATATGAGTTGGGGGTCCGCTAAAATGGTTTGGTGTAATGTGTTGCAGAGCTCGCGGGAGAGATGTGTCGTGGAGACACAGAGCAATGGTTCTTCTTCTCACCGAGACAAGAGAGGGAAGCCAGAGGAGGAAGGCCCAACAGAACCACGGCCAGCGGGTATTGGAAAGCCACGGGTTCTCCGGGGTACGTTTACTCCTCTGATAATAAAGTCATAGGGTTGAAGAAAACCATGGTTTATTACAGAGGGAAAGCTCCTTCCGGGAGGAAAACCAAGTGGAAGATGAACGAATACAGGGCTATTGAATCCTCTCACCAATCCTCCGTCGCGGCCCCTAAGGTACCATCAAGAACCGACCTCTCAATTTTTTCCGTCTTTTTATGCCGTCTCGGTTGTTCATTATCATATGCCTGGCGATCTTTTTTTCCCCTCTTTGCATAGTTGAGGCACGAATTCAGCTTGTGCCGAGTTTACGTGATATCGGGAAGCTTTCGAGCGTTTGATCGGCGCCCTTTAGCAGTTTCAGCGAGTGCGCATGATCAGAACACACAGATGGAGGATCACCCCAAAGTCCCAGACGATGGAGGATCGAGCGGTGCAAACCGGAATGTAAATAATGAGGAAGAAGTAGCTCTACTGGAATGGCTACATTTTTCTCGTGATGCTTATGTTAGTCATGACTCAAATCCTTGAATTATATTCACTGATCATTGTATAATATTTTTTTTTTTTTTGTATTATATCTTGTTGACACTGCTTTTTTTAAAAATTTATGTCATAAGGCTTTGACCTCTAGTCGTTTAGCCTCTCTGGTTTCAGATTTCTCCACCTGGTGGGTGCTGGAAGATAGAGAGATGTATTCTATTCCCTGTGGTTAATTCATTGTATAACTTCATCGTTAAATAGCAGAGATTATTTATCTGATCTTTCGAATAAGAGACGTATTATTCTGATCTGCACGGATGCTTGTCATTTAGCTACAATTAGATCGAAGTTGCTTTTTATTCATTTTGAAGGTTATCTCACTTTCTTTTTACCTTTTCAACCCATCCATCCTTGTGAAACCGCTTTACATACTTACCCACAAGTTTTCTCCCTAAATTATGCTATACTATAAAAAAAAAATTCTTCAATTAAAATAAATGGAGTTCATAGGCATCCATAAAGTCATATGGAAGAAGTCAATGCACATCCAATCTGCGCGGTGTCCTAGTCTGATATTTGCGATAGTTTGGGTCCACGTTTTGTTGTTTTGGTAGATTGTTCAGTGTTGGGTCTTGTTCTCTGGATTGATGTTTTCAATATCTCTTTTGTATTTATGTATGTAATTAATGACATATTGTCCTGTGTAAAATATATATATATATATATATATATATAAAATGAAGAAGACAGTAACAGACCATCGCTGGGTTTAGCGTATTTAAATCCATGTTTGCTATTTTTTTAAAAAAAAAGAGTGAGAATATAATATCATTATATATATATATATATATATAAAAGTAAGGTTAAAGATTAAAAAAAATACCACATGTTTATTTTTAAATTTGCTACAATTTTATATTTTAGGATACATTTTTTATCCTTTGAGTTAGGTTTGAAATAATTTATTACTTTTTAATATATATAAAATATATTATTCAGATTTAGAGGTAAGTGTGAGATGAATTATTCATTTTCATATGTATAAAAAATTATTTTTAATATATTTAAAATTCAAATATGATCATATTCAAATTCAAATTAATATATATCTATTTAAAGTTTTCATCCACCCTATAAATATGCCAAAAATTATTATTTTATATTTTTCTTACAATTCTAAAATTATATTTTTATTAAAAGTCATTTTCCATGTTGTGAAGGATATTTCTGAAAATATTTATGTACTTGAACTCAATTAATATATATCTATTTAAACATTTAAAAAAAGAATTATGTTTAAAATTGTTTATATGTCTTAATGATTTCCTAAAATTAAGCTTCAAATATGCATATTATCTTCCAAATCTATTTGACACTTATGTTCCTTGGATTGGATCTATCTATTTCAATTGTAAATATGTAAAAAAAGAAATAGAATTAAAAAAATATTGGAGATGGGCATATTATATATTCAATCAAATTATTTTAATTAAATAAAATCCTTTTATTTAAAAAAATTTTAGAAAAATTAATATCTGTTTTGTAATAAATTATAAAGGTGTCAGGTGGAATAAAAAATCTCAGATCTATCTATTTGAATTTCAAATCAACATTTTTATATATTTAATATTAAACATTTTGATCGAAAATCAAGGCGTACAAAAATAAAATGAACATTTTTAAGAATGATTTATTAGCTCTAGACATGTTTTTTCTTTTGTTATTTTTTTGGTATAATGTCCATTTTAAGTTCTTTGAATTTTTTTCCTCTATATTTTTGCTGCAGTAAAAAAATTATTTTAATAGTAAATGTTTGATAGAAAATTAGGGTGTGAAAAAAATTAAGATAACCAAATTTTAAGAAGGATATGTTTTCTTCTATTATTTTTGATATTTTTTTAAAGTATATAATCTAAACAAAAATATATTTTTGATCATATTATTCTATCATTATATAATAAGGTTATAGATAATAAGAAATCTACTTATTTAAAAAGCAAACTATTATAAAATATGCTCAAATTTAAATTTAAATTTAAATTATATTGAGATTATAAATTGATGGCTTAAATTTCTGTTTCAATTTATATATATATATATATATATTAATGGTTATATTAATGGTCATCTTTGCTTTAGTTGTTAATCAATTATTTTGTTTGAACTTTAATTAAATTTAAATTTTATTTGATTAAAAGTTCAAATTCAAAATTCCTTGCAACACCAGCCTTGATATTAATTATAAATAAAGTCGATTGAATACATGTTCATTCATAAATTTTGATTTTTGTTGCTTTATTTCATTTATTTTCGAGGCTATTGTATATTTAAATGTCTTATCATTTTTTTTGTTTCTTCAGTAATTTATATGAGAATTAATTATTTCATATTTTGTTAGTTTAGGTTGTTCATTTTGTTGATACTATTAGTGTTACCAATCTTGTAAGGTGTGATTAACATTTCATAATTTAAATAATTTATTTTTAAAATATGATTAAGTGAATCTATCAAAGAATTTGACTTGTAAATAATTTCTTACTATTTGTACAAAATTCATAATCATACTTACTCATCTTTTAAAATTTTATCTTCTTTCCATTGATAGGCCTCCTTAATTTCTTTGTTCTATCTAATTTCATTTTATGATGACAATCAAGTAGAGCAACTTGTGAGCAATTCTAGTTTTGTTTCCCTTTTCTCCAACTTTCATTTTTGATGAGATAAATTTATAATTTTTAATAAATTATTCACCGTTTATTTTTTAAATAGAAAAAATATATTTTCATTAAATTACATGGTTTTAAAATATAATAATATGATAATAAGTAATTTGATTATAAATTATGTTGAAGAAATTAAATTTAATATAATTTTTTCCTTCAATTTCTTTTTATAAAGAAAATTACATGAAATATAATATATTTTCACATGAAGGTATTGCAATCGTTATAATATTTGTTCATTTTTTTTCTATTTTTTTTCTTTTCATCTAAACACAATAAAAGATAATATTTTCTTTACAATTTTATCTTCTCTCTATTTTGTCTCATCTCACTTTTTTTCTTTTCAACTTTTTTTCTTATTTAAACAAATGGTAAAATTTCCTCCACCTACCATCTGGTAGGCGAAATGAATGATAAATCAGAGTAAGTTGATAAGTGTATGTTATGACCTGTCTATACTATTGTTAGTGGGTTATAATTATGGTTTCGATAAGCAAGTTATATAAAAATAATCGCGTTTGGTGGAAACTTCAATTAGATCCTTCCTATTTTTTGTATGTGGATCCAGAGAAGAGATTATTTTTACTACCATTAACTCTTCAAACATCTAGGATAATTGTCGTCTTCTTACACTAACAGGAAATATGAGACTTATGGCAATAAATAATATGGTATCTAATAATGTTATTAGGAATTTTGCTAACTAGATTATCTCAATTAATGATGGACTATTGCTGAAGTTAATAAAGGATCCATAAATATTAAGGTCTCAACTGATTTGTTATTGGATGATTTAAATGATCCAATAAAATTTAATGTTGATTTGAATTTTTTAAATTTCCTTAATAATATCTATAATTGTTCATATTTTAAAGATAAGGCTATCTTAGCCCTTATATTGATTGTGGTTAAAAATATAAATAGGTACATGTTGTCCATGATCTTCAAGGAGGAAGTTGTACATTTGAGTTATGATAGTGAAGGTGACGAGCGCATAAATTCACTTGATAACTTATGTCACACCCCAAAAATTAAGTGTGACCGGCATGGAATATGGGTACAAAACTCATATCCCTTAAGCCATGATTGGAGAAACTCTGAAATTAATATGTTAAACACCTAATAGAGTAGTTAGAAATTATTACAATATTAAATTAAATATTTAATTTTAAAAGAAATGTAAGGATCCTACCTGTAGTCTACGTGGAGCATCTAAGGCTAGACACCAACGTGGGTATGAAGTTCAAATTTTTCATCAATTTAGGATTTGACAAAAATAATTCTTCAGCTTCAATTCAGCAATAACACCCCTCAGTGGATATCTCGAGTCACGAATTCAACTATACCATCTGAGATCAAAATATCTTTTCCAGTGAATAACGTCCCAACAATAAATAATAGAACATAAATAAAGTAAAAAATTTGAAATAGTTATGTAAGTTAAATAGACAGAATTTTCGTAAAAATTTTATAAACTTCATAATAAAATGGCTCTATAAATTTCAAATAAAATCTCAAATCATTGAACTATTATAAAAAATGATTATATTACTTGATTTCAGGAAAGCACATAAATGGAATAAATATTTATAAACAAATTACTAAATAAAAACCAATAAAACATGAAATCATCAAACTATTGGATTCATAAATATAGGGACTTATCAGAATAATTAACAAACGTGGATACACAATTCACGAGGGTAAATAACCAAACGCGGCTTATGCCACGAAAACAAACGTGGACACACAATCCATGAGGGTAAGTAATCAAACATGGCCGAAGCCATGAAACAAACATGGACACACAATCCACGAGAGTCATGCTAACCAAACGCAGCTTGAAGCCACGAAACAAACGTGAGTACGATGCTCATGAATAACCATCCCTCCATTCCACGTGCGTTGGCCATCGCACGGGGCTAGCACCTCCTATAAACACCCTGCTAGCCAGGTGTACCATGGCACGCCAAGGGCTAACGGAACTGCCGTTAGCAACCAGTGTTCTCTACAAAGTCCCTTTTTAAAACCATTTTCAAACATACGAGAAAATCTTCACTTTCAAGATACAGTTCTCATTCTCAAAATCAAACTCGCATGAATACTTTTAAGCATTAAAACTTTTCAAAATCAAATTTCATATCCAATGCTCGTGCTTGCATTTACTGAATAAAAAAAAAATCAACTTCGAACTTGCATGAATCATTTTCTATATCCCTCCAATGTTTGCTAGAATAAAAATCTTATAATCAAAGTTCAAACTTAATTTAATTGATCAAATAACATTTTAAATTTGGTAAAGCTAATTTATCAAAATAAAGTAATGTTAATCAACAAATATTCAATAATCGCATTAATGCTATAAAAATGATTTCCAGAAAAATAAAATCCCACAATTAGAATTCAAACTTCTATTTACTGATTAACCAAAATGATCAATTCTGGTAAAATAATTTCACGAAATAAAGTAATTTAATCAACAAAATGTCTCATAATCACATTGTTGTCGTAAAAATAATTTGCATAAAAATGTAATATTCGAATAAAAGAGATTTTAATAAAATATCAGTTGGGATGCTGTCCACTTACCTGTAGAATCTTCAAAACTCAAAATTCATTTCTTACAACTCCAATCAAGCTACCCTCTTTACAGTTACCCTATAAAGTGTAATAAGATTTTAATAAACTTTACTTTTAAATTAACAAATCTCTTTAAAGAGAATCCATTCAACAAAACAAAATAAAAATAACTTATGAAATTTTTAGCAATAAAATTTATACGTAAAAGTTTTTCCTTAGACTTTTTATCAAACATCTAATGTATGACATTCTAAACCATTGAATAAACATATAACCTTTAATTCTCTCGACTAACCATTTCCAAACACCCCAAGTATGTCTTCCAAATTGATAATATACCTTGTACACTCTTTAACCTTATAATTCTCAATAATTTCAGAACTTAGATAATATCTCAATAATGCTTTAGCCATAACAACCTATTTACTTGAGATAACATCTTCTCTTCGGTATATTGTTTCCAACCATACAATTAAAATTTTCTAACCTATCATATTTTATCCAACACTTTATTAATAACCATTCTATCCCCAAGAATTTAAAGTCACATATAAATTCATAATAATTAAATTTCTTTAATTTGTAACCAACAAGTTAAATTCATGGATCAATAACAATCAAACTAAATGTATCTATCACAATAACTAATCAAATTTTATAAATCTAAGATATTCAAACAAAACTCTCCTAGAGTCATTTTATCAAACACTTATCATCCATTAATTCTCAGATTAACACCAAACCTCTTCCCCTTATATCTCATTTCCTACCAATCACAAAATTGATATTGAATTCAATCAGCCAACCCAATTTCAATTCTTTAACCAATAATAATAATAATAATAATAATAATAATAATTGGAATATCAGTCAAAAATCATGTTCTTAAACTCAAGCTTAATTTGATTATCCTTCTAACATGCATAACGGCTGCAATTTAAGGGAAGACAATAAAAACTCATTTTCAGCCACATCACACAATTGCACGCACAAAATAGAAGAAAGATGCATCTTGACTTACCGCCAATGCAGTAAAGAAATGAAGAGAAGAAGTTGAACCTCCCTAACTCACGTGTGATCACGACAGAGTAGAACAAAAGAAGGTTCTAGTCAAGCAAAAATGGAGAAAGTAGGACGCAGAACGAAGGAGGGAGAAGAAGATCTTGGAACATCCACACAAACAGCACAGACGGGAGGCGATCCCATGGCAGCGCATTAACAGAGGAGAAGAAAGATTCAGGCATCACCGTCGCATGAAGAGAAGACCAGTTGATGAACAGAGGAGCAGACGAATTTGCGAGTTCGGCCTCGACAGTGGCAGATTCACGGTGATCTGAACACAACAGCAGCTAAGGAGGAATAAGATGCAAAGACTAAGCACACTTCATCAACAGTGATCAGAAATCGGCAGCAACCAGAGACAGGGGAAACCAGAAGCAGTGCCGTTTCACGGCAGATCCTCAACGGAGAAGAAACAAGCAAGCTCAGTGACGATGAGGGAAGAATTAAAGGACAACGACGAGGAGGAGATGAGCAGAGAATGAACAAAAATGACTCTCGGTGGTTCTGGAGTTTTCGAAAACGCCAAAGGAGAAGGGAAAATGAATAAGGCGGTGCGTGTTTCCTGACCGGAAGAGAATATAAATCTGACTTTTATGAAATTGCAAAAATTACAAAAGAGGGCCCAAAGTTTCTCCTAATAACATAAAAGACATAGACATTTTGGTAATTTTTTCTAAAATCTTAAACTAAGTGAAATTAATCTATTTTAAAATAATTTTAAATGTCAGACCTTTAAGTAAGCTATTAATATAAATTTCACTAACTCACCCCTCTCTATCTGTCATAATATTAATTTAAATAAAATATAAATTAGGAGGATTTTTTTTTTAACTTAAGGTCATTACAACTTACAATCTATAGATTTTTTTTTAAATTCAATTATAATGTTAGACCTATCCAATTATGAAATAAGGTTAAAAGTTGATGCCTCAATTATTTTAATGCAAAACACTGATAAGTGTAATATCTTAAAAAAAATTTAACCCTAATTGATTAAATTTAATTATAATAATTGAGTTAATTAATGTGGTGTGTAACTAGAGAGGTGTAACTTTAAATCTTATTAATTTAATCTAAAAATTCAATGACTTTTCAATTTTTCTCTTATTAATATATATACTTTAAAAATAAAATATTTTAATATTTAATATCATTCTATGACATTTAATGTAGGTGAAATGATAACAACGAAGATAATAATTATTGGGATGTTTCATAAAAATGACCAAAGTAAATATTCTTTTTATTTTATAAATAAAATCAAAAGAATATTTAAAAATCAAGGGAGTAGTAATTCTGAAGGGTTATATTTTTTAAAAAAGTAAACATTAATTTAATCTTATTTTAATAAATTATAACCCCATGAAATTTGCTTAGTTGCGAGAGCCCTGAATTAATTATTAAATGCAGGACCCTAAACAGGAAAATTGCACTGTGCAGTTATCTAATAGAAACGGATTAATTATTAATTATTTTAATAAAATTCAAATAAAATTAACACAGCTAACTTCTAAAAAAAAATGTTGACAATTATCCTCTGATAGCGGCATTTGAAGTGCAATAGAAATGGATCCCAGGTCAACTGACTCTTGGTTTATCACTTTCCTGTTGTCTGATCTGCAAGTGTTTTTCCTGCTCGGATCCTTATCCAAAACTAGAAGTTGAATCGCTTATCGTCTTATCGAACTAATATCAAAGGCATGGAAGCAGCGACGGTAATCTGGGATGCATCGAAGTGCTTATGTGGCAGCACAGCCAAATATGCTGCTATCATTTGCCATTTGGAGGACAACCTGGGATCTTTGAGGGGTCAATGGGCAGAGCTCCGAAGCCTCAGCCAAGACGTAAATACAAGAATCCAGCAAACTGAGAGTATGGCTCATATGCGAAGGACCAGAGAAGTTGATGGTTGATTGCAAAGTGTAAACGCTATAGAACAGGTAATCTCAACCTACGTTTAGGCATATCATATATTCAAATCAAGTTTAAATTGCTTATACATCATCGGATCAAATTCTTGTTTCACGGATTTAGAGCTCGTTGCATACCAGATATATTAACGAGATGAAATGGAGAAACTCTAATGCATAATATAGACCATATGGATTGAACAGAGCTCAAAAGCATCAAGAAAATAAACGGATAAAGAAAATTACAACGAAATGAAAGTAACTTTCAGCTGAAAGACTTCCTGCACGTTTCTACAGGTAATCCAAGATATCATGCAGCAAGCTGCTAATATAATCCAGGTCAAGTGTTTGGGCAGCCGATGTCCAAAGAATTATTTCTCAAGCTACACCACGGGAAAAGAGATTGCTAAAATGATGGATCGTGTCAGAGAATTGATGGCTAGAGGACGAAAATTTGATAATGATGCTAATATTGCTTATCAGCTGCCATGGGAGCCTGTGAATGAGATGCCAGTTAGGAAGACTGTGGGTATGGATTTGATGTTAAAGAAGGTATGGGATAGCATTGAAGATGAAAATGTGGGTCTCATTGGTCTATATGGGATGGGTGGTTCGGGGAAAACAACACTAATGAGGAAACTCAATAATGAGTTAGTAAAGAGAAGCCATGATTTTGTGTTAGTGATATGGGTGGTTGTTTCTAAGGACTATAATATTGATCAAATTATAGAAGATATCCGACAAAAATGTGGGATCGGTGACGTGAAATAGAAGAACAAAAGTAAAGATGAGAAAGCCATAGAAATCTATAGGGTCATGAAGCAGAAAAAGTTCATTTTGCTGTTAGATGATCTATGGGAGGAGCCAGACTTACAAGGTGTTGGAGTTCCACTACCAAATGAGGTCAATCGATCAAAAATTTTGTTCACAACACGTCTTGAAAATGTATGTGACCAAATGCAAGCAAGAAAATTCAAAGTGGAATGTTTGACAGAGAAAGAAGCATTGGATTTGTTTTGCATGAAAGTAGGTGCAGAAACTCTAAGTTCACACCCAAGTATGGAAGGGCTAGCACAAGAGCTTGTGCAAGAATGCAAAGGATTACCGCTTGCATTGATAACAGTAGGACGAGCTATGGCTGGCCGGAAAAATCCACAGGCATGGAAACATGCTATAAGGGAGCTACAAAGTTTCCCTTCAGGGGTTTCTGGTATAGAGAAAGAAGTATTCAACACTCTCAAGTTCAGCTATGATAGCCTTCCTACTGACATAGACAAAAAGTGTTTCTTATATTGTGCATTATTCCCAGAGGATCGAACAATTTACGTCCCTTGTTTAATTCGCTTTTGGATTGGGGAGGGATTTCTCAAGGAGCATTATAGCTTGTATGATGCCTATAATCATGGGGAAGATATAGTTGAAAGATTAAAGCTAGCATGTTTATTGGAAGGTGAGGAATTTCTTTGGGTTAAGATGCATGATGTGGTTCGAGACATGGCACTATGGTTAGCTCGTAATCAAGATCAAGAGAAAAACAAAGTTCTAGTGAAAGGTGAAGCACTAAGATCATCACAAATTGATAATCTTGAAGGATCGATGATGGTAGAAAGGATTTCAATAATATATGCAAAAGGAGATGACTGGCAAGTTCCAATTTGTCCAAACCTTTTAACACTAATTGTGTGGGGCAATGACTGCAAAATAGATTTTGCAAATGCCCAATTCTTAAGCAATTTGAAAGTTTTAAGTCTAAGGATGGAGAGGATTTCGGCAATCCCAGCTGAAATAGGTCAACTAATTCACTTGGAATATCTTGAGCTATCTGAAATGCGCATTAAAGAAAAATTACCGCTTCAGATGAAAAATCTAAAGAACTTGAGGGTATTCCTCCTAGAGTATGTTCATTTCAGTCTTGAAATCATTCCTTTGGAGGTAATATCAAATCTTGAGGAATTAAGAGTCTTCTCATTTATCGAAAGTAGATTCAAAGAATGGAAATCATCGTTACAAAAGATAAAGTCCTCATTCCTTGCTGCCATTCACTTCACCCATACTATGGAGAAATCATTTTTGGAGCAGCTAGAGTTACTGCCATTTCTGGAGGATCTAAGCATCACCCTGGAGACTGCCACAGGTATCAAGAAATTGCTTAGCTCAACTAAATTAAAAGCTTGTGTGAGATTAATGGGACTTTATCAATACAAGATGGCTGCAAGCACCACGACATTGTTACCATCTGTAACAAGTATGCAACATCTGGAGCGTATAACTTTAGTTGGATTACAAGACAACATGTCAGGGTCCTCTGTCAATCAGACATACCCTTTTCGCAAGCTCCGATGGGTCACAATTTCGGGTTGTCATAACACTACTCATTTGACATGGCTCAAGTATGCTGTTGTCCTTGATTATCTTATTGTAGAATGCAAGAAATAAATTAAGGGAATTTGGGGAGAAAAACTATGGTGGGACAATTTAGAGTGGGATGACCAGACCATCAAGGAACAGTTCCGTTCAAAATTTGAAGACTAGCTGATGATAAAGGTATTTAATCTTTAACTCCCACCATGTTAACTAATGGTGCTTTGAGACCCCATTATACACACGCATGCAGGCAGATATGCTTATTCTTCTTTTACTTTTGTTAATAACACTCCTTTTCCATCTATTTCCTTTTCTTCTCATTGATCTTTCACTCAATGATTTACTTTATTTGATTGTAATGTGAGCCTTTTATCAACATGATTTTTCTTAAAGTTATTCTCATCAATATTGGGTTCTAGATACAACTATGTAAAGTAGTTGTGTCTGTAAGACATTATGAACTAATTGCTTCTTATTGTGATCTCTATCTCTAATCTGCTCATTTTACATTTTTTTTTTACCTTGGTGGTTCTGCAGAATTCCTGGATCTCTCCTTCCTCAGTCTTGAACATATGAATGCAGCCAAGCATCCGGATGAATAAAAGGTCTGGAATAGCTTTCAGGGTTGCAATTTGATGGTGGTGTTGTCTATCTGATGGGCATGATTTGGAAGGTTGATGATCTAGGTTGAAGTGTATGGGAAGCTGTCAACCTGATACTAGGAGATCATGCGTGGTAATTAGTTGCTTGGGAGAAACTGGGCTGCAACCATCAAGCACTGGATGGCCAGTTATGCCCATAATGCATGGATGTACTTAGCTTGCCTATCTCCAAACATCATGCAACTTGAATTTTTTTTTATATTGAATGTTAGTAATAAATTGTTTGTATCTAATGCGATAACATTCATCCGTTAGTTTCCACTTGTACCATTTATATTTTATAACTAGAACAAAATTTGTAGTCGAAGATTGGCTGTGGTGGAGCCTTATAAAGTGTGAACCAACCCCCACTTTGCCAGCATCATTTTTTTCGTAAACAAATATTAATAATCATATTCGTCAGTTTTAATTTGTGAATTGTCTCAACGTTCTCATTAGGCAAATTATGAAGTTTTTTTCGACGATTCAAAACATAATTAAATTTCAACCAAAATATAAAAATTTGTAAATAAAATTTTCATTTGATTCAAATTTTTCTTCTTAAATTTTTAATTTATTTTTCCATTTTTTTATCCCAAACTTATTTGTCCATTACATTAAGTGAACTTGAGCCAAATCACTGCAGGTAGGCTTAAGCTAGTTTCATGTAGCATAGTATTCCCTTCATTGACTGCTTAGATTTTTTATTTTTTATTTTTAAGATATCCTTAATCTAATTATTTTTCAAGGAAGGGACATACACACATTCTTGCGCGCACATAAGCATGTCGACATCTTGGTTCGGACTCTTTTAAGTAAGGGAGTTGGCTTTAACTTTGGGATAGGTAGCTCTTGATCTTGGAACTTTTCTTTTAATTTCTTGTATTTAAATTTAGTATTTTAGTTTTGTGTTTTATTTAATCATTTGTCCTCAATTCACACTAAGTAATAAAGTTCAAAAAACCTAAATGAATATATCATTTTGGAAGCTGATGGTGCCCTCTTTGATCGCGTTCCTCAATAGTGATCACAAAACCAAGAGCTAAGAGAGGAATGCTACAACATAGGCAAACAATCATATCCATAAATCACCAGTTTAGTTTAGTTGGTGAATTTGTCGCTTTGGCCCAGGGAATCTGAAGACGTCTTAGTGCCATGGTGGAGTTAGTCAGATTTTAGTTTACAAACAACTCCTCAGCACCTTGAGAAACCAACAACCCCATTAACGACACGACTCTCTCCTTAACCTTCATGCCTTCATATAAGCACAAGCTCTGACTCTGCCCATTTCATAAGGCTTTATCCATATTCATATCCAATCTTCAAAGTAAAAGAGAATCTGCGCGAGCGCACGCACACCTGATATGGACTCGGAATCTAAGTCCAGAGGCAAGGCCGTTGCATTTGCAGGGTCTCCTCCTCGCTCCGAAGCTGCCCCTCTCCCGTTAGCCAAATGGAAAAAGGGCCTTGCCATCGTTGATTTCGTCCTTAGACTCGGCGGCATCGGAGCAACCATGGGCGCCGCCGCCATCATGGGGAACAACGAGCAGATGCTTCCATTTTTCACTCAGTTCCTTCAGTTCCACGCTGAGTGGAACCAGTTTCGCATGTTCCAGTAACTTCATCTTTCTTTCATGGATTCACCGACTCACTCACAAAATTTATTTTATTTCTTCTAGGGTGTTGGAATTCCAACATATGAATTCTATTATCCTATTTGAGGTTCACCATTCAATCTGATGACACATATGCAGGTTTTTCGTGGTTGCAAATGGAGCAGCAGCTGGATACCTTGTACTCTCCCTGGCATTCTCACTCGTGTGCATCGTTCGACCCCTGGCTGTGGCACCCAGGCTTCTACTTATAATCTTGGACACAGTAAGATTCATAATTTAGTTCAACACACGGTGCTCTCTTGACTTTACTAGTCTCATTATCATCCTCGTGTCGCTGAGAACTTAAGTTACATGTACTATAGTAGCAGCGAATTAACCAGAATACTGTTGTAACAGAGTTATCAGAACTCGAAACAATTAAGTGTTATTAACGGAGGAATTTTAAACCAAGTAACGTGACGACTAAAAAGAAAAGGCAACGCATGCATGCAGGTGATGATGGCGTTAGTGACGGCGGGTGCTTCGACGGCGGCGGCGACGACATACTTGGCACATAACGGGAGCGAAGATGCAAATTGGATGGCGGTATGCTCGCAATTCACAGACTTCTGCCAGGGAGCGAGCATGGCTGTGGTGGTTTCTTTCATCGCCGCCCTTTTCTTCCTCTGCCTGATCCTTGTCTCCTCGTTGGCTCTCAAGAGACACTGAATTGAATTCCCTTGCACCACTCTGCCTCCACCCCACTCTGTGTGTACAATACATCCATTGCCATTGGACCTTCGTTACAATGGTGGTGTTGTTGATTCAAGTGTCACTTTGAATTTGCCTTCAGTGTGGATTGTTGTGTTTATTAAGGTCTTATTTCTTGTGCGGAGCAGCGCACGCTTGAGGTTTGAGATTATTACTCCGACCGTGTAATTATTATTCGCCTTTTTTTTTTTAATCATTTGGTTGTGTATTAGACGAGGTTTCATACTCTCATGGTTTGCTCCTGAGGAAAAAGGGATGATTCGTGCAACTGGTTAAATCAAAACTAGAGATAATTTCACAAATCTTATGTTTAACACGGCAAAATTAATATCTTTATAAATAATAGTATTCCATTAAAACCAAGCTAAACATGGAGCCCAACGAAAGCCGAGAATCCTTGTTTGTGAGCGGGGCTCATGGAAAGAGGGGCATTTTGTCTCTCCTCCTGTGATGATGTCATCTTTGATACTGTTCAAATATTTGAAGATGTATAAAACTACATCTTCATATGTGGCCATAAAAACGTTACTACAGTATTACAATGATAGAAACCAATTCGGATTCCAATGATAATGGAGAGGAGAGCAAATTATCAAAGAAGGGAAGGAAACGACAAAATGCTCCCACGCCAAGGACCAATGGGAAGCCTGGCACGTGCAACAAACCATTCTTCCATCGCCACCTGGAAGCTCCTCCTCAAGCTGCCGTTCCTCTTCTGTTCCCATCTCACGTGCCTCTCTCTCTCTCTCTCTCTCTCTTCCCTCACCGTTAAATTCCAACCTCCCAAGCCCCAACTCCTTTCCCTCTCTACAATTCTATCCTTACCCTCCAAGTTTTCTCGTTTTCCCTCCCTCCCCTTCTTGCAAAACCCTAATTATTATTCCATTTCATGCTCTCACTCTTTTTCCCCTCCTTTCTTCGCTTCTTCCTCTCGCATTTCCGGGTTCCTCCGTCTTCCCTCTCTCCCCCCCTCGGGTGAGTTGCCTTTTGCCTTGCACAGTGAACCATAGAGGTTTCCCCCTCTATGCTCACCTCTTTTTCTTGTTCCTGATTGTGTTCGTTTTTCCTTTTATCGATGGCGTGATATTCATTATTATCGGGGTCATTCCTGTTTTCTTTCTCATTCCAATTGCTTGTGCTGGCCCTTGTTTGGTCGCTGCGGTTAGAAGGAACAGAAGCCCGGGCTTCGTTGTTTATTCCCTCTTTTGCCGCGATGTTTTCAAGCAATGCTCTTTAAGCTTTTTTCCCCTACTCCGTGTTTTCCTTTTAAATCGAATAATATGTGGTTTGATGGTAAAATGTTCTTCTGTCTTGATTTCTTGGGAAATTGATGGTGTTTATGCAGATAAAGCTTGTGAAGGTTACTGTTTCTTGTCGCTATTTTTGGGTAATTTCGACTACTTAAGAAGGTTTTATTGTTTAAAGTTCGAGGTCTGGGTCTCATGAGAATTGTTAGGGGAATGCAGAGATCGCTTTGCAAGGAGCTGAACGCACTGGGCTGGAAGAAATCATTCAGCCGAGGGATTGGTATCACTGTGCCTAAGGCGAGAACACGCGACAAACTGATGTGTAGGGTTTTCCGTCTCTAAGTTCGTCTGGAGATTGAGCTCAGGTTGGTTGGAGACAAGAAAAATCAAATACAATGACTCGCATTCTGGTTCAGCGGGGTTCCTCTGGGAGTTCTTCTTCAAGCTCTGGTCGTTCTTCTTCCTCGCCTGGGTCTTCATCAGCTCGAGCAGAGCCACAGGTTACCGTTCCTTCCGTTTCTTCAACCGGGAAAGATGAGGACAGTGGAGAGGAGGCACATGACCTAGTCGTTGGTGACGAGATTACCGAGTGTCCTGGAACTGACGATAGTAAGCCTCAAAGTGATGACTTCTTAACGGAAAGTCTTCGTAATGATCAGAATGACATCTTAAGCAATGAAACGATCGATAACAAGGCTGTTAAAGAGGAGGTTTCTGGCCTAGGAGAACTAATAAAAGGGTTGAGTGGACTGAGAAATTTATCAGAAGATGAGGTCTCAAAGGAGGATTGTTCGCCAACTGCAAGTGGTAGCTCATATCCGCCACCTCCTCCTGTTCCACCTCCAAGACCTTCTGCTGCTAACTTGAATTCAAGGAGAAATGCGTCAGGAAATTCAAATTCTGTCCATATAGGATCACCTAGAAGAGTATCTGCTCGACCTGTTGTTTCAGCTAGGACTTCACCTGCTGGGTCCCGTCCATCTTCTCCCAGGTCTCATAATGAGAATGAGGGGTACAATAGTGCTGACGAACAGAGTCCATGCTTTGTATCGTCATATGATGATTTAGTAAGTTCACTATAGTACGTCTTGAGAAGTAAATAAATCTTCTCGGCTCCTTAATAAAACCATTCATTGTTTGACAGCTTTTACCCAAAAAATTATTATTTGATATTGAAGCGATATTGCCATCTATTCAGGAAAGAGAGCGACAGTTTGAAATTGATATCAGAAGGGCAAAAGGTTATGAAGTAAAAAGAATGGTAGGGGATGGAAATTGTCTTTTCCGTTCAGTTGCAGATCAGGTGTATGGGGACCCTGAATTGTATGATTTGACCAGACAGATGTGCATGGATTACATGGTATGATGGCTTTATAATGCACACTCAAATTTATAAATATGAGCTGCCTTTAATTGGTTTATTTTAGGGTCCCAAAGTTATACTATTATGATATGTAATTTGAGAAGGTTTGTTGTAGGGTATACTGACTACTTATCTGGTCACTGAGGGTTTTATGGGCTTTCAGGTTTCAGGTTGTGCAATGTGTGCGCTTGACTTTCTAGACATCAAAAAATTTATTTATTTCATTCTTTTTGGGGGCAAGACAATAAGATTTCAAGACCATCAAATGCATAAGAAAAGATGGGGTTTTATAATTTTTTGGATTGTAGAAGGCAAGATCAGGGCTTTGACTGCTTTATATCTGTAGTAGTGTGGTAAATGGTAACAATATGATGAACAATAGTGGGGAAACTTTGACAGTTTTATAATACAGCATACTTTAGTGGGAGCAGATGGAATCAGATATAAATCTAATTCAAGAGACTTCTGTAATTTTTTTCTTTTTAATTTTTTTTTTCAAATTTCTGTTTACTAGCAGGTAGATATGCAGATTACTCGTTCTGGCTGAACTCCCTTCAATTGTTGCACATCACCATATTTTCACTGCATGGATTACACTTATCCATGTTTCTAACCCATATTGATGGCAGCTTTATTGAACTTAAAATTTCTGGTTCTGTTCCTGTATCAGGAGCGTGAAAGAGACCACTTTTCCCAATTTATCACTGAAGGCTTTATGTCTTACTGTAAAAGGAAGAGAAGAGATAAGGTACATCAAAGCATGATTCAGGCAACTATTTTTTCTTGATTCTATATATGTCATTGAACAGGCAGTGGTCTTAATTTTTGTTTTTTGATCTGATTGATTTGGCTTCTCTCTTCTATTCTTCACCATGTATTATGTGGAGCATTGCTTAAGGAACATGCAGGCCAATTTGATTTGTATTTGCAATGCTTGCAACTGATTTTACCGCAATTTAGGACAAAAAGTTTTGCCTGTAGTTTCAATTCGGAAGACGTGTTTAGTTAATGATGAAGAATTCTATTTGTACAAACAGAAGAAGCAGATATAATCTATATCAGTAACATTATGTGGTGGTGGAGGGTGTTCTTTGATAGATACAATTCGATGTGTTCAATTCTAGAAGAGTTAACTTTTCTAAAAATTATAGAACTGATGGTTTATCATTTACGAAGACGAATTTTCACATAGCCATTACTTTAATGGCCTAGTTAAAGTATCTTAGGCTTGTGGAACCATTCTGTTTTGGTCCTTTGCCGCATGCTTTCTGGCAGCTTAAATTATAGGTGGCTTGCTTATATGTAGTTTGTATGCCTTGAAAGATGCATGCAAATTGGCCGTGTCATGTTAAAGTGCCCAAAACATATGATGTTCAAATGATAATGCTGATGCTGCATCATTACAAGCAAGATTTAAATATGGGAAGATGAAAATACAATCTTCCTTTGTCATTTGTACATGTTAGCGCATCTTATGATTTCTCTTAAAGTCAGTCGCCTCTACTGCCTCTCATGAATATATTTTTAATCTGTTACAATATCCAGTTTTTTAGCTGGTTTCATGTGTTGATTGATAAATGGTTGAATCTTATGAGTTGCATATAGTTATGTGTTCACCTTGTTTGGCTTGACAGGTCTATGGAAACAACGTTGAGATTCAAGCCATGTGTGAAATGTATAATCGGCCCATTCACATATATTCATACAGTACTGGTAAAGCTTGTCTCTGTAATAGTGATTTTTTTGGATGTAATTGTCCTTAGTCCGTCATGTACTATATCATGATGTCAACCATTTGGTGCAGAACCTATTAATATCTTCCAAGGAAGCTATAACACTGACATGCCACCAATACGATTGAGTTATCATCAAGGGAATCACTACAACTCTCTTGTTGACCCACGACTCTTGACAATTGGTGCAGGACTTGGATTCAGCTGCCTTAGAGGGGTGTGTGTGAAGCTTAACTTTGCATTAGTATTATGATTGCTTCAATAAAATTTTAATATAGGTTCCTCGGCCTATTGGAAAACCATACCCTGCGTTAAATTATATAAAACACCTCATGGAATGGGCCGTACTTGAACTTGGGAAAATGACGCATCATTAAATATTCCATTGATAAACTTTTGGCCAATGATTTGAATCTGTTTTTTACAATGCAGACAACTGTAGACAAAGATCAAGTCAAGGCTGCCATCAAAGCTCAACAAGACCAGCAGATCGATAATGTAAGTACTTCAAATTTTAACGGGGTCAGCGTGGGGTTGCATAATTTGATTTTGGTGACATGATTTTCTTGGGCGTTATTTTAACAGGCACTTATGGCTGAGGGGCGGTTTTACTCTGATCTTGAGCTCACAGAGAAGGAAATAGAGCGTATGGTGATGGAAGTTTCTCGGGCTGAGTATCTTGCAAATGAACAGCTTGGCCGCAGAGGATTCTCAACCTCAAAAGCAGAGCCGTCATCTTCTGGCGCAAGTTAGTATCTCTATTATCCCAATAAAAGTTTGTCTATTCTATTCGAAGTTTATGTTTATTCATTATAATCTGAAATATATTGTAGCTAACTGCGAAATAATGGGAATGGCAGGATCATCTGGAAGTGATGGCACGATGGATGGCGGAAAAGAGCTAGATGATACTGATATCAGCAGCAGTATGCAGATGGTGCTATCGATGGGATTTAGCTATATGCAAGCGATTGAGGCGTTTAGCATATTTGGGGATGATGTTGATTCTGTGGTCTGTTACCTCTTGGAAACTGGCAGCAAGAGCAGACGAAAAGGCAAGGCCACCGAATAATTGGCGATCCTAGTTTAAGTGGATCAATTCAATTGTAGTGAACTTGTGATATCCCTCTCCTCATCTCTTTTAAACTTTAGTCTTCAAATGCCACCGCTTCAATAAATTTCCTTGTAGTAACGTCCTACTTCCCAAGCATACCAGTTAGTTTCTTTTTCTTTCTTTCTTTCTTTTTTCGGTGGAGGAGGGCGAAGCTATTGTTTCTACCCTTAATTTCCCTAGTTGATTAACACACTAGTTGATTTCGTATTTGCTAATCTTCATCAGGTAGAGAAAGAGATCAACGTAGCCTTGGTTTAACTGAAGCGCAATCCCTTTGTCAATAACTAGTAAATCACAATGCCAAGGCATATGATGCTCAAACTTTTCTTCTAGTCGCTTATTCAACTACGCCCCTGAAAATTGAAATTAAAAAAAAAACAGCTATATTATACTAGCTTAGTGACTTCTATGAAGCTACCCCTGCTGATTTAGACTGATAAATTAAATTATCCGAAGTGTCATAGTTATATTTTTAAGAACAAACTTAACAAGCCACACATTATGCATGAAAAATTCTTGCATGGAATTACTTCATTAAATAAAATTTTATTAATTTAATTAAATAAATTTTTATATGTCATTATTTTTAATGATTTTATTTTTGAAGTAAAGTTATAATTTCTCTATTTTTATATTATAGATTCAGATTTAATTAAATAAAATTTTATATGCCATTATAGATTCAGATTATAACCTGTCTTATTTTAGACTAATAATTTCAAATATTGATTTATTGATACATACACAATATAATTGTTAAATAGTCGTTTCATTTGAATCCATTGCTACTTGATTCAGGAACACTCATTTTTTAAATATGTATTTTCTACTTACAATTGATTTTACATGAATTTACAAATAATTTTTTTAAAACTCATGAGTGTTTACTGTTTATCCTTAAATCTGATATATATATATATATATATATACATCCTTCACTTCATATCAGAACTAGAAGGGAAAGTAGAAATGTATAGATAAATTGTAAGCTAAGATTTATTATATTAAGTCTTATATTAATATATTAATATTATTTTCTTACTTAATCTGATAGTTTGTATCACTTTTAAAGTGATCTTATAATTAGAATATCTACAAATTAATCATTATCATTGTAAGATTATGGCAATATTCAGATGAACAGGGTGTAAGTCCTGACTTTAATAGAAACTTGCATGCATGAATATTTTGCAGGTATTAATCATTTTGAAATCGTTGGCTAGGATAAAGTGTTAAGAATAATATTAATGTCTTGACATCTAGTTTGATTTTTAAATCTCGACTATTATTTTTCTTTCACATTTCTATAGAATTTGAAGGTAATGATATAAAAAAAGAGATCTTTAAAAAAATGTTTAGAAATGTTTTCTTTTCCCTTTGATCTTCTATCTGTGGCTCCTCCTCCTTTTATGACAGAGGATCATCTTCTTTAAACATCATTTTTAGGGGAAAAAATCCACTTCTATGAAATTAACTAAAATATTAACGACTAAAAATTTTTAAAAGTTGATAAAAATACCCTTTATAAGCTAAAGAAAAATTCTTTCCAAATCTAATTATATTATTAGATTTGTTGAAGATTAATTATTGTAAACCCTTTAAAGAAAGAATTTTTTTTTCCCCTATGTGATGAATCCATTAAACACTACCAAGAAAGCTATAAATTTTTATACATTGAATGTGTCCAAGTTGTCATTAAACCACCAGCAGTTAGAGAGGGATTAAATGTTCTTGTCTCCTTTGCCTTAGGGATACTTGACATGAGTTATTTTTTAACTCATTATTAGGTACTGTGGAAGTTGGGTTGCATGTAGAACTAATCTATTTCAATAATTATCCAAATAAGACCTTTAGTTTTATAGATACAAACATTATTAATGTCTTAAAATTAAACAAAAGACTACATGACATTCGTATGAAACCAAAATCTATCCCTATAACTTTGCTTTATAAGATCCAATATAAAGTTATAAACTCTTTAAGCTCTAAAGTTTTAATACTGAGGGAAGATAGTTATACTACTATATTCCTAAATTTTAATAAATAGAGTCAAATCAAACATCATCCTTCCATTATCTTGCTAGAAGAATGGGGCTATGAAAATGCAACCCCTACTATGCCACAACCAACTCCTAATTTTAGGAATATTATGTAAACACTTATAAGAATTGTGGGATTAGTGTTTGATAGAAGAAATTTCTTTAGTGAAACTTCTTTAAGGACATGATCAAGAACCATTAATGATTTTAGAATTGTGCTTTCAAAATTATCTAGGCACTCAAATTCTTCCATACCCCTATCCATAACTTCAACGATACAACTACATGGCCTAGACACATCATCGAATATTCTAAGGCCAACCTATCAAAGAGATAAGGAAGATCAAAGATCTATATTATCTCTAACATTTTCAAACGAGCTTTATGAAATTAATGTTATTTTAATTGACTTTTAAATTGATAAAAAATATTTACAAAAATATTTTTATTCAAGAGAAAAAGAGATTGCGAGGACTTGGTTCTTTGAGCATTTCAAAAGGGCAAGAAGAAAACAAATCCAAGAAAAATCTTATAGCTTCCTTGAAATATTGCAAGTGAGTGTTCTATTTTTTAAATGATTTGAACCTTATGCTGTGGACAAGAAATTGAAATATTCATTTGTTAAATCAATCAATGTAAGAAAATCATTGCATACTCATAATAGTTTCATAACTTCCTTTTTAAAGAACTTTCTAACTCCCAAATCTTCATAATGATAAAAGAACATCTCTTTTGGCATCTCCTTCCAAATGGAAATATTTTGATGGGCAAATTAGTTTTAAAGATATTTAAAATGTTATGGAACAAAATGGTTATACATATAAGTACCTCCAAACATTAAAGGAGAACCCTTTACCAATAATTCTATTAAATTTCCATCACCTTCATCAAAACTTAATATTGAGGCCCTTTATTCAAATCTTTCCATGTATCACTTAAAATTAAAAAAGAATTTGAAGCTTTGCCCTCCAACCACCTAAAAAAAAAAACAAAAGAACAAGTTAAGACATTAGTTATCTTAGATAGTCTTACCCAAACCTCTAAATTATTAGCACTGAAAAATTTAACCACTAATGCTTTATCAAATCAAGAAGAAGCATTTTCATCATAATTAGATAAAAATCTTGAAATAAACTAAACCTCTTTTAGGTGGAGAATACCCTTAAAATATTATTATCCAAAAACCACAGCTCCTAACTTTTTATTGGGAGAATGTCAGGTTTAAACTTTTAAATATTTTAGTGTCAATAATAATTATGAATTAAATATAAATGGCCGAACTAAATATATTGTTCTCAGCACCTCCAACATATGACCATGGTAAGCATTGCTTATCAAACAACCTACAACTATATTGAAAAAGTCATAGTTAACATCCTTATTGCAAGATTTCTAGATAACTTAAAGGATGATGAGATAATTATATCTCTTAAAAAGAAAAAGATCAAATCTTTAGAGTCATTAAAGTAGAGATTGATGGGACCCCCATTATCCATAATGGAGAACTCATTCCTAATGCTATAAATACCTAAATATTTACCATAGTTTGACATTTCATTAGCGATCCTTCCTTACGAAAAGATAGATCTATTGAACTACTTTCAAACCTTAAATGTAGGACTCTTTCTAATTTGTGACGGTACAAAGACATCTTTTTAACAAGAGTATATACTTGTGAGGATAATGAACAACCATTTTGAAAAGAAAACTTCCTATTTGATCTTCCAAAATCCTTAAAAGACAAGGTTAAGGAGAAAATTAGAAACTAAGCCAACAGAATCATTCCATATGAACATTAAATTATGGCTAACTCATAGCTTATGTTCAAAAAGTTACCCTTAAAATTTGTCACAATATATATATATATATATAATTATTTATTAATTCACAGTTGACTTTTTATATATTTATAAGTAATCTTTCTTAAACTCATAAGTGACCTGTATTGATTATTTCAATAATTAAAAGTATTTTTATTGCAAATAAAAATTGTGATATTTTAAATGATATTTCAATAGTTTGGAGGTATTTAATTATCATTAGTTTCTTTTATAAGGTTGATGATTGTTATTTTCCATTTAAAAAATTAACATGAAGTAATAGATCAAAGAAAAAATGACATTAAAGTCTCAAAACAATAGTTGGTTTTCACAAAAAGTTTTAAAAAATTAATTGTAAATATTAACTCATATAGTCATAAACTTAAGAATTTTAACTGCAAATAAAATATTTAAATTTTAAATATAATTTTCAATTTACATACTTACGATTGAGAGTCTAGTTTATAACTATTGTAATTTATTTTGTAAAAAAATTATTAAATACTCCTCCGATCTTATTTATAAAATAAATAAAAAAATTTAATTTTATTTATGAGACATTTATTAATTTTTAATATTCTTCTTTATATTTATATTTTTATTAAATTCTTTTAATAAAAATATTAGTAATAAAATTTAAGGATACTTATTAATGATAAATGAAAAAATTTATTAAATTTTTAGACAAACTTAAGTTAATGAAGTTTAAATTTTTTTTTCAATTCTAATAAAATATATTAAAAATAATTTATAAATAAAATTAGAGATAATACCTAACCATTTTATCATAAATTTTAAAATTTGGAATTTATTGCCATTCTCCTCGCTAACAGATAAGTGGATGGATGATTAATTTTTAAGAAAAAAATTTTGTAATTTTCGTCGCCGTCAATGCAGCTCGTCGACGAGAACCTGAGTCGGCTCGACTCAAATCGTTCAATTGCATTGCTTCTCTCTTTCCTTTCTACCTTGGTTTCGACGTCTCCGAACTCCCAATTCTAGGGTTTGTGCTGTAGAGATATACGAAAATGTCTCAGAACGGAAAGCTGATGCCGAATCTGGACCAGCAGAGTACCAAGCTTCTCAACCTCACTGTTCTGCAAAGAATTGACCCCTTTGTCGAGGAAATTCTCATAACCGCTGCGCACGTTACCTTCTATGAGTTTAACATCGATCTCAGCCGATGGGTTCGCCAACTTCACATCCTTTAAGGCTGCGATTCTTGAATTTTGTTCTTGCACTCCATCTGATTCCTCTCTTAATTCTTTTCCTCTGATTTCTATTTGATTGGTTTGCAGAGCCGCAAGGACGTCGAAGGATCACTATTTGTTGTTAAGAGGTTAATTGTCTATTTATATGTTATTATTATGGTCCTCTTTTCCAACTTTCATGAGCTTTATTAAAAAGCTCCATGAAAAACTGAGGACTGTGTTATGTTGCCTTTACTTTGTGGTTCACGTTTCTCTATGGTTTATTAATTTCTTATGTCTTCATCTTAAATTTTATTGTATTTCAGGACCACACAACCTCGATTTCAATTTATTGTGATGAATCGTCGTAATACTGGTTAGTGAGAAGATGTGCGTTTCTTTGTACTCGTTACCTTTGCTTTACGTGCTTTCTACATTGCAAGTTCAAATTTTTTTTTCCCCCTCAACTTGTCATTGTGCACTGAGTCATAATGCGTGATGTCTTTAGGGATGGCAAGAATGTACAACACATGTGTCTTCAAATGATGACCGTAATGGGGATTCTGGATTGAAATTTACATTTTGCTTAGTGTGCATGCTCCTGCATTGCATCTACGGGATTCAGTTTGTAAACTAACCTATAGGAAGACAAACAATGTACTTTGGATATTTGTTCTTCGGCTGTGTGCGCTTCAATTCGATGCTAAATAGTATATAAATATAAAATGCAATGACCTCCCATTCACCGGAAAAAGTTCAACTTGTTGCATTAGTAGTCAGAAAGTTAGGGTTCTTAGTGTCATGCACTGGGCATATTCTTGTCTTGATTGAACTTGCTAGCTGTTGCTCTACCTTTGCTAGTGAAAGGTATGACATTTGTGTAGTAGAATTTCCTCTTGGCCTAAAATTTTAGGAATAGGACTAGGTTTTTGCTATTAGAATTTAGAACCCCACAATTGCCTTGTTATACTCAATGTCATGAGTATTGTAAAACAATATATTTGTGGCTTGCAAAAATGTATATTTTGTTTCAGTGGTACAATATATGCTACGTCTCTCTATATGCTACTTGGAATTAACTCTGGCATAATGCTCGAATAAGAGGTTTGTGTTGTCTTAAACAGAAAACTTGGTGGAGAATCTTTTGGGAGATTTTGAGTATGAAGTTCAGGTTCCATATCTGCTGTATAGAAATGCTAATCAAGAAGTGAATGGTATATGGTTCTATGATGCTCATGAATGTGAAGAGGTGGCAACTCTTTTTAACAGGTATCATTCATACTTTGGATGCATTCAAATGCCCAATCTCTATGGGGTCCTTGTAGATTGAACGTGTGCCTGCTTCTTGTAACAAGAGCATGCCCCCCCTTTCACTATTGAAAGTCAACCACTAATGTAATGACTTCTGGAGTTCTGGCCAGTCCCAGTTCCTGATAGAACAGGTAGTTCAACTGAGGTTATTGACCAAATGGGGTGTTTGTATTACATTCAATTTCAATTTTCTCACTCACTTTTTTGTTTTTTTTTGGGGGGGGGTTTTGAAAATAGTAGATATCATTGTTCTGTTTAATAATTTGATTCATGGTGCCTGTTCTTCGCTCCTTTTTGTGGATTATAGATTTATGCTGAGTTGCTGACTGATAGAGTTATATTTTCTAATGCATAATGTATAAGGGGACAAAGGTACAGTGTCAGTTACTTGAAATGCGAAAGATTTAGCTTTTAACAATATCAGCAATGTATATGGAGAATGTTAGCCTTAAGATAATTTCTATAAATGACAACAATGTATCTTATACAGTTATGAATGATGAAAAACAATTTTTGCTAGCAACTGGTAACCTCATCCATGGAAATGATGACCTATACCACCTGGCATTTTGTCTGAGAAACAGAAGTTATTGATCAAAGGATATTGGTGAATGGTAAGCGGGGGAAGATGATATGAAGAATAAGTTTTCATAATTGTTAATAATAGCATTCTTTGGTGATGTTATCAAGAATATTTGTTGATTTGTATCTGGTAAACTTTTTATAAATATCCCCCCAACCTTTAATTCTCATGTACCCTGGATATTCACTTATATTTGGATATTTTTCAGGATCCTTAATGCCTATTCCAAGGTTCCTCAAAAGTCTAAGGTTTCTTCTACAAAGAGGTAGTAATGTGTTTTTCCTATTCAGATGAACCTCTGCCACTTCTCAATGTGTCCCCCAAGGTGTGGGGTAGGTGGTCTAATTCATTTAAATAAAACAAAAAAGTTCTCCTCAAGTCAACTTGTACACTATTAATGTATACGCAGTTTATAATATGGTGTGTGATATGATAAAAGGTGTTACCTGGTTTGCCATTTGACAAAGTATGTGCAATCAGAGGAAATATCAGTACATCATTAATGAAAATTTCCTCTAATTCTATTGAAGGTAGAGGTTGGTTTTAATTCAACCCCTCCTCTTTCTTGACTTCCAAGTGTTCAAAGCAAATTGATTAATTTTAACCTGTATCCCAAACATATCTTTGATAAACATCAATATACCTACCTTCCTTCACCGTGATTGCAATATATATATATATGTTGTTATAAAATTGTAATTAGGATATAATTGGTTAGTTAGTTGGTTAATATAGCCATTGGGAAGAGCGTTGGGAAGGGATGTCTATATATAGGCTGATAATTGTATTTTGATGTTTTATGAAAGAAGACGTATTATTCAGTGACACTGCTACTTCTCAATCTCTCTCAACTTCTCCTCTTTAATCTCTCTTTCTTCTCTGCTCTCTCTACCTTCCTGTTCTTCTCTCATCCATTTCCGCTCTCTCTCTCAATTTTCTATCATTCCAAATTATTCTAACCTATCATATATATATATATATGTTTATCTCGTCTCTATAGATAGTCAATTTTTGCCAGTTTACTATTTTCTAATTAGACTATAATTGCTATTGATATACATCAGTATTAACTTGACCAAGGTTTTGTTTAGGTTTCGAAGTGACTTTTGTTGGGTTGATATCCTTAAATTTGAAATATGAAGTATTGGACAAAAAGCTAATTTGGAATCAAATTCATGTGCAGGGCTATAGAAAACTTAACCATCATATTTTAATTGGAAAATGTGATAGCAAATACCTAAGAATTGGGTTTAAGTTTTCCCCTCATCATCATCATCATGATCATCATTAATTCGCCCATATCTTGGACTTAAAACTTGATAATGTATATTCTTTGGGCATCTTCTTGCAGTGAATTTGAGGAGCTGGAAGCTGTGCCAACTATGGCAGTTATGGATGGTCCTCTAGTATCATCACCTTCAACTGCTTTGAATGCAGCTGTTGTATCGGATGGTCCTTCCTTTGTGAACTTCTTCGGTGTATGTATCATAGGAAACTTCCCTTTCAGTATTTGTTATGGCTGCCTTTCATTCATTTTTCGAACTTCCTTTGCATTTCTGTTGATTTGATGCCAACCGAGTGGGGATGGATATTTTCATTATTGGTTTTGTTCCTTTAGCGACCTTACAATTTTCTTTACAAATGCATGGTGAATATATGAATATCTGTCAGGAAACTTGTTCTGGTTCTTCTGGATTAGTTATTTAATTAGGACCTACAGATATTTTGAACTCTTATCTTTCACTGCAGCTGCTGATTTAAGTTCAGCTGTGGTACAAAAGACTTTAAGATAATTGTTTGAAACTGGAAATCCCAAAATCCGTTGGGCTCTCTCTCTCTCTCTCTCTCTCTCACTCAAACTATCTGTTTTTCCTTGTAGAGACTCCATTTCCTTAACTTAGCATCCAGCGGTGTATGTATTTGAGGGTAAAAGTGGTTCAGGTTAACCTAAACATCTTCATAAGATATCAATATTAGTTAGATGTATTATGTTGGAAATTGACCTGACATTGTTGTGGATTTCTTTCCTGTATAGGCTACTTATAAGAATTATTCAGCCCTTGAGTATTGTGACAGTTTTTCGTTAGAAGTTGAACATCTAGATCTCGGTTCAGATTAGGATATATTTTTCTGTTTCTCTATTGCAGGCTGCTGTGACCATTGGGAACACTACAAATGCTCCAATTACCGCACCACCTTACCAGTCTTCTGCCACAATTCCTTCTACATCTCTGCCGGTCAATGAAGCTACTCCCATTGCTCCTTCCTTGCAGTTCCCCTCTCATTTATCTCATTTATCATCTAAATCTCTAAGGTCTCGTCATGACTCTCCTGATTCCAGCAACAGCAGCAACCAAGCCACCAATCTTGTGAAGCCTTCATTTTTTGTCCCTACCCTTTCTTCAACAACGATAATCCCTCCTGTGTCTTTGTCCACACCAGCTGTCCCTCCACCTCATACTGTTCTCAGCATGCAGCGCCCATATGGTCCTCCACTGCTACAGCCATTCCCAGCACCAACTCCACCCCCGTCTCTTACTCCTACTTCTGTACCCCATACAAACTACGGGCCAGTTATTACCAGAGAGAAGGTCCGAGATGCGCTTCTGGTGCTTATTCAGGTGAGTTCGCTTTCTTGTAAAAGTCTATGATATTCTTAATTTCTGACTGCTATTATCTCAAATAAGAATATCTGAATGTAGATATGTGAAATGAGCCTGTATATCCTTTTCTTGCATTCTACTTGACGTGTACTCATATCCTTTTGTCTCTTTTATTGTCTCCTCTTTTTTTTTTGGTTGGTTTTTTTCTTGCTGTGATTAGGACAATCAATTCATTGACATGGTCTACAAAGCGCTGCTGAATGCTCACGAATCGTGACTTTCTGGGTATGCGGGCCAGGCATCAATCTTGTCCCACGCTTCAAATGGTTCGGTCAAGAACTTTAATTCGCAAGTTTGGTTAAGTGCTGAACGCGATGGCTGATGATTATTTGGGTCACCATGGTTTTACTAGACTGTTGTGATAGTCAGAAGAAGAAAAAGAAGCTCGTGGGACAAATTTTATTGCGAAAAGCTGCCATATCAGCAGTGACATATGATTTGCTGGGAAATAGGGGGACCCTGACTGTAAGAGCATTTTACTGAATTGATTTCGCAAATTGTGGTGCTTCACGGCGACAGTTCTCTAATTTACATGTGTCAAGTGTTGTTGAGCCTGGTTTTTTCCCCCGTGCAAGACGTGTATAGAGCTACAGTTACTAGATCCACAGAAAACGATACTGCACAATGCTAGTATATATAACCAATCTCATTTTTTATTGCGTCTGAGAAGCAAACATTGGTGACAAATCAGGACATGTTTTGCCCTCTTAACGTGCAGTTTTCAGAGTGTTAATGGAGGAGCATGGTAAATGAATTTGAAATTCATGCGATGGTGTAACCTGACCACCGTCGCTGATTGCTGGAGCTCCGATGGTAGCCACGTAATCAATAGTGGTAAACTCTAAAAGGTGGTCAAGGGAAGTTGAATTCAAGACTCCTTGGTTCTCCAAAACATTAAAGACTAGTGAGCCAACTAATATTTTAAGATGTATAATAAGTTGTTAATATGTGAGCAATCACTGGTTAATATTTGAATTTGATTTGTCAATGTTCAAAAAGCAAGTTGTTAATTTCTAAAGACCGCTTGATTCCTTGATTATTGGCAATTTATCAATATTACATTAAATAATATATGTGTGTGTTATAAATTTAGTTTTTAAACATTTTTATTGTTGTTGTTAATTTTAAATAAGTTGTTAATATTTAAACAATTAATTGTTCACATTTGGGTTTAACCTTTCTATATTCAAAAAACAAATTGTTTATTTTCAAAGACCAACTTGTTGATTATTAATATTGTGCTAAATAAAATAATGTATATGTTATGTATTTAGTTTCTAAACATTTCCATGGCCGTTGTTAATTCTAGTCGGGTTATTATGAACAATCACCTTGACTTGTCAATATTCAAAAAATAAGTTATTAATTTTCAAAAACTAGTTCCTTGATCAGTGATAGGTTTTTAATATTATGCTTTTTTTTTAGCAGAAAGGTTTTTAATATTATGCTAAATAAAATAATATATGTTATAAATTTAGTTTTAAAGCATTTCTATGGCCCCTTTCAATTTTGGACAAGTTGTTAACATCTGAACAATATGTGGTCCATATTCAGACATGTATTATCAATGTTCAAACACTTATAATTGCAAATACGTTTATAAGTTCTAATTTTTAAAAAAACAATATCACAATCAAGTCTCATTGAAGAATCTTATAAAAAAAAAAAGCAATGTTAAAAGTCAGTAATTACATACATGTTTGAGTCTCAATTCATAACAAATAATATGAGAGTCAAGTTTTATTTACGACGTTTATGAGAAAGACAACGTTGAAAGCACATAATTGCATAATTTTGAAAACATGCAATTGCACAATGTTAGGAGCTTGAAATTACACATTGTTTGTATCCTAATTCTTATATCCAAGTTCCCAACTTCTGCCATCACATGGAGTATATAGTATCCAAGCCAACTCACTCCAAACTGCCTACGTCCTTTCACATGAATGCCTTTCGCCCACTGTGATGTTATAAAAACACACGTATAAGCTGCACACACATATCTCGTGTGTGTGCATGGTCTCCCTAAATATTATACACTCACGTACATACATTTACATTGTATATAAGTCACTTTTAATTACTTCACTGAATTTAAGAAGAGATAATTAAATTATTGATATTATTTTAAAAAGAAATAAAATTTCTAGTTTATCATTATTAAATGAGCCATCTTTAAAATACTATTTTCTCTTATATGTAACATCTTACTCTACTTATAGAAAATTAAAAGAGAGTAAAATTTGAGAGAAAAAAGTAATTAATAGTCTATCATTTTGTGCAAAGTAACTTATAAAAATTATCAATTTTTTTTTCCATAAACAATACTCTCTCCACCCCAAATTATAAGATATTTTTTAATAATTTCATATATCAATAAACTTCATTAAAAATACTTAACAATATTTTTTAAAAAAATAACAATAAAAATTTTAAAAAATACTCTTCATTTAATATCTTGAAAAAGAGAGAGACAAGAATCAAATAGGGAGAAAAATAATAATATTAAAATAAATTTATTTAATAAAATATTAATCTTCTTTATATATTTTATATTTTGAGATGTTGAATTTTTTTTAAAATTATTTTATAATTTGGGTCAAATGGAACGTATAAAAAGTTGATATTTTCAATGCATCGTTATTTGTATGACATATTGATAATTAGAACAAAGTTATACAAATTCTATAAAAAATAAATACATATAAGATGTAAATTTTAAAAAAAAAGTTAAATTTACCATGATTATATGCAATTTATTCTCTAACAAATTTTTAAGTTATAAACAAACCACCTTATATCTTCATGGTCAATTTATAAAAATTTTAAATACTAGATCTTAAATTTTGAAATAAGTATAGTTTTTATAATTTTATTTAAAAAAAATATAAGAACTAATATTCTAAATGAGGATTAAAGAACATAAAGATGTCGAAAGTTTTTTTAACAAAGTTATAAGTATCTTTACTTTTAGATGGAGTGATATTCTCTTGGAATTAGAATGGGAGCACATTCATGCTCATCACTTTTAAAATAATTTGAGTCATTTAGATTTAATCTGGACTAACAATATTTAAGTAATTTTTTATTTTTTATTCTTTTTAAAATGAAAATTATAAATTTTTTAATAAATTTATTAATTATCAATATGTATCGTTTATATTTAATGAGATCAATTCAAATTTAATATTATTATTTTATAAATTTTATAAAATGATCATACAAATTTACTCTGTATTGTTCAAATTCAAAATTTTTAATCTATAATACTATTAGATTCAAAATAATCCAGATTAAATTTGTACGATCAATTTATAAAAATTATAAAAAAATAATATTAAATTTGGACCCACCCAATATTAGTAATTAGTAGCTTTATTAAATTTTATAAATTTTTTAAAAAAATAAAAAAAATATTTAAATTTAAACAATTCAGATTATTTCAATGATGATGAGTACCTAAAAATTATATGATGAGCACTCAATGTGTTGCCAAGTTGGAACTATTAAAATGTAGAATAATTTGTCCTTTCTTAACCTTTAACTAAGTAACATTGTTTACCAATGAAGATGATACAATTGTTACTAGGATTGCACAAGGATTGATCCGGTAGAATTTCAACTTAACTCGAAATCTGATCTTTTTTATGAAAAAGATTAAGTTAGATAATTCATGGTCTGGTCTGGTTTTGGTATAACCTAAAGTTGAATAAGATCAGACTGATCTAGTAGAACTAAGAGATTGGTCATGGTCTTGTCTAGTATCTCACTTTGTTTTTTTTTCCTTTTTTATTAATAAGAGTTAGCTTTGGAAAAAAAAAACTGTATGAGAGGCAGTAATTTATTTCAACATAATAAACTCAAGTAATATAATAAACTTCTTATAATCATATAAAATTTATCACAACAACAACAATTATAAATCCACAATAATCTCTAATAACAACAAAAAGTATTTTAGTTATAACACAAATGATTCAAGTTAAATAACTGTTAATATGTCAAAAAGTTTATTACATTAAGTTAACAAAAAATTTCACTAATAAAAGAAAAAGATTGAGGTTGGTCAATACTAAAATTTTGCTCAATATTCATGACTTCACAAGTATAAAATAAAAAAATTATTAATTATTATTATAAATTAACTTATTGTAATAATATTTAATAAATTAATTATAATTATATTAAATAAGTTTAGAAGACCGGACCAAATCAAGTGATCTAGATGTTCGGTCTCTTGTTCAATCCAACTCAACAAAAAAAGTATGATCTTTTTTATCCTAAAAAACTAGTTTTTATCCTAACTTGATTGGGTCACGTTATTTTGAATTGGACCGACGATCAAGGGAATTTTGCACTACCTTAGTGCCCATTTAGGTTTCAGTTAAATATAATATATTATGAAAATAATTAATTAAGTAATAAATTTTAATAATAATTGATTATGTTATAACGTAATCTATTTGGATATTATTTTTTTAAAATTAATTTTAACAGAATTAAAGATGTTTGAATAATTTAATCAGAATCAGTTTTAGGTATATAAATTACTAAAAGGACATTGCTTTTCAAAATTAAGTTATTAATATATTTGTATCTAATATTATTAAATTTTTTAAGTTTTATTTAAAAATTAAAATATATTATTTAAATCATATATCTGATTAATTATAAAAATTTAAATTATATTAATATTAAAAATTTAATTTATGTAAATAAATAACTTAATATATCGAAATAAATTTAATAAAAGAAAAAATTAATTTTTAAATATTAAATATCAATTTTTTAAGAGTATAAAATTTAAATTTTATTAAAAAAAAGAGAAGAGAAGAGAATTTAATTTTATTTTTATTAAATTAAGTGTTTTTTTATTTTTATTTTTTTGAGTCTTTCTTTATCATTTTTGTCAACGTTTTTGAAAAGTTTTTTGGCAAAAGTTTTGGATTCTCAGCTACCAAAAAAATTAATTTTTAGTTTAAAAATCGATTAACCAAAAAACTGAGTGTTTGAATAATTCTGTGGAGAATCATTTTTTTTTACCCAAAAATCGATTATGCACCATATCCAAACACACACTGAGTTGTCACCTTGATGTGCTAAACTGCTAATCATTCGTCGTCTTCTGTTCCTTTCTCCCCTTAAGTGACGATCATCACCAGTCGATCTCGGGCCCCCACCACCACCTTCGCCAGAACTGCGCACCTCGTTCCTTCTACTCCGCTGTCACGCTCGCGCCGTCGGAACTGGTAGGCGAGATCATTGAAGTCTACGGATTTGATAACGATGACGACGGGAGCGACAAATGAAACGATTGGGAGGAGGCCGGCGGTGAAGCTTCGCAGTACAGATACAGAATGCCCAAGCTTTCAAACGGCGGGGATTATAGGAAGGACTCAAGGAAGAGGGAAACTAGAAAGCCGAAGCCTCTCATGAAGCTGAAGGTAAGTTGCCGTCTGTCTTGTTGGTGCTCTGCCGTTACTGCGATGAAGATGATTTGTAAATATTTAATTAATTTGCATATATATGGGGAATGGAAGAAAGTACCGATGATTTGGTGGACCTCGCTGATTTGCAAATGCTGAGTAGGAGATAGTGGCTTGGTTAAAATCTTGTTGTGTAGTTTTCATGTTCTCAGTCAAGCCATTGGTGAGAGGTAGTGCCATCTAAAACCCAGAACTTGAAGTTGTTTCCGGAGGCTTTGTGCCAGATGCTGCCGGAGGTGAGGAAGAAGATGAGGGCGCAGTGGTTGAAGGGTGGTGAGAGGCAGTCGACGATGCTGTCGTTGCAGACAGTGGAGAAGGAATCTGTTGACCTGTTATTAAAGGGCATTATCACCAAGGATTTGAAGATGTTGAGGACATGTGGACTAAAAACATTCAGAATTAAAAATAATTGAAGAATAGAAGAATTATTTAAAAACAAAACGATCGAAGAGAGATTTGTCCAAAACACAAATTAAAAGAATGGCAATTGAAAATAATTAAAAAAATTAAAAAAATACAACAACAAATCAATTGCCAAACACTTGAAAAAAAAAAAAAGTGAACTTCCATCAGTCAACCTTGGAAGTTTGGTTGTTTTTTTCGTACACTGTTGTTGCTCTGTTGGGCTTATTTTCCTTTCACTTAATAGAAGCTCCTTCGGGCCAAAAAAGAAAGCATTCTTTGTTTCACTTTTAACACTTCGCAGTGTTATTAGAGATGAAAAAAATGAGCTGGCCCAATCTTCAATGGGCTCATGCTTAAAAAAAATTAGCCCGTTTAACTTCCAGTACCATTTGAAAAGCTCATATTTAAAACTTATTCTTAAGCATATTGGGTTTAAGGTTGACCTTACGAGTTTCAAACCTTTTTACTTTTATTTTATTTTTTAAAATTAAAAATAATTCATTCATTTCACTATAACATAAAATTATACTTCAATGTCAAATCACATAGGCAATATCTTAATTTTTAATATCAATAGTATTTTGATTATGTAAAAATACCCTTATTTCAAATAATAAAACATTAAAATTTATAAATTCCTAATTCAAGTTATACAATACCAAATTATATAAATATAAAAATGCTCTATTATCAAAAAATATCAACACACATACTTAACATGAATTAAATTATTGTCTCAAACCTAAATTAGATCAAACAATTATTTTTTTGTCCAAAGAAATTATTGTCTAGAATTAAACAAACCAAATTTTATCCAAAAAAATATTAGCAAATCAAAGTATTAAGTAAATTTTAATTCTAAAAAAAATATTATAACAACTAAATATTTAAAACATTATCAAGAATATCAATAATATTATCATAATAAATAATATTTTAAAATATAAATAAATAAATGCCCTTAAACAAACTAGCCCTCAGCCCTACAGAACCAGCCTGTTTAGGCCTTCGGCCCATTAAAAATAGCCCTTATAAGTTTGTGTTCTGTTTTGAAGCTCTAAAACTCTAAGTCTAACTTTAGTAATTATCAAGCTTAAATGAACAGGCCCTATGGGCACGGCTTGTTTTCTAGACTCTAAATATTATTCTTTCAAAAGAATAAGGTTATTGATAACTTTTTTTTTTGAAAAAAATTATTTGGAATAGTTTTACCCCTTAATCTTTTAAATTATTAATATTACAAGGATTACATTATATTGAATTAAAGATTAAGGATTAGATTATAACCCTATTAAAACTATGAAATTTGAGTTATATCAAGTTAAAACTACAAGTATTAAATAATTAATTTCCCCCATTAAAATGAAAAGATGTATTATAATCAGCCACTAAAAAAGGTGCATTTCAATAAATCATCATTAAGAATATTTATTCTAAAAGATATAATTATAGTTATATTAATTTGATTCAAACTAATTTTCATATATTATTTGAAAAAAATTAATTGAAAATCCTTATAATTCTTCTTGATTTTGAATTAGATTATCATAATTTATTTTATTCTAGTCAAGCTCTTATACTTTAATTAATTAAATATATTAGTTCTTGGAGATGAGTAAAGGTTCATTTTTGTCATTAAAGTATTTCAATAGGAGCATCCAGTAACTTAAAGTTCTTATCATAGTGATGCTGCCCTTCAAGTAATTAAAATGGAGTAATTTTACCCTAACATTAAGTCTCAGACGTTGACTGTTAAGTTAGTAAGAGAGGAAAAAGTTTGACCTAACCATGTCATTTGACTCCTCTTTTGCCTGACCATTCCCCTTATCTCCTTACTCGCTAACAAGATTTGCAGAACTCTAGCAAATAGCTATGAAGAAGATAATGGCTCTGCCTATGAATCAGTCAAATAGAGTTTATAAAGATAAGAAAGAGGCAACTTAGATGAGCAAGGAGGGTCAAAGGAATCATTTATGAGGCTCTCCCTCTACCTCTTTGTTTCACAGCTTATTTCATGTAGTCACAAGTATCACGCGCCGCCGCCTTCTCCTCCTTCTCCCTTCCTTCCATCCGTAGGCTCTTGCTTGACTCTCACAATGCTTCCCTCCTCTTCATTAAGCTTATGAAAGTTGTTGCTGATCGCAGCAACCTTTTGGAAAAGGCAGCTTCATCTCGTGCTTTGCTCATTGGTGTTGAGCAAAGACACTTTGCCTCACCGTTGCCTCCTCTTTTGCTGAGGGATGTGATTCTGCCAGGTGAGGTCTGTTCCCTTTGTTCTAACTCGATCCTCTTGTTTTTGTCTATGCCTTTATTGACGCTGTTGTTGTTTTGTTTCTTTCTTTCCTTTTTGTCTTATAGGGAGGCAAAAGTGGCTCTGGTTGGTTTTTTTCAATAAGTATCTAGCACTGGTGACTAGATTCTTCTTCTTCATGTGGTAGGTGACCTGATTTATAACATTAATCCCCCGATTGTGCCTAGCTTTTTTGCTTTCTTTCTCTTTCATTTGCTATTTTTTGTTCTAATTTCCATATGGCTGCCTTTCTTTAGGAGAGAGTGAACGAATGAGAAGAGAACTCAAAAAAGGGAGGAGAGACAACTGGAGGAGGAGAGAGAGAGTACTGGTGGAGAATTAAGGGAAAAGGGAGAAGAAAAAAGAGTAAAAATAGTAGTAAAATAGACGATGTAGATGTAATAGGCCAAGTCATTGTCACACATTTCCAAAAATAGATCCCATTAACATTGACTAACGGCCATTTGCAAAGACTTTCACCTTATTTAGCTAGAAGGCAAGGAAAAAAAAAATTTCCCTCCTCCCTCCACCCACCTCCAATTTGGTGGGAATTCTCACCTCCCTTTCCCCTCCTCCCTTTCCTTTAAATTAAATAGGACTTTAAAGTGGAGAGCAAAATTTTTTGCTTTAATTGCTTAGAGGACAATATTACTAAAACAAGAACTTTAAATCATTAAATGTTTTTATTAAAATACTATAAAATGAACTTTTACTCTGAAATTATTGCTAAATGATTAATTTAAAAAAAAAACTTCAAAAATTTATTATAAAATTATTCATTTGACACTCTTGACTAAAAAGAAAAATGTAAATTGATTTAATTAATTTAATACAATGTTTATATTTTTATTAATTTTTTAATAAAAATTTTATATGTACAAATGTCATTTGAGTGATTGTATAATTTTTTAGTTATAAAAATTAAGTAATTAATTTTAAAATTATAAAATCTTTAGCAGCAATATAAAAATTCTTAATTTTATTTTTTTAAAGAAAATTAAAACATTTTAACTCTAAAAAATTAACATAGTCAATTTTTTATATTATAAAATCTAATTCATAATTAAAAAAATAGATGATGAGTTTAATTTTCTCTAATTATTCACTCGGCCGAAAATCTTTTCATCGAAATGATAAAAATTTGGTTAACAGCTAAATAATATAAAATTTAAAATAACTATAATAATTTAAATAAATATACCTAAATAAAATTTTTATTAGCATAATCCCGAAGAACTTGGGGGGCGAAGATCGAGTAAACGACAGTTTTTCATAAAAAATTTAATTATAAAGACATCAACACCAAAAATTAGCAAGCATTTCATCAAAAGAAACGATAATCCAAATACAAAGTATTTCTTCAAATAGAACTAAAATTTAAATAATTGTCCCTCTATTGACTTAAACTAGGGGGGTAAAAATCTTGAGCGCCACAGCAGCCTCCAAAAAGCAAAACCCTCAAAAGACACGGTACGACTTCCCCATAGTGCTCTTCAGATACAAGCAACGAACCTGAAATACATGTCGGTTCAACTCATCAGATGACGCAGTCAAGCTCAAAGTATAGATCACTGCAAAGTAAACCTTTAACTTGCAAGTAATCTTATGATAATACACAGATGCACCACATTGCAAACCAGTTATCTAGTTTGGGCAAGGGGGAAAAGACGGCTCACATTCTGCCAATTCTTTTTCAACAAGGAGACAAGGAAGTTAACGCTGAGTTGCACATTTTGGAAGATTTGCTTTTCCTCCATACTAACATTTCCCACAGCAACTCCCATGCACAAAACCTTCTTTAGCTGAAATTTTACCATGGCCTTCGTTTCATTAACCTTTGACTCAAGGGACTCTTGGTGAGTAACAAGTGTAGGGAATTTCCCTACATTGTCATACAAATATTACATACAATTAGTGATGTGTATGCATAAAAAACCTTGAACTTAATAGGATAGCACGGACTTTCACGCAATCAAAAGTCACAAGACTTATTCTTGCAAGTTCAGAAAAGAGACTTGCCTGCCTTGTTAAGACCTGGACCCAAGAGACGAGGAATCTGCTTTATGACTGCTTCAGATGCTAAAAAGGCATGGTATTTTTTGGCTAGTTTTTTAACTAATTTCTTGTTCTTGTTTAGCTTCTTCAATCCTTCCACATCCATCCAGTCCAAACCAATCTTCTCAGCCTACAAAATTATATTGGTTATAACAAACACGTAGAGTACAAAATTCACCACTGTGCTACAAAGGAAAAGCCAGTAGCAAAAACAAAAAGAAATCGACTGCAAATTAAAACAGCCTGAAACAAACAGAAGAGTGTCAAATGCAACTGAACCAGACATCCAATTGTACACAAACAAAGAACTACTTGAGTTACAACAGCACTAAACACGCATCCCAAGTATCATCCTTCTCAGACAATGTAACGAGAAAAAAAAGGAATAAAAGGTAAAGACATGCTGCTAAACTTAAGAGTAAATGCCGCAGGACCTAAATAATGATTCAAGTAAAAGAAATTAATACCTCTTCAACATGTTGAGCATCTCCAAGCATGCATATTTTCATCTTAGGGCGAGGGATGTGGGGTAACTTCACAGAACCACTGAATCGCTTATCCTTTTGTGGATCATAGTTCTTCAGACCAATCTGGAGCTCAATGGTCTCAACAAATTTGCGGTCTGCCTGCTTGGAATCATTCATGATTTGTGCGATAGCTTCCCTCAGGGCATCACTCTGAAGCTTACTGCATAGTCGAACCAAAAATTGAAACCCAGGATATCTCCACGGCATAAAAGGTAACCAAACATTCAAGGGCAACAATTCACACTGAAAAATTCTCAGTCCTATTATGCTTCTCATGTTACAACATATGACCTAAGACGTAAATGGATACCAAAATTAAAGTTTGGAACTAGCATTGCAGAAAGTGAACTTAGAGAGTGATCTCAGAACAGAAAGACGGTCGAATCGACAATGCAGATTAGAGAACTTATACAAACGTTCTAAACAGGTTAGCATGATGTTGCAACCAACAGATACTGGAACAACACGCGTTTGAAGACTAGCAAGGCAAACTAGAAAAATGAAAAAAGACATGCCACGAGTGGTAAATGAATTTCTAAATACCTCATCTTCTCAGCTGCGCCCTTTCACCGCAGTGGCTCCAGATCTTGCTCCTGTAGATATAATTGCATCGAAATAAATAAAAAATAAAAACCAAATATCCAGATATCTATGCAATGATTCTAACACGAACAAATCGCCTACAGTTTCAGAAAAATCGAATAAAACAGAAGACGCTCAAAGAACCCCATATTTGGGATCGGGCGAACAGAAATGATCAAATATAAATAGGAAGGGCTTTCCCAAGTGTTTTTGTGCCACTTGTGAGGCTTCTCGACGGCAAAGTTTCGGCGCAGAGAGAGACAAGGAGCAGAGGAAGTACCACAGATAGACGAAGGCGAAATCCCAGAGATAGGGTTTCGGAGTGTAACGAGGCATTTTATACAGAGCGGAATGGATAGTCAGTCAGCCATCAATATAGGCCATGACTCAAGCCCTGAGCAAGAGCCCATGAGATATTTAGACCCAATCATCAATTTTGCTTCCCTGGCAAGCCCAGTCAGTGACTATTTTATTTGGATCCAAAAGTAGAGCAAGCCCAAGCTACATAACGAAAATAAACTAGAAAGGGAATTGAATCCCAAAGTATCTTGCTGCATCAGGGCATTCGTTCTCCAAAAGCAAACCTGGATGGGCCTGTATATCAGGCCCAAAACACTGCACAACGGTCAGAAGCGTCCCAACTGTGCAATGGAGACGCTGTTTTTACTCTTTTTTTTTTTAAAAAAAAAAGAGTTCAGCTCTTTCGGGAATTCAGTCATTCACCGAGGTGGTCCACTGCTTACTCGGCCTTCTCACTGATTCTATCATCACTTTTTATTTAAATTTAAATTTAAATTTAAAATTTACTTGTTCCAATTTGATAGTAAAAGAGTACCTTGCATGAACAAGGTTAAGCGTGTAATTTCTCCTTTGTCATCTTAATCCCCAATACCATGCAAACATTCATAGGCTGCTTGTTGTATTTGATATTGTTTGCCCAGTGTCTTGAAAAAGTAAAACTCTGCTGAAATAAATGGTGATCATAAAAAGACTCCGCAAAACTACCAAAACTGAGTGAATCCGGCAAATTGATTAGATACATTCTGATCGGGAATGATCGTTATATGAAAATAATGAAAGCCAGCGTTGGTTTCGATAATCAAGAAAGAGAGCATTGAGAAGAGTCTTGAGGTACCTTTTTTCATATCTAAATTCTATATTTTCATCTATGCTGCCGAAATTAGCTCATGTGGTGGTTTCACTGAGATGTGACGAATTTTAATTTCCACCAATTCATAACAAGCATAATGATATTTCTTCTGGACTGATCAGGCCATGGTAATTGGATATCACTCGAACATAACCATTCACCAAAATTATAGAACTGTTAATTGAATAAATGGCCATAGCATTAATGCAGGGACATTTTAGGCAAATAAAGCAAGTTATACTTTGCCATATTCTATGCTGATTTAATTGCTTTCTCAATGACAATAAAGGGAACTTTAAAAATTTAGAAAATAAGACGTGGTATCCTACTTGTTGGCTCCATAGACGCAGGTAGAACCGCCACGCCCACCGTTATTGACAAAGCAAATCCTCATACACCCTCTGCAAATTCTAAAAGTTTTACTTAGTTCAAAATATAAAAGCATTAGGTAATTTTTATAGTTATTTTTTCAATTATACTCCTACTTCATTTATTATTCTTTTTTAAAGAAATAATATATTAAAATTTTAACTATCATTATCAAAGCACGTATATATAATATTTAATGAAGGTAAAATTAGAAAGATATAAATTAAAAAAAATTAAGGCTTTAACTAGGATTTTTTATAAATCATAAATTAATTATCAATATCTTATATTCTGCTTCAGGAGAGTGGTATGGTATAATCAAATCAATGACGGCTTCAACACTGGGGACTAACTTGAAAGAAAATCGAGAAGGCAATGTTTAGAGAGAGTGGGGAGAACTTAAGGAGGAATAATGTGGACAGTGAAAGGGAAAGCACAGGCTATTCCATTGAAGCGGTCAGTGGAATTAATTGAGTTTGAATATATAGAAAGGGAAAACGAAGAAAGAAATAATTAGAATTAGAGCTTCCTCTAGTTGGAACAGCATCCAATTAGAGCCTGTGACAATTGCGAAAGAAAAAGTCGGATCAGTGGCCAACAATTAACACCCTAAATTCTCGATACACTGACCGCACCAAGTTGGCAACTTGGCACTGGTGGAAAAAGCCTGGTAAACTCATGGTTGGCTCTATATCACTTCTCCCTTTTTAGGGGGAAAAATTGTGTATGGATATGTTCGATTTACTTCTCAACCAACGTTGGGTGACTCTAATTGAGGAGTAAAAAGCTCACTTCAACACATGATATTTTATTTGGATTAAAAAAAATCAAACAAACTTTCGAGTAGAACAAGCATTATGGTTGAAATTATATGAAGGAGCTTTTCAACACTCTTCAAGAACACTCAGAGAATATTTGATGCTAAAAATTGTGAAATTGTCTCTCCTCCTATCCTCTCATATCACCAGATTGCTTGTTCGTCTTCTTCTTGTGTTTAGCTCCCATTTGTCTTCTTTGCTGCCGTCGTTCAGTCTATACAAGCACAACCGTTGCTTCTCCTTCTTCTCGCCGTCGTTGCCGTTCGAACTGACAGCCAACGCCGCCAATGAGGATAGAAAGTTCATGATCAAAGCTGCTTTACCCATGGGAAGCAAGGAGAATCCAGTGAACAAGTAAAAGAAATAAAAAGGGAGAAATTATGAGAGGGGAAATCCCATGGGAAGCAAAGAGAATCCGATGAAGAAGTTGACAGTCACGTGGAGGGGGAGAGAGAGATAAATGAATATGGATAGTGGTGTAGGAGGAAAACTAATACCCTCTCCTTTAAAAATATAAAATATTTTTAACTAAATCTTATTTTTAAAAAGTAATTATCTACTTTCAAACTAATTATATATTTTTATATTTATTTCTATTAAACACCCTACAATAGATATAAAATTATTTATTAATATAAACACTTTTTTTAAAAAAAATGATTATATTTCGTAAGATTAAAAATATCTTATATTTTTTACTATCTAATTTCTCAAAAAATGTCTTATATTTTTTAACGAAAGGAGTATTTTTTTTTGTGTGTGAAAAAAATAAATTTTATTCAGTCTATTCCATTTTGTTAGAAACAAGCAACAACATCATGTTGAACCCATATAAAATTTGAAAAAAAATTGTTATAATTTTTCTCAATTGTATATTAATTATACATATTTTTCTTCAAAATTATTTTTCTCCATATATTAAATATTAATTTTAATACAATTATTTTTAATCTGTTTTTTAAAAATTATAATTTTAAGTTTAACATTTTCTTAAAATAAATATCAAATTAGTTGCAAAAAAACATACAAGAAAAATTCATGTTTATTTTTTTATTATACATCTTAATTAGTTTTTAAATCAAATTATTTAAATAAATTTTAATTTATTCACCTAACTTCTAAATAAATATATCCAAACATAAATCAGATTTAAGTTACATGCTTTTCTTTCAACTCCAATTGCAAATTTTTTTAATCCAAACACACTTTAAGTCGCACCAAAACCTTAAATTCGTTCAGATGAAAAAATAATTTTTCTGAGAAGATATTAGAGAGGTAATTCAACCTAACTTGCACGGATAGCATACTAAATGTAGGAGAAGCTATACCATTTAAAACCGTTGAAAAATACAATATATTTGTTAAAGCTCACGAAAGCAAGCAAAGAAATGCATATATATAAAAGTATAAATAACAAGCAACGTAGAAATGTTTTAATATTAATTTAAATGAGGATATTTTTGTGATTTCACTTAAAAATTTAATATTAAATTAATACTCTTAAATTGTAATGAAATTTTAAAATTTTAAAAATTTTAAATTTAAATAAATATGACTCGAAGCCTTTATTGAAATTTTTCCTCGTGCTTTCTCACCCACTTTATACTCTTCCATCCTCTTTCAAATTTCGAAAAACATGTCGAAGCATGCTGGCAAGGCCTGGAAGGATGGAACGCCCGTGGACGTAAAATATTATGGATTTAATATTCTCGAAAATCGCTGGTCCAAAAAAAAAAAAATCTTGAAAATCATTTACTGCATGATTCTATTTACTTTATCCATGAGTTATATTTCCATTTATTGAGAACAAAAATCAACACCCTCACAGGCGAAATCCAACCTTCACGACAAAACGACTCCGCATGCTCGAGTGTGTCGTGAGACCGAGCATATCCACATTAATATCAATAATTAGTTATTACTTGATTAAAATTTGAACTTATCCAAGAACAATAATATATATGTTTTTAACAATAATTAAAGACAAAAATTAAAGAAAAGAAAGAACAGTCATGCCTCTGATTCAGCAATAGCGCAGGGCGTTGAATCGGTGTTATCCGAATCTAGATTTTATCTGCCGCCAAATGCAACGGATCAGCTCTCTGTAAAAGGCCCCTCCAGCGGATATTTCCTCTCATGAACCTCACAGCCATGGCTTCTTCTTCCGACGCACCGCTCACAACTCTCCACCCCGACCTCTTTCACGCTCACGTCCTCAGCCGTCTCGACGGTCCGTCTCTCGCCTCTGCCTCCTCTGCCTCCTCTCTGTTCCGCAACCTCTGCCTGCACGACCCTCTCTGGCGTCATATCTGCAACTCCACCTGGCCCTCCCTCAGTGATCCCACTCTTCGCCCCGTCATCTCCAACTTCCCCGCCGGCCACCGTTCCCTTTTCCTCGACTCCTTCCCCGTCCTCCATCATTGTTCCCGGCCCGATCATCTCGATCGCTCGTTTGCCCCCGCAAAGGAGTGGATTTCGGCCGTGGATATTTATTATCATGACAAGCCCATCTTCTCCAGGGTCCACCGGACCCAGACCCACACGGGTTGGTTCGAGTGTTCCCCTTTGTGGATCGACCTGCTTGGCCCGAAAGAATCGGTTCCGACGCCGCTTAAATACGCGCGCAAAGACGAGGATTGGATGAAGCACCTGGAGGACACCTTGAGCCTCAGCTGGATCCTGATCGACCCCGCCCGGAATCGAGCGGGGAATCTGTCGAGCCGGAGGCCGGTGTCGGCGCAGCGTCACTGGTTGACTGGAGAACTGGAACTTTTTTACGCGGCGGTGATCGCGTGTGATGAAGGGCCGTCGGAGTGGGTCCAGTGCAACATAAAGGTGGCGTGCACGTGCAGCGAGGAGGTTGGAGGGGCGATGCGAGTGAGGGAAGTGAGCTTGACGGTGGAGGATACGGACGGAAGGAGTCTGAACGGGAAGCAGAGTATGGTGATTCTGCAAAGGGCGGTTGAGCGTGGGAGGAGGAAAATGGTGAACGAAGAGGAAGCAAAGGCGAGGTTTGAGGAATTCTCGTCCATCAAGAGAGACAGGAGGGATAAAAGAGAGAGGAGCGATCAGACACTTGACATGGTTTTGATTTTCGCCGTCATCACCATCTTCGCTTTCTTATTTTGGTGCTTCTTCTCCTGACATAACTTGGGTTTCAACCATTATCGTCGTTAATTGCTTGATGCATCAAGACTCAAGAACCTGAGTTACTCATTTTTACCGTGTAAATTCATGTTCGTAGTGCTGGCAAGTCGCTTGTTCATCATAATTAATGTTGACTATACGTTATTTTTGGCGTGCTAATTAATAAATTTTTTTCATCCTTTTGGTTAAAGATCTTCAGTCTGCTGTTGATCACAACTATCAATTTACTCGTCTAATAAGATCTTATCTCCTAGCAACTGTGTTAATTCGCATTGCACGAGAATTTGTTGTGTCATGAATTAGTTAGGACTTGCCTTCTTTGTAGAATAAAATAATTAAACTGGAATGAAAGTCCAAACACGAGAGTTAGGAAAGTTTAGACTTTAGAGACGTGGAAAGAGACAAAATCCTGACGTAGTGATGTAGCTGGTTGAGTTTGTTATTCGTGATCGTGACTTAGACCGCCAAAAATGTTAAAAAGTGTTTTTTTTTCGGACGACCAATTACCATTAGTCAACTGAGCCACTAACTCAGAGTCAGATCTGACATCGCAAGTGATTGATAGTTTTCTCCAATAAATAGTATTTTTTAAAAAAAAATTATCAACTTCCTTAGACGGCAAAGATTATTTTTATTGCTTAATTTATGAAGGAAATTAAGTGGTAAGGTTTTCATTACTTGAACAAACGGTAGAAATTCAAGTTCTTGCTCTTATATATGAAATGAAAATAGTTTAAACTTTAGAGAGATACATTTTTTACCTTAAGAAAATCCTTATGATTCGTTGTTATCATCAATTTTTCCCACCCAGTTTAGAATTTCAACACAGAATTTGGCCTTGAATTTAAATATACAAAATCTATTGAATTGTCATATTCTTGAATCGCACATCGCATTCAGCTGATAGGGGTGTTAGCTAATAATAGGATTTAAAGTATGAATTAGTTTACCAACCAAAATATTGAGCTCGTTGAACTTGAACCTCAAAGCTTTCTAGGCACTGGCACTGTAGGATTAGGAGTACGTCGCAATCACAGGTCAGGATTCAACGCTCACTCCCCTCAAGTCCCCCTTTTGATAACAGAATGGAATAATGGAAAAAAGATATTAAATTGGAGATTCTTTGTTTGTACAAAATATAGTCCACAAATGTCTCCATAATTAAATAAAACAAGCAGAATAAAGTTTAACGAGCTTGATTAACTAATTGAAAATATAGACTTCAGAATTTCAATTGCTTCAAGAATGAGCATGTTTACAACCTGCTAGACTCTCTTAATTTTATTTGGAGAACACATAGCATGAGAGCAGAGAGAAAGGGAGATAGAGAGTACATTAGATAAACTAGATAGATTAACCACTTCTTATAATGCACGGTGTTTCAACCTGAAGAAGACTGAACAAAATAACCATTTAAAACTTTAATTACTTAATTAATTTTCTTACAAGTTCTCTCATCTAGTCAAGTTTGTGATAGGAATAAAAGTAGCTAACAGCTAAAAGTTAAGTTGGGGCTTTTGCCCTATTGCCTAGATGAACTCTCTTGTATGACTCCCTTGCCATAGTATACACAAAATTGTAAGAGGTCAATTTATTCTGGATTTAAGTAATAATCCATGCAAATCCATAATATTTAAAATATTCCAACAGTACAGTGTATAACCCTAGGTGAAAAAATATGAGAAAATTATAAACAAGTCCAGATCAAGGAATGGATTTGAAAAAATATTTTCCAATCCCTTAATACTTGGTTGTAAGTATTTTTCTTGTAAAATGATATAAATATTCCTTGACCCACCCTCCTATGACCAATGACTATTAACTGAATTCACAATTCAAAATTAACGGTTTACAATTGAAACATCCTTAATTTACAAGCAAGTCTCTCTAATTTAAAAGTCAATAATTTAATACATCAACATTGTAATATTTATAAATAAAAATTTATCTATTTACAGTAAAACTTTACCATTTGCACGTAAAACTTGGTCCATCTACAATTTAAAACTACAAAAGATTATTAAAAAAGTTTGAATTACAAAATCCTAAAGAAGCAGGAAAAAATGTTAAAACTACAAAATCGCAAACTAAAAAATGTTAAAACTACAAAATCCTTTTACCTGAGGCGTAGCCCAATTTCTCGGGCTTGGTAGATGGTACAAACAATGCAAAGGATTTTCATCGTGAGGTCAGCATGGAATCAATTTGGGACGCCATTTCCGTTTGACGTAGCCGAGAACTTCAAAAATTCCACCAATGGTCATTGAAATAAATTTTCCAGAGAGTTCAAGTATAGTGGGTTTGTTTACCTTTTGTTTTCCGCAGAGTTGATTTTATTTTAAAAATAAATGTATTATTCGTAATAATAAAGACACAAATGCCTTCTATTATTCACATCATCAACAACTTTTTAAAAACCAGGAAGCTTCATTTTTTTATCAGGAAAAAAATACTCCAAATTTGGCACTTACAATGTGTTCTGCAATTCCATTTCATGACTTTTTTTTTTTTTTTTTGGTTTTGCAAGGCATAGCAAGTAACCACAAAATTAATCTCCGAAAAAATTTGAGCTTCATTTAAAAAGTTATCTTTTCCTAAGTGATTTTTTTTATACACATCCCTAGATATCGAATCACAATCTCTCATGAAATTTGAATTTCATTTAAGAAATTATTCTCTCTTAAGCAATACTATCTATACATATCTTTAGTAATCTCCTAGTGATACTCTCCACAATGTGTTTAGAGTAGTGTTTTTAAAACTGAACCAGACCGATCCGACCGTCAACCGATCTGATTTCCGGTTTGGTTCATAGAAAAAAGCTATTTTAAGGATTGAGCCGTTTCGAACTGGCGGTTGGACCGGGAATCAAAATCAAGCCAAAACTGGATCCAGTTTTTAAAAACTGGACTGTTCAAAAAAAACTTTTTTTATCAATTTTTTTAAAAAATGACTAATTTTTTTAATCATTTGATATTATGTCGTATTATGTGGCTTGTTAAGTCATGATAAACTTAAAATATTTAATTTTTTTAAGTTAAATAGCAATTTTATATGTATTTCTTATATTTAGATTATTATATACATATATAATTTTTTTTAATTTAATTATTACGTCACTGATTGGATCATGCGAACCATGAATCACTGACTTTTTTAGTTCAATGTCCGGTCTAGTTCTAAAAACATTGGTTTAGAGAGTTTCTCGTAGAGTTGGGAATAAGGGCCGGGCTTGACGGGCTGCCTGTTTAAACCCATTTTAATAAGAGTTTGAGTTTAAAAATTTAGTATTTTTTGGGGTAATCAGGCTTTGAAGCTTGGCCCTTTTAAGACCTAAAAAAGGGGCTTGGGCTCGGGCGACCCATGAAGCTCGTTTTATTATTTTTTTCCTTACCTATCTTAAAAAGTTAAAACGCACTACACAGAATGACAGAAATGAAAACCCTCATGCTCATGCTCACGGCCTCATGCGGACAGTAGAATCACTAAATCAGCCGGCAAGCTCAGAGCCTCAAGCCCCCTTTCCCTCTTTCGGTATCAACTCTCGATCTCAAATTTCTCTCTTCTCTCAGTCTCTCCTCCTCGAGCCATCATCAATGTCTGTTTGTCTCGGTTTCGTCTCAGTCGAGCGTCCAAGTTTGTTTTTGTCTCTCAAATTCTCACTGTCTTTGTCGTGTGGCTCAACTCGTCTAAACCTATTGACGTCGTGTCTCCTCCCTCCTGATTCTCAATTTTAGGTTTGCCTCTATTTTGATTTCAGCTTCTGATTCTGATTCTTGAACGCTGTTGTATGATTTCAACACTGATTCTAATTCAGATCTACTTCTGATTCTCAATTTCAACTTGGAAGAATAGCTTTATTTAGTTTGCTGCTGGATGAAACTCAGGAACTGTCTGCAAACAATTTTTTTTCAAAAAATTCTATTTTGCGTTATGCTGGTTAATGCTCTGTCTTGATTTTTATCTGGTTAATGCTTTGTCTCGGTTTCTTGATTGTATACTTGGCAGTTATGCTGTAATTCCTGATTAATGTGTCATAACTTTGAATGTGCCTAGGGAGGTTATGTTGTAATAATTCCTAGTTAATGCTCTGTCTTTGAATTTCTAATTAATGCTCTGTCGACTGTCCTTGGTTTCTTGATTTTATAATTTATGCTCATTTGCAGTATGTCATCATCTAATGCCAAGAGTAGTGAAACTAATAAGAAGTTAGTTGAGGAGGAAAGTAATAGAGAATCAACTCCCTCCCAATTTACTACATTCAACATGAAACCACCTAAGAAAGCTAAAAGTTGTACCTCAGATGTTTAGAAATCTTTTTCTAAAGCGGTTAATGAAGAAGGAGCAACAAAGGCAAAGTGTAATAGTTGTAGCACTTTGTTAGCATGTGGTGAAAATCATGGCACTTCACATCTAAGTTGACATATTAAATAGTGTGTGGCTCTTCCAAAGTTTTATAACATAGGCTTGATGATGTTAGACAATGAAGGTAATGTTAGACCTAAACAAATCAATAATCTGTGTATTCGGGAGTTGTTATGAATGTTGATTATTGAACATGATTTGCCATATTCTTTTGTTGAATTTCCTCTTTTAAGGCAATTACTTAAGGAATGTAATCCTGATGTTAAGGTTATGAGTAGAAAAACTGCTGTGTCAGATGTTAGGAGATTTTATGAGTTACATAAAGAGAAGTTGAAAGTGATTTTGTCAAAGACTCCTAGTAAAATATGTTTGACCTCTGATTGTTGGACTGTTGTAACATCTGAAGGCTCTATTTGCTTGACGGCATATTTTGCAGATGAAAATTGGAAACTTAATAATATAATACTTTCTTTTTGTAAGATAGAGCCTTTACATTCTGGACATGAATTGGCTAGCAAAGTTTTTGAGTTCTTGTGTGAATGGAGCATTGAAAAGAAAGTTTTTACAATTACTTTAGACAATGCATCTGCAAATGATTGTATGGCTAAAATCTTAAAAGAGAGGTTGATTTT